CGCACGCTTTAATATTTTTCAAATTACTCAGATGCGCAGCTATTTATAAACAACTTAGCATACACACTTTTAAAGGAGATCAAAGAGCCGAGAAGTTCACCCGAAGAATTGAAACACATTTTCTTCAATGAGCAGCTCCCAGAGATCTTGACTCCTAGAATTAATACAAACTAGGGGAAAAGTTTGACTTATAAGCTCACATTCCTCGGGCTTTACGCCCATCTTCTCTGCGGCCCCGAGATACACCTTGGGGTTCGGCTTGAAAGAGCGGAACATGTCGGCGGAGTAAATATGCGTGAAGGGGATGTTGCTACGCGCCACCAGATCTTCCAACAAGTCATTGTAAGAGTTGCTAGGGGTTACGGTAGAGAGCTTCCTATCGAGCAAGTCTAACCCATGGCAGGTGTCTGGCCAAGGGGTTAGACGGTGCCAGACGAGGCCGAGATGCTTGAGTTGCGACTCGTCCCGGAGCGAACCCTCTCCAACTTGAAACTCCGAGGTGCTGGCGTCTTCGTGTGGAATTATCAAGCCGTGACGGACAAGGAGTTGAGGCAGTAATTCAGCACGATGTTTGTCGACCGCTCTCCAGTCTACGGTACCGTTACTCTCGCGAACGAACTTTTCCCCTTCTTTGTTCCATTCCTGCTCTTTTTAGCACGAAGATTTGTGATAATGTTATTTCATTAGACACTCACTGCTCCGAACTCGAACCACGCTTTGTATGATTGCAGAATCAATTAATTCATGTTTTGTGGGAGTGCTGAATTGGCCGCATACCATCTCCGCCGCTTTGGTTCGCACTTCACTACTGATCGACGACTCATCCGACTCCAGCGCCTCTCGAGTCGCTTTCCAAAGTTCATCCGCTACTGGGGTCCTCTGGGCTACACACGTCCCGAAGACGTCGAAGAAAAGAACACGCAGTTGCAGGGTGGTTGCCATACTGATATCTTTTTACTTAGCTCAGATTGGTATGCATCGATCGACCTCTATCGCTTGAAAAGGGGTGACTGAGTATGTACGGAAATGAATATATAAATTTCTCATGTACAACTACAAGGACAAGCGGTTATATATCGAAGATTGAGCTTGCAATAACGCAATCCCATGGTCGGCGAACAATTGGGCCAAGTGAATTGCATTATGATAATATGATGACAGTTTAGAGCCTCGGCCATGAGCGCTTTGTCAAGCTTCACTCGCTTGGCCGATGTCGGCTTTAAAAACGGTATTGAAACTTTTCCTATTCTTTATATTATATAATTATATCTCATTCGTGGGTTTAATGCCACTAAAAACAATATTTTAATATTAGTATTTATATTATTATTATTAAATTTCTATAAACTTTTAAAAAATTCTTAATTTTAAATAAACTTTAGATTTTTTAACTAACTTTTTGCTAGCTTTCTTATTTGTCTAAATCGTTAACGTCTCTCGAAATATGAACTATATTCTTCGCGTTCTCGATCGTTATTTATCATTCCAATAATTCGAAGATATTGACACTAAACCGGCCCTCATGTCTCACATTATAATCCTCGGCGCGGGTGTGACCGGTCTCCAAACGGCTATCTCTCTCCTCTCTTCGCCTTCCACGTCGAACTACAAGGTGACTGTGATTGCATCTCATGTCCCTGGTGATCGTTCATCAGACTACACCTCGCCTTGGGCTGGTGGTGACTGGCGCTCATCCGCCAGCCTCTCACTAGAAGATTCTGAAGTGCGAGAATGGGATAAAAAGACCTACGATCACTGGATGATGTCATTGGATGACAGCGTCGAGGAAGAGACTACAGAAGCAAAGGAATGCAGATTAGGGCTGGGGAGAAGAATGATTAGTTATTTCTGGGGAGCTGATGATTCAGAGACAACAGGACACGAGTATGTACAGAGTCTACTGTTCATTTTCCATTTCATGAAAAGCCTGAGATATGCCCAACAAATCGTCAAACCATCCCTCCAAGAGCTAAGCTCTTCCACTCTTCCACAACTTCAAAATTACCCTCTGGAAATTTATACTAAGTTCCTGCAGTGGAAGTGGTCTGTGGTGGAAGAATGACGTTCGTGATTTCAAGATTTTGAACCTCGAGGACAAGATTGAGGTCCCAAAGGGTGGGGGAGCCGTCTTTGGGATCGAATTTCAGAGTGTGTGTATCAATGTCCCGCGATATCTTGAAATCTTACTCGATCGCGCGAAAAACCTTGGGGCGAACGTCGTGAGAAAGGAAATCAAGACTTCTAAGGGACTCGTGGGCGTGGTCAGAGACGCCAAACAAGTTGTCCTGGACACATGGGCCCAAGAGAGTGTCTCAAAGGAGATGAGCAGATCTAAGATTCTCGCCCTCGTCAACTGTAGTGGTCTTTCTGCTCGGAACTTTGTTACCAAGGCAGAAGCAGACAGATTGTTTCCAATCCGTGGACAGACTGTCCTTGTGAAAGGAGAGGCCAAGATGGGCAGATCGTACACCAAAATCCCCAATACAAATGACCAGGAGGTTCTCTATGTCATCCCTCGACCAGGCAGTGGTACCACGATGCTTGGAGGCTGCAAGCAATCGCAGAATTGGAACTGCGAAGTTGATAACGATTTGAGTGAAAGGATCTTGGATAGAGTTAAGCGAGAGGGTTTAGCCGAGGAGTTGAGATCGGGAAAGGGGGGCGAATTTGAAGTCATCAGTGCTCAAGTTGGTTTGAGACCAGGAAGACACGGTGGTCCGAGAGTTGAGCTGGAAAAAAATGGTCCCGTGGAGGATATTTATATTGTGCATGCCTATGGCCATGCAGGCGCAGGATATCAAAACAGTGTTGGAAGTGCAGAAAAGGTCACGAAGATCATCCGCGGGCTTGTCTAGTCTAGGGATTGGTACTATCAGTCTGTTAAGTGCTTTCGTGCAGACATGACAGACCTTGGACTGTTGTGCCCCCTTCGAGCTTCCCAATCCAAGTACTCGATGGGAAGGTTCTCACATATTCGGCCTTTGTAATTCAATCCCCAGGTAGTTGTCTAGAATTGACATGGGATATTGAAAAGTCTCCCGGTATCAATGAATTGTCCGAAGAGTCATCGTAGGGTTACAGTGTTGTCCTTGATTACTTGTAGTGGTAATGAAACAGATTATAGATACATATTCTTAAGGTAGTCGAAATGGCCTTCAGATCCTGGAAGGTGTCTGGTGCCAAGAAAGGGACCAGGGAAGTCTCCTATAGTTTATGATTGTTAAATGCCGACATGACAAAAGCGATCATTCATTCGAAGGGAAAGTCCCGAAACACACAAAGGGATGAATAGCATCACAGAGATACTAACCAGTGCACTGTTCACTGCGCTGAGGTTACTAGATTAGACTATAATATAATGTACAAGAGATTATCTATACACTCGAATGATTCGCTGTGGCTCCCGACCCACCAGGTTTTCGACCGTATACAACAATGCTGGACGAGAAGGTAGGTCAGAATCAATCCAAGACAATGTTTCTTCTGGGAAATAAATGGAACAAGGAACACTCACAATTCGTAGTAAGTATGATACTTCAAATTTTGAATATCCTTCCGTACTTGAACCCTGATGTCAGAATCTCCGAGTCAGTCAACCCCTTTTGTATGTTTCGGTAGTAGTGTGCATGTTTTAGGAGCCTATTCTTAGTCCAGCTCTGAAGCACGACCCCCGAGATAGCAGCAAGGAATAAGGGAACTATTCTCCGAGAAATTGAGACTTACAGGAAGACTTCAATTTCCTCTCGCGACCAACCATATCCTTTCGAGAACATTCGTAGTGACATCCCACTGATACCCTTCAACAAATTGTGCATCTCAAAGGCACCTATCAATTTCATTCTCTTCTCTTTCGCCCAAGGTGCGCTGGGCATTTTGAATCTCTTTTCAACAACGTCTTCGAATCCTGCTGACGACATGTATTCTGCGTATCGAGTACAGGCGTCCAAAGGGCAACCTATTCTAACGGATGCTTCCTGAGCATGGGCGGAGAATTGTTCGAGGCCGGTTTGAGGCGGAGTCGAGCCATCATCACATCGTATTCGAGGATACACGCACTGAAGCTCTAGGTATCCGCCGGGCTTCAAATGACTGCGAAGTTCAAGTCAATTGTGTTTACTTTGAGATCCGGGACGCAATTACTCAAATGATTGCTCGACGAGTCTGGGCCAGTCTCGTATGGATAACAATAGGTCCCGAGCATGAATGTAGTCGAAGGTCTCCACTCCCAACGTCCATGGCATTTCAACGTCGTCAATCTGAAAAATGCAATTCGGAGGCACCCACGATGGTTGAGTTGGGGCAATATCTAGACCTAGGACTTCAGCGCTGGGATACTTGTCGGCCATCTGTTCGCATCAGCCAGTGACGACTTGGAAATTGGGACAAAAGGCCAAGAAATTGATGTGGTGCGTACTTCTATGGCCCAGATCCCCGTTCCAGTGCCAATATCTAAAACCCGTTGAGGTTGGGGATTGATGGGAGCGACAAATAATCGTTTCTCTAGGAGCATCGAGTATTTGGCGTGGGACATATCAATTCGATCCAATTCTTCTTCGTCAATCGGAAGGCCATACTCTGATTCCTGTCAGCAAGCATGGCCATTTTGCACCAGCCTCTGAGCTTACCCTCGTTGCCATATGCTGCGTCTGGACATGCACGATCAGTCTCTTTCTGCTCTCCAAGTTGCATTACAGCGCTGTCGGCTACTCACAAGTTCTGCCATGCTCTTCAATGCCTCGAGCGATTGTCGACGCCAGAGTTTCGGTCAAGCTTCCTGCCCTGAGGTGAAGTCTGGATCAGCAGGGGGACGTGATGATCCTTGGACAGATCTTACGAGGAACCCGCATAAGCGGAGTCTCCATCAAAGCCCTGGGTGTGAATCTTGTCAGCAACTGTGATGCGGAGATGCCTCCGGCTGGAAGGCCTTGTCGTACATCTGAACTCTCAGCCTCAATTGCATTTGTATCCTCTTCGTCGTCGTGCATATCGTATCGGGGACTGTTTCTGTCCACTTTGTTCCAGAGACAGCCGCGGGGCGGGGTGCGCGGCAGGTGAAAGCGGAGGGTCAAGGTCCTCCTGTCGCTGTGCGATACTGCACAATGCAAGAAGGTAATCTTACGAAGTGGTGCCCTTCTGTGTGCCCTTCTGTGGCAGCTCAAATGGAGTGGAATCGTGGGGTAAGTATCACGTCGTGTATTGTGGGAAGACGGGGGCTTTCGAGGGGAAGTGAGGTGTGGTGTGCATTGCGTAGGTAGGTAGTGGGTGCTGGCAACGGATATCCCAAGGGCAGGTTCACCATGAGTTCCCTTAGCACGGCTGCTGCGAAGTGCCAAGTAGGCACAGATGCAAACCGGAACGCCGCACTGCCACAGGTGCCAGTAATTAATTATTCGGAAGTTCACGTCTAAATGAAAAAGTAAGATTACCATCCATACATAGGTACCCTATCGTACGATACAGTGCACGATTGTACATGTACATGTACATGTACTGTACAACATAACTTGATTCAACCCGAACGCCTCTGGATGTGGACCGACAGTACATACTTCGAACTGTGTTTGACTTCCTACCGTAGTACAATATCACCGTACAGTAGTGCCGTGTGGCGGACGACCTAGATCTATCTGTTCTAGACCTGCCACTTTTCCTTCCCCCGCCCGACGCTTGGTTCACTCCCCTTATCTGGAATTGAAGCATCTGGTTACACCAAGTAGGGAAGCGCCCGTCCCAAAAGAACCTCATTTCTATCTTCGACTTTGTTGCGACAGATCCCCCAAGAGCTTCTTCGTACCACCACTTTCTAAGTTGTTGAAAGGGCACTAAATCATGGGCTCAACCGAATCGGACATCGTAAAGAAAGCAGAGGCTATCCTTGCCGAAGCGAAGAGTTTCAATGGAGATCGAGTCGATCGATATGAGTTGATGAAGCAGGTTGATATTCTTTATCAGACGCTCGAAGACCCCATGGATGCCAGTAAGCGGTTTCTGGGACCCTCAAGTCACCCTCAAATACTGACATGTTCATAGTGCTTCGACAGTGGACTTTCGTAAGATGGAATTGTCCACGCCACACCTGGGCGGATCAGCTGACTTGATCTTCTGTGTAGATGAATATGGCAACTTCATTGAACATGATGGTCAAGATGGGAATCTTTGAAGCTATGCCAAAGCAGGGGAGTATCACGGCGGCAGAGCTCGGCAAACTGGTGAATCTCGAGGCCAACGTGATTGGTATGATCCAGTCATACAGCCAAAACCCCGTCTATGCTAAACTCGAACGCAGTACGCTTGATGAGAATGCTCACTGGCACTGGCATCGTGGACCTGACTGGGGAAGATACCTACGCGCACACGCCAAAGTCAAGAGCGTACTTGCAGGGTGCTGCCTTTGATTTCTACAACCTATGGCGAGTGATACCATCACGTTTAGAGTTGAGAACTGAGTTAACCTTTGCCTAGCATGAACATGATGGGCTGTTATCTCACGTGGCCTGAGTACTTCAAGACCAAAACCCCAGAGGAGCTGATCGACTTGCGGAAAACACCGTATTCTTGTGCTTATGGTTCCGAGGGCCTCACTTTCTATGAAGTACTTACTGCCGACCCCCAACGTCTCAACATGTTCAATAAGGCTATGATGCAGCAAGAAGCTTCCCTCCCAACGTGAAACTCACAGATTCTTTTCTTCAACTGTACAGGTGCTGACTGGCCTACAGGCTGGGAATGTTTCCATTTTCTTCTATGAAGGAGGCAGTCGACGCCGAGCCAGAAAGAGCATTCGTAGTTGACATTGGAGGTGGACGGGGCCAGTCCTTATTGCTCATCCAGAAAGAGACATCAAATGGATTTAATACCCCATCAAAAATGATTCTACAAGACAGACCACAGGTTCTTGATACAATACCTCGGGATCTGGTACCAGGGATCGAGAAGATGCCGTACGACTTCTACACCGAGCAACCCATCAAAAGTAAGAGGCATTTGCGAGCTCTTTCTTTATATTTTTCTCTAACTTGCCACTAGATGCCCACGTCTACTATCTTCGACGTATCATCCATAATTACCAAGATGGTGTTTGTCAGGCCATCCTGACACGAATCGCCGAAGCTATGGGCCCTAAGTCACGCCTTCTCATTGCTGAGATCGTCGTGCCAGCAAAAACGGAAGTTGGCGAGGACATGAGCACGTATTGGATGGACATGGTTATGATGGCAATTGGTGGGAAGGAGCGAAGTGAAAAGGAGTTCATCGCGCTCTTGAACAGTGTTGGACTAGACTTGGTCAAGATTTGGCCAGCACCAGTTGGCAACCAAGCTGTCATAGAAGCAAGGAAAAAAGCACCTGGAGGGGTGGCGTAAATAGCTGGTGCATAGTAAGTATTCTTGTGATAAATGACGACCATCGGTATATCAACAGATAACCACATACACACATATTCCATATGTCGGTAAGTAGAGAGGTGTCTATACCTTGTACTGCAAAGGCGTCTCCGCAGGCCATCAAAATTTCTGATATGAAGCAATGACATAACCTGCTATCTACATTTCCTCCGCTCTGTTGCAATCTTACAAACCCAAAAAATAGCCAAGTACCGTACTTTATCCGAGTTACGACGATTGGTGGCATTGATGTTGGGAAGGAGCCTTTTCGGGAACTTATGTACGTCAGGTAGCTCGGACTTTGATCCACTTCCGATGTCCATTGTCAGCCGCGCCTCAAGCCATCTCTATTGGGTATCCCACAAATCGATACATAAAAGTCGCGAAAGTTCCTTCAGTCTGAATTTTGAATTGTCGTTCAAAGAACAATACTTCTTCGAGCTTTCAACCAAGAAATCCACCAAGATGGAAGCCTTTCCTTACACGAAATATACATCATCTCGTGACTTGACATATAGTTACATCCATATCAAACCAAGCCAAGGCAACCGAACTTATATCCTTTTTCTGCATGGCTTCCCGTCCTCTTCTCGCGACTGGCGTCATCAAATCGACTATTTCCAACAGCGAGGTTATGGAATCATTGTCCCCGACCTGCTTGGTTATGGAGGGACATCCAAACCGCTGGATACGACGAAGTACAACATGAAAGGGATGGCGAGCGATGTCCATGAGATCTTGGAACATGAAAACATCGAACAAGTTGTAGGCATAGGCCACGACTGGTAATTGGGAATCAATTTCACAACGTCGATCAGCATATGACTAACTTTAGTCAGGGGTTCGTTTTTACTTTCTCGCCTTATGAACTATTGTCCAATCCTCTTTTCCAAGCTTGTCTTCCTTGATGTCGGGTATTCTGCTCCCGGGACCGGTCTTACAGAACAGACTGTGAAATACGTCAACTCCATGGTGCAAGAACATATGGGATACTCTGTCTTTGGATACTTTTTGTTCTTCAAGGAAGAGTGAGTAGCCAGATCCTCTGTTCTTTATGAGACAATCCAGTACTAATTCATTGGAGTCATGCCGCTCAGCTCATGAATGCACATGTATGTTTCATCTCCGTGAATATAGTTCTTTACTGACTAGTATTCAGGTAGACTCCATGCAATCTCTTATGCACTCGAGGGACGCAGAACTAGGAAAGAAGTATATGGGAGCTGAAGGCGGTACCAGAAACTGGCTTGAGGCCGGGAAGGTAGCCGATCCGCCCTCATATCGAACCAAAGAAGTAGGCTTCTGTGTCATCACTTTGCTGACGAAAAAAACCTGACCTCTAAATAGGACATTGAGTACGACCGAGTGTTTTTTTCTGCTGAGAATGGCGGATACGGACCTTGTCTTAATTGGTACATCTCGCAATTGAATGACATCAATAGAGAAGACGACAAAGGTGAACGCATTCCCGTCAGTGCGGGAAGACAAAATTTGACATCGCTCCAGGCATCCTGGAGAAGAACCATACTTTGCAACAACCAACACTCCTTGTTTCTAGCAATAACTTTATCACAGCAGCAGCGGACATGGCTAGCCAGATGAGGCCTCTTGCGCCCAAGATGAAGGAGGAGTCATTAGACGCGGGTCATGTAAGCATGAAACTCCTTGGTTCTTTGTCCTCGGCACCTAGAACTCTCCTCCATTGCGTTCTCAGGCACGGCTTCATCTTCCCCCGGTCTTGCTTTCAAAAGAAGACCTGTTATTAATCTTCTGTAGTGGCTAATGCTCGAAAAACCGAACGAAGTGAACGTCATGATAGAAAAGTTCTTGGAGGAATAGACGAGGCCCGCAACCCAGAAAAGTCTCTATTCATAACAGGGTGAGGAAATGGTGAGTATGCACTCCCGAATTGGGCGGAACAACGAGTTTGTTGTTAGTGGTAATTGGTGAGATAAGAAAGCAGTAGCCCATAATTCATTGAGAAGACTTGGTGTCTAATCCATGAAATCGTAATTCTTCAGCTTGCATCTCACAAGTGGTGAATAACGCCGGCGCTCGAGGGATCCTTGGTGTCGGATGACCCGCGTTGTATGCACGGGTGTTCCGCCAGACCCCTGTACGTAATTCACATCACGTATGTCTGATTTGAAATCAACCACCCAGAGCTTATATCTTGAAGAGTTTCAGTATTTGGAGTGGTTTCGTTGGATGCTGATTGAAGTTTGACCGTTTTCTTGTCATTAAATATGTCTACCCACGCCGCTGTTGTGACCGTGGCACCTCGTGCTAAAGTCGATGTTATTCAAGTCAGTTACGGAACATCAATTTTAATATAATATATGCGAGGCAGGTGCTGAAACTTGCAGGTCCTTACTGTCAAACCTGTCGACGGAGAAGTTCTTGTGAAAGTCCAATGGACGGCGTCGACTCCTCTTGACCTCCACCAAAACGATGGTGGCCTTCTTGTTAAGCATCCTCAGGTATTCACTCCAATACAGCTAGAGCTCCCCTGTGCTAAGACTACCAGGTAATGGGAGATGGTATCGCAGGAACCGTGGTTGAACTCGGTCCCAAAGTCAAGAACCTCAAAGTTGGAGATCAGGTACTTGTTTTTGGGATTATGAGTTTGGCGACAGTCGTCTCTAATAATTTCTAGGTCTTCGGTTTTGGTTGGAGGGAACAAAAGGAGAAAGCTCACCAAGAACTAGCTACTGTCCCTGAGTACCTTCTCGGGAAGGTGGGATAAGCCTGAAGTTTTCATCATCTGGCTTGTATTAACAGCTTCAGATCCCCCCAAACTCGACACCCCAAGAGGCGATCACACTGCCAAACAACTTTGTGACGGTATTCCATGCTGTTAGTACGGATCTAGAACTCCCTCTCACATGGCCACGCCCGTCTTCCACGCCACCACATGCTGATGACCCAATCTTGATTTGGGGTGGTTCTTCCTCTGTGGGACAATACGCTCTCCAAATCCTCCGCTATTATGGCTACACCAACTTGCTCGCTACCGCTTCCAAGGCCCACCGTGAAACACTAAGATCGTTTGGAGCCCGAGAAGTATTTGATTATCGTGATCCCGAGATCTCAAGTAAATTACTCGCTGCAGCAGGTGGCGAGATCCCGTTCGTGCTGGACTGCATTGGATCCAAGTATGGCAGCATTGCTCCAATTTCTAAAATTGCAAAGAAGGGAGCAAAAGTTGCCATAATGCTGCCGGTTATCGTGACGGATGCTAGCGAGACTTCTGCTCCAGAATACGAGATGGATGTGACCAAATCGGTAGACTGGGCTGAAGGAGTCCTCGCATGTGGTGTCAGGACTCATTTCTATCTGGACGTACGTACAAAGCTCATTCTTGGGGGAGGATATATTATTAATCTGCCACAGAATGAACTCTTCAAAAAACAGCTGCAATCAGAAATTATGCCAACAATGTTAGCTGAGGGCATAGTAAAACCAAACAAATATCGTATCATTGAGGGTAAGACCTTGCGAGAAAGAGCGCAGGGTGCTATGGACGCCCTAAGACGGAAAGAAGTCAGTGGAGAAAGACTTGTTTGGCGGGTTTCCGAGTAGAGTTCTCGAGCTCGTCACTTGACTTACGACACATATTTGAAAACTGACGCATAGCAAGGTGGATAAAAACATTGGGTGCAATATCAAAATTGATATATACGCGAAGAACTCTCAGTCTTTTCGTTGACTATGTAAAGCCGTTGAAGGCATATCTGCCCTACTCTGGCCTCTATTGCAGAATGATAACTCCGTTGTGACCATGCAAAACTTATTTGCTTTTCCACCAATCGAGATCGTTGAGATCTTCAGCTTAAACGCCAAATTTGTTGAAGTTTTGCCCCAAACACCGCGCTATAATGCAATGCAAATAGTCCATATGAAAATGTCCTCATCATCCACTTGCATGTTGAATCATTAAGTCGTAAGGAAATCCCCACGCATCACGCGCCATTTGTGAGACGTGTGTTTTTGATGTCGTTGGATTTCTCGTGATCGCCGTTGGTCTGGGAATGACCATTTACAGCAATGACTTCGAATTCCTTGTTCAAGTCATTGACTTGGAGCCCATCGAACAAAGGAAAGAGTCCATGGCTTTGATGGAAGTCGTTGTGGACTTATGGTTGGATCGTTAGCGCCAAGTTCATGCCAACATAAAATAGAAGAAAGCTATTACCTATATTCACGAGGAACCAAGTCTCCATCATGTTCTCAATCAGATGGCGACTTGGACTCAGAGACGAGTGACAGCGTGCCCAATCCGTACCCAGACGGAAAGCTTCATCCTTCCATGCTAGGAAGCTTATACGCTCAACGATAGTTGGCTGAACAATCTCCTTGCAAGGGAATACACCCCAAGTCACAGCATTGGGCCCATCTGCAGAATTGGTCTTTAGGGGGCTCGCTTTGCTGACTGCATAATAGGTCAATTCAGGATCACGTTCGATACGAGCGATCAATTCGCCAATCAAATTGGGAGGAACAAGGAGTTCCAGGTAAGCCTTTTGATATACATATCCATTACGTGGCCCCCAACCATAGACTGGATCGCTCGACTTTACACCATCGACTGCTGGCTGGGAGTTGATGGTAAGGAATCCACGCTGGTTGAGACTGATTAGATCTGCCTTGATGATATCTGCCTCGTTCGTGATTGGCGCTTCACTCCAGGGAAGACTTTCGACACCATTTTCTAGGTACTTCACGAAGACGTTGGCAATATCCTTGATGGTCTTCGGTTCTCCCCAAAGCTTGCGATTTTGCTCGTTGGTGCCTTTGAGCCCGATGTCATAGGCATCAAGTTCTCCAAAGGCAGGTGATCTCGCATCACCCCACCGACCATTGGGGAATTCGTCCCAATCTTGAGTTCTCGCAACGTATGACTTGTTGCGATTTTTCCAGAAGATTGGGCGCACGTCCTCGTCGCGGCGTCCGAGTCCCAGCGATTGTCTCCACGGCAAAGGTTGAGTGAGAGGTCGGTGCACGGATGGCAGTAGATCCAGTTGCTCCAAGACCATACGAGTAGCTTGCGCCAAGTTCATCGTATAGAAATGCAAGTGGTGAATCCCGCCTGCCAAAATCTTGCGACACATTTCCGCTACAAGACCAGTGCCAATGCTTCGAACCGCGGCATCGTCGTTCTTGACCTCTTCCAAAGCCGCACTCCATTCTGGTGGGATCTTGCAGCCCATATGATTTGCTCGTCGTAGGAAACTTGAATAAGTATTGATTGGCATGATTCCCGGAACGATTGGAACAGTAATGCCTTTGGCTCTGACCTCTGAGACCCATCGAAGGAAATTGTCGGCATCGTAGAACATCTGGGTAACAATGAACGTAGCACCCGCATCAACCTTCTCCTTCAAATGCTCTAGAAGAATCGCTTCGTCCTTTTGATCATCGCTTCCCTCGGGATAGCCTGCAACGCCTATGTCGAAGTGATCTCCATATTTCGCTCGAATGTGCTTGACCAGATCCTTTGCATATTGAAATCCACCTTCAGTGGCTTCCCATTTCTCTTTCTCTCGAGGTGGATCTCCACGAAGGGCCAGAATATTGGTACACCCAGCGTTGCGTGCGTTGTTGAGTGCCTCATTGACCTTGTCCTCGCCCATATCGGTACATGTAAGATGCATAGAAGTTTCGAGGCCACTACACAAACGATTAGCACTGGAATAGTTGATGAGTGACGAGGAAGCTCCCGAGACATTTTCCCGCTCCGGAGCATGCCTAGAGAACCTCGCAAGCCTGTTTGGATATGCTTACTATGTTGTCTGAGCTACACCTACCATCTCACAAGTGAGCTCTGCTAGTCGTCCTCCGGCGCCCCAGGTAATATCAATGAAGCTAGGGCCGAATGCATGCATGCGGTCCATACGGTCGTATAAATTTTGTACACCCTGAGCTGTCTTGGGAGGAAAGAACTCGAACGAGAAGGTTGGCTGGCCGGACTGCTCAGAGCCAGCTAGTATGTCCTTGATATGCATCTCGGCGGTGACGATGATATGCTATGAAGTCGGAGGAAAGTCTATAGAAGGAAATCTACCAATCTGCGAAGTGTTAGCAAAGTGCTTCCAGGAAGAAAATTATTCAAGTCTGTGAAACGAGAGAGAGAGAACATGAGCTTCCCAGTCGGTGCTGAAGACATGCAATTGTACTCTGTACGCCTCCCGGAAGACAGCGTCCCATGTTCCCATGCAGGATAAGCTCCGAAGCTGGGACAAGACGCACCTTGTTGACTTGGAGCTTGCGCGACCTGATGTACTCTGGGCAGCAGGCAATGCTAGCCAAAATATCGCTTCCGGGCCCACCGATCTGCTACTTCCCGCGGCATATACAACAATGTCGGAGGAGCAGCTGCGGATAGGACAATAGAAAATCGAATGGGGCACAGGAGAGAAAGGGAAATTTCTGGAAGGTGGTGAAAGGGAGCGAGTGCAAATTTGAAAAAGACCGAACAACGGAGCGGTGTGGGGTGCAAAATGCCCGAACTTGAAGTCAAATGAAATTTAATGGTGAGGTCAGTAGAGTACAGTAGCTTTATGCAGAACGATATGTGGGGGTCAAGAAAATTACTACATTACTATGAGTCAAAACTCAACTCAACTTTTGCTACTGTGCAGCAACTGCACAGCACAGCGCATTGTCCATGATACTCCGGTGGTACGACCCGCAGCGCTTGATATTTTGCACCTGTATATTTGTTGTATGTATGCATGTATGCATGTCGTAGCCCCGCCACCAGCCGTTTTGGTGGGGGAGGGGTAATTTAACATCGCCATGAGTGCTGCCAGGGACCATCAACTCACCCTCCTCTCCTCCCCGAGACAGGAAGACAACATCACAAACCGATTGGTGCGACCTGCCAGAGGGGACAGAGGATTTCTAGGAACACGTTATTTGCGTACACACTCGGTTTGCAGAGCGGCTAATTGTGTGATCGATCGAAACAAGTTGTATTTTGGGTAGTACAGGCTGCACGGCGTCAATCCCCGTTGGACTCCAGCATACATACATACATACATACGTACAGTACCTGCTGTACCGATTTGCTACAAACTGCAAACACAAAGCTACACGAATTCCGTTCCAACCGTTGACATCCACTCCAATGGAGAGCCAGGAAGGCATTACAGGCGCCCGCAGCAGTGTTCGTGTCATTCTCTGACTATCTATGTGAAAAGACCTGTTTTCTACACTGACTTTCTACATGTCTGTCTTATTATCATCCCAAGAACGCCGCTACTCATTTAATCCATTCCAAGAACTCTCACGGGTATCACAGACTTTCATTGCCCAAAATCGCTACCGCGCATCGTAACCCATCAAAAATCATCCATGCGATGCACTTTCCTCATCAGCCCTCAGACCACTGTATTTGGTGCCATGATTTGCCGTGCTCAGCCTTGCGCACAGCCCTAGAAGAACGACTGTCTCCGTTGCCGCGTAGTGGTTGAGGGCATCGAGCAAGATCTGTAAGTGTCTGCTGAAATTCACCTCGTACTTTTCGATGAGTTCAGTTAGCTTTCCGAATTCATTCGAGGCTGCCGCAGAGCCGTTCGATGCTGTGGATTCACCCAGTCTCTGTTTGCGATCGGCTTGATAGCGTTTCCATTGGTGCTTGCTCATGTGGCTGGGCTTCTCCGTGCCAGACAAGTCTAAGTCGGCCTTCTCTAGCCCGCGCGCAAGATAACCCGTGTATGTGACAAACCATGCACAAGTCTGCATTAATTTTGAGTAGACCTGTAAATGTTAGCAAGGGAAGTAGCTTGTCAGTTATAAACATACTCTTAACAGTCTCCCATTAGTGAGCATGCATTCTTTCAAGCAGGTATCAAGAAAGTCGATATGATCTTGCATGAGCTTATCAACTGTCCGGATTGCTGTCGTGCCATCTTTGCTGTCCTCTTTCGTCTTAAGACTGGTCATGAAGGCTTGCCAATTGGGCTCAATGACTTCTGCCGTACTGAAGTACAACAGTTGTTGTACGAAGACTAGCATGCGGGCACGCAGTGTAAAACACCGTCGTTTCCACATCTCTATAGCCTTATTCGAGCTCTTGTGAGTCCAGATGGCTGATCTGTTGTGGGACTGCCAACACGAGATAAGTTGCTGCTCAAGATGCCGGAGAGAGAGGAGATGCCGAAAGAGCGCTTGGTATCTCCACACAGTACCTCTGCTGATGACGAGTGAGACAGGAAACGGGACTGAGTAGTCAAATTGTAGAGAAGTAAAACCAACTGCCGCTTTGTCGCTCTCATTGGTGGGCTGAGAGACCGGAGTTTGTAAGGTTTCGCCTTGCTCGATGCCGGAGATGTTGACAACTCTTGTTAACATATTGGTCAAGCTGGTCTCATTCATCTCAATCTTGATATCTTCCTTGAAGGGGTCCTGGGCAGCTACACTGCCAGGCTGCCGTAAGACTATATCAAGCAGTGATTGAAGCTTGCTCGTGTTGACACTCTTCACTGGTTTTCGGAGTTCAGATGTTCCGAGCTCCAAAAAGGAGGAGAAAAAATCGGACCGATCTAAGAAGAAATAGTGCTTCAGAGACCTCAAGCGAGCGGGTAGCGCATGTGTTGTAAGTAGCAGTTCCAACAGCGACTGATTGGCGTGAGCATACGCACTATTGACGTTGTCGAGAAATCGGTTGTCGTCAAAGGACCGTGGGACATCCGTGACGACCTTGCTCACATCAACTCCACCACACTCTCGAACAACGTTCAGATATTTCCCTGCTAATAATACCTTGTCTTTCACGCCTTCAAGCTGTGGTGGGACATCATGATCTCGGATAGTGTATCGCCTTTCCCAGTATTCGTCCGTATAATCTTCCTCCAGCCTCTCTCTTCTTATACTCTTCTGCTCCCTGACTAGAAATTCTGCGTGGGGATCTTTGATACTTCCATGATGTAACCACTGGTTTAGCATCATCATGTAAGGTCGGCTGGCATCTCGTAGAAGGGAAGTTAGCAGTGTCCGTGCAGCTGGATCTCCTGACATTGTTTCTAGCCGCTTCGTGATCAAGCCCAAGACGCTACCTCCTCTACAAATCTTCTTGCCAGGTATGCCTCCAGCTCTAAGGTCGCCACCCTTGTTCAAACTCTCTATGATGTTCGCAATATCATTAGAATCGTCATCCGAGTCTTCGTCCTCTAGTAAAGAGTTTCGTTTTAAGATTTCATGAGCCAAAGAGTAAAGCTGGAACATCATATGACTGGTAGGAAGCGTGTGCAGATTCAGAACATGCAGCGTGAAGGAAGAGTTCGTCAGGAACTGCGTTTCCAGCTGAGCAATGAGAATCAAGTAGTCCTGCAGCAGTTTTCTGATAGCGGCACACAACGCATGATTGACCGCACCAAATTCTTTCCGGCTTTGAACTTCCACGAAGGCTTCCACTGCACCGTAATGAGTCGCCATCTTCAACATAGTCGTCGTCAGGTCCTGTAAGCTAGGATCCAAGCCGGATAGAATCTTGAACTCAGGGCCGGCAAGACGATCCTTTTCCACGGTAGGATTATAATTCTTGGCAAATCGAATATATTGTCCTTCGTAACCCATGAACACCATGAGAAGGTCTTCAAGAATGGCAGCTTCTTGTACTTCTAGAGACAACTCGTGGAGAGGTCGAGGTTGTAGTGATTGAGGGGCTTCGGATGCGAGCGGTGGAATGGTGATTCGTGATGCAAGAGGAGCACTTGTGTATGGTATTAGTGACACTTCGGGGCTCCATGGTGCTAAAAGCAACACCGTCAGTCAAAGATCATATATAGGGAAGCAAAGAAGTAATACCTAGCGGTGCTTCCGCCTTACTTGACCTAGGTCGGGAGTCCCCAGAATATGCCCTACCTACTTCATGGGCTCTTGGCTTTTCGGAGGGCTGTACTGAAGGACCAGGTCGTCGTTCTGGACTTCTTGTCCTGGAAGTCAAAGTCTCCCTCGTCGTAATCTGAACCCTCTCAGTCCGCCTCTCTTCTACATTTCTGCTCGTCCGCTGCGTGCCTGAAGCCGTCCTCCGATGAGTCGTACCAGACGTACCAGACGTCACAGATGGTTGCGGTGATTGTGTTCGGCGAGGATCTGGTCGCTCACATTTAGTTCCTCGTTCCTGTTGCGCAGATGGAGCGCGGGGTTGTGTATTTCCATTATCTGTTGCAGTCCTGCGTTCAGTTCGAGAGGAGACCCTGGCGTTAGACGAAGAAGACATGGCCGTCACATTGGTGCATCCAAATACAAGAAGACCAAAGCCACATAAAATAGACAGCAGCCAGAATGCCAAAGATTGGGATATTGAGTCTGTTGACTTTGCGTACGGTACAGTAACAACGCGAAAGCGCGTCCGACTAGACTAGTCTGTTTAAGGCCGAGCACTGAACCTTAAACGGGCTTCCTTGTCATTTTGAGAGCTTTCGCGTACTGGCCTGCCTGGACGAGCTCTCAAACCTCCAACTCTCAGCAATAATTCACTACCTACCTCCCTTCAACAACGGCTTGGACGATTCTGCGAAGATCTCTACAGCTTGCCATCAACTCTTCTCGTCTCGGAATCCTTCGTCACTCGTGTGAGACTTCAAGATGTTTATTGCTCGGTCAGAATATGGTAAGTGCTTAGATTTGGCTACAGCTCTCAACGCTCCAAGCTAATTCTTTGTAGATCGGGGTATCAAGTACGTTGCCATTTGCTGTCACATTATTTATAAAGTCTTGGACGCATGTGAAACTCGAACATGAATACTGACTTCCACGCCCAGTACCTTCTCCCCGGAAGGTCGTCTCTTCCAAGTCGAGTACTCCCTGGAGGCAATCAAGCTAGGATCGACTGCAATCGGAGTCGCAACAGGCGGCGGAGTTGTCTTAGGCGTCGAAAAGCGAGTTACATCCACTCTGCTCGAGACCTCATCCGTAGAGAAGATTGTCGAAATCGACCGCCACATTGGTTGTGCCATGTCCGGACTGCAAGCCGATGCACGTTCCATGGTCGAGCATGCGCGCGTTGAGTCTCAAAACCACGCCTTCCACTACAATGAGCCATTAAGAGTGGAGAGCTGTACTCAAGCGATTTGTGATTTGGCACTGAGATTCGGAGAGGGTGCTGATGGTGAGGAGAGCATCATGAGTAGACCTTTTGGTGTTGCGCTCTTGATTGCCGGTTATGATGATGATGGACCACAACTCTACCACGCTGAGCCTAGTGGAACTTTCTACAGATATGATGCGAAGGCTATTGGGTCAGGATCAGAAGGTGCACAAGCGGAGCTGCAAAATGAGTTTCATAAGGTATGCGGACAAGAAGGTAAAACCACGGATAATTGCTAATTCATGCTGCAGTCATTGACAATCGAGGAAGCTGAAACGCTAGTTCTGAAGACATTGAAGCAGGTCATGGAAGAGAAGCTGGACTCGAAGAATGTTCAGTTGGCGAGCGTAACGAAGGAGAAGGGATTCAGAATCTACACAGACGAGGAGATGGCTGCCGTTGTGGAAAGATTACCAGCGAATTGATGACACAACCTGTATTACAACCCTATGGCATGGCAGAATAACGGAGTTACGAGGGAAAATAAAGCCGTCTTTAGACAATATTGCATCTCGTGGCATGACCGAAGCACTTCTGGAAGGCGAAAAGAGCTTTCGCTCTAACAGCAGTCATCAGAGTTACAAGCGTCTCGACGGATTATCTACCGAGACCTTTTCGTGATTGCTTGAAGCACAAATGACTGTACTCCATGTTTACTTGTCTGCATATACTGCTTGCTCTAAGTAGTGCAACGAAGTTTTTACAAGTCATAAATTCCTTCAATTCGTCAAGCTACGTTACTATCGTTGGTATATAGGTAATCTGAGACAAGCCACCCGATGCGTCGCCAACATTTCCCATCGAAATAGTTTTCCCCTTTTTATGACCTACGATTCGTGTCCAGATCCAACTTCTCAAAGTCTTCCTCCAGACTCAGCACACCCATTGCATAGTGCACTCGGTCTGACCTCTCGATCACGAGACGTCTTTCCTCACTCGTCTTCCCGTTGAAAGCTCTGTCAATTCGCCGCGAGCTAGACCAAATGTCAGGCACGATCCGTTCTTCTTTGGTCCTCACGTAAGGTGGGCCTTTGCCCAGCTCACCCGTCTTTACCCAAGTGGTCTCACATCCTGATACAATGGCCAGTGCTGATTGCCAGCCTGTCAGACGTGCAATATCTCGAAGTCTACAGACTGTCCAGGACCGCTGCTCTGCGTTTTGATACTACGAAAGTGTATTAGCGTTAATACTTTTAATAACAAAAATGGCGGAGACTTACTTGTACACCGGAAACAAACAGAGGCTGACAAGATTCTATCAGCGCTGCTCCAATACTAGGGCTTACTTGCGCAGTCATGCTGCAGTCGGGAGCAATTCCAGCAGCGATGCGTCCGAGTTCATTTGCGAAGAACGCTGTCTGGCGGGCCGATATCCCGGCTGCCATCATTGCTGCTGGAGGCATCGATGGATGAGCGCGGTAACAGGCAATCAACCCCATGTAGTAATTCATCCATACACCAGCGATTCCAAATGTACGGTACTGAAGCGCGGGTCCGAATGGGGTCTGTATTGGTGCTGAAAACTCAGGTCCCAAGGCTTGGAATTCCTCCCCAAGATGATCCTCGATGATCGCGAAACCATTACGAATATCTTGCCAATCTTCTTCTGCTTCCCGTGTTTGTGCTTGGAGATCGAGATCTTCACTCTGCGTGCTACTGCTCTGAGGAGAGCTGTCTCTCGATGACTCGAAACCCATGGGGAGCGTTGCTTCCTTTACATCAGGAACCATGCCGCTGAAACCTGGTATTGGAGGTGCCTTTGGTGTTTGGGGAGAACCTTGTGTTGGTAGAGACTGGTTCGCTTGTGGTGGTGTGCGCATCGACTCAGGCGGTTGCCACCGACCTCCATTCATTTTTATAGCATGTCGTTTTCTCTTGAGGTCTTTTGCTGCAAAATTGGCAAGCCTACCCATTAGTAGGATCAAGTGGTCAAATGTCCCGTATCTACTTGCAGTTAGTAAAATCTTCGGACCTTTTTGAGACAGCTCTTACATTGCGCTCAGGCGACCAAGAGGCGCTCTTGGAGGGCAATGGCTCCACAACGAATAATCCATACTAGATTCTATCAGTACAAATCCCATAATATATACAACATGGACTTACAATAGCCGCCCGCCCCCTAGGATACTCTGATATGTATCCTGCTTACAGTACCACCAGAACAAGTCACGTTGTGTCTCATATATTTCCAGGTCTCTTTCAGTGTACTCTTTATCCTCGTCGATCTCGGTAGTATCGCCATCCATGATGTGTCCGTACCGGTCGTACCGAACCTGATTTCCCATCAATCGCCCAACAATATTCTCATCTACTTCATCAATGTGCGGCTGGAAGCGAGGTTCTTCGAAGTAGTGGGCAACTTGATCGTGTTGCCGTCGATCCTCAGCCGTCTTTTTCTTGATGTATCTGGTCATCTGCGCAAAGCCAATCTCACGTACCAATTGTCTGGCGCCCAACAAGTGATTGCTCCATTTCTGATGATCCGCGGACCAGCATTCATAAAACGCAAGTAAGAGCGCCGCAGCTAAAGTAGCAGGATGTCCTCGACGGGATGGAAGGCTGACACTTTTCGCGACTCGGCGAAGACTGAGTGCATAATGCTTATACGAAGCTGTGATGGGGCCATTTTGGAGTTTTGAAATGTGCAAACTCGCGATTGCAAGCATTGCGTGCAACAGGGCTGGATTCTGAAGTGCAAGGGTGGGGAAGGTGTCTGCACAAGTGTTAGTGGATGCTTCTCTGTGTACTTTTCAGATCACTCACAGGTCCACATGTGCTGTTGTGTTTTTGGGACCGGTTCGCCTTGGAAAATGAGAGACGGGTTTGCGGGGTGTCTCTCAAACATGGAAATACATGGAGCAGTGACATTTACAAAATGGCAAAAGATCCTGGCCGTCATTGGATCCCGCAGAGGTGTTGACTGGGAAGATGGTGTATAGGTGGCGAGCATGTCTGGACGGTCAATAAATGACGTGAAAGATCGGAGGCTTAAGCCATGATTATCTTGATTGGCTTGAAGAGCGACGACAATTCCTAGGTCGTTGTTTTTGAGATGGTCATCCTGTGAGACATCTCGCCACACACCAGACTCGTTGTGCTCGCCCATCTCAACGTCTTCGTCTGAAACGTCAAATGGGTCATCATCGTCTTCCATGGCATCGATTTGATGTTGGTCGAGAGGCCACGGCTGACTGATATTCCATTCGCTTTGAGGAGGATGCGTCGCAAGAGGCATCAACCCTTGCCGATACACTGGGTTATTCTCATGGCCCTTGACGCTGTGTTCAGTTCCCCCAGCCGGTCCTACACCTTCCAGGGCTGACTGTAGGGTGGAAGTACTAGATGCCGCCGATGTGAAGGGGTTACTTGAGGTCGTGCTCGCACTAGAAGGATCCCAAGTGGAATTGGCCGTATAATGATAGAAGTCGGCAGGCGCTGACAACTTTCTTGGGAAATCATGGTCGCTACTTGGAGCTGATGACTTAGACCCACGACGAGACCCATCGGACCAACCAGCTGGGCTGATCAGCGCTGGACTGATTGGAGGCTGTTTCCCACTTCCTTGGCTCAGGGAATCAAAGTCATAGTGAGAGGTTTGTTCGACGGAAACGGATTTCTTTCTGGACCCCTGTCTCTGTGGATGGATTTTAGTGTCTACTTGAGGTCTGGGTTGCCGACCTTGTGCAGAGACCGGTGGAGGAGGTGCCATGGTTGTATTCGGTCGGGAAGCTGTAGCCTCGGAAAAGTTATATACTCTCCGATCGATACCTGGAGATGTTACAGCAGGTAAAGACATGGAGCTGGAATCGAAAGTGTTCGAGTGAGGCCGGAAGGTACCGGGTGGTTTAGGGGCAATGGGCGTCGTCTTCTGACCCGGGCCTGTCTGAGAGAATGACTCTCCACGACGAACATTAGGCGGATTTGAAATATTTCCGGAGAAGGACATGTGTGATTGAGCTGACAGTGAAGGCCGGTATGCATTCAGAGGGTCTTTGAATATCACTCTCTGGTTGTAACCTTCACATTGGCGCTTTGATTTTGTGCAATTCTGGCATACTAGCACCCGAAGTCAATCACTGTCTAGGAAAAGCAGAGTTTGCGGGAAATGGGCGGCGTTGAAAGTTCGCTTCTTAGTAGAAGGCAGTAAAAATGCCAGAAGTCAGGTTGGAGCCTTACCTGGCTTTTCTTCCCCACACTTTATTCGACGTTTCCGGCATGCTGGAGAGATGTCAGCATACGATCACGCTTCAAGAACTGATGCAAACGAACTTAAGCATCCCGTTTTAGTCCGTTTCCTGCCTTGTGCTTTGGATCCAGGCTTCTTTGGTGGGGGTTCATCGCTGTTGGCTACCGATTCCTTCGGCTGGGTTGCATCGCGTGTAGGCGACTCTGGATAAGCCTCGAAGTTATCCATTGCTGACCACAACATTCGAAATGTCACTCTTCAACGCTGGATAGATAATGCCTCATCGTGTGGTAGTTCGAGAAGTCTTGTAGGGCTGGACAGTGGATCCCGGGAAACCCTGGGACGGGCCGTTGACTTACTTAAAGGATCTCCAGGCCCACGAGAAGTGTCAACTAGAATATCGCGAACCAAAATATATGCACTTGTATTCGAGAGAACTTCAAATATTCATAGCCAAGCAGGCCCCAGGGAATTGATGTCAGATAGGACCGATAGCTAAGAGAGCGAGCAAGCGCTCAGATGAGGTCAGGGCAGTTACTCAGTCGTCTTGTCTAGACGAGCCAAGAAGTTGATGGGCAAGCTGAGAGCTAAGAGGTGGACGAGCGTCGAATTTGGCTAGACCGGAGTGGTCGAGGTTGGGCTGTAGCTGGGCTCGGCTTTCTCAACTACGGTTAGACGTAGGAGATGGAACTTGAGGTTTGGATGAAAGCGAGCTTTGCAATCTGTATCTAAGTATCAGTCCTGATTTCGTCTAGTGAGATCAAGGTCTGATCTAATGCAAAGAGCACGAGGAATGAGCAGGCCGGTCAGTGGTATTCGATCTAATAAAGCACCCGCGGGAGATGCGGTGCGGTACGATGCAAGCGCCGATGGAGACTACTAGCCTGATGAGCTCGGCCAGCTAGTATAGTTACCCGTTTTAAGAGGTAATAGGAGTTCCTCAAGTAGTCGTAGTGCCAAGGTTACGCATCCACCAGTAACAAGTGCCCGAATGGCAATAATGAGAATGAGAACAAGAATGATGATTTAGAGACTTCGACCTGAGCGACCACACAGACAAGCAGCTGATCGGTCTAGCTCTGGAAGATGATGTACTAAGCATGCATCATTTTCATCGTCTCTTTTCTGCTTCGGGGGGTTCTCTCGACAGGATCTCTGTCATACATGGCTAGGAAATAATTGGACATACGAAGGTTTTCGTCTTCTCTTCTCTCCTCCACTCTTTGCTGTCAATTATTTTTTCTTTTCTTCTTTTTTTCTCTCTTCTCGGGGCCCCGAAAGTTGTCTGGAGGTCAGGTATCTGGTTCACAAGGTTCTGACTGTGCTATGGGGGTGGCGGGGTGAGGGGATGCAGCGGTACATAAAGAAACAGAGCTTTGGCGAGTGAGAGGCTTCGGATCGGCGTGGCGGTATAGCGGCGATTTCTTGAGCAACGAGGAAGCTGCAGCGTTCCACTGCTGGCAAGTGACTGGTCGACACGCGGCGAGGGAGATCTGATACAGTATTGTATGGCTGGAATCGAGAAAAAGATGTCGCGCACACACACACACACACACACACACAGAAACAACTGGTAAATTGGTCAAGGATCGCGGCAGCGGCGGATGGTCCTACAGTAGCTGAAATGTTGACCAAGAAGAGATACTGTATGTAGGTGATCTTGTTACTCCGAATGAGGTCGAGGGGCGGCCGTGGCTTTTCTGTCAAGTGGCACGCCTCTCCGCATCTGTGCGTGATTGCTGATTGCTGATTGCTCTTGACGTTCTCAATTGCGTCTCATCCACCATTTCGAGACATCCGAATGAATTGTGTGTGTAGTTGACACAGGCCATGGGCTCGTTGTCGTCCGTACTGGATGGCTGGCTGGATGGCGACTTCTCCTCTGTCTGCACTGGCCCGGACCGGATTCGATGGAGTACGCCAAGTACGGTAAAATCAAGAGAAGCAGTTCAGGATGGGATAGGTGTTGTATGTATATATCAGAGTATTTTCAAGCTGAGGAGAGATCCTTCAACTATTCAAGTGCTTGCAGATTGTCTGTGCTCTTCCAGGGGAGCCTTGCTTGCTTGCAGTCTTCATTGTACGGTACGTGCGTAAATTTACCTACCTACCTACCTACCTACCTACCTACCTACTGTACCAGTCAGCACAGCAGTATCATGGCCTTCGTGGGACGACCTACAGTAGTAGTGCAAGCCCAGTCATTCCAGAATCTGAGATCAAGATCTCCTTCTCTTCCTCTTCCTCTTCCTCTTCCTCTACCAAAGTTCGCACCCCTCTTCACGGCCGTGTTCTCACAGACTCGATCATTGAGGATACAGTCCAGTCCACAGCGGGAGCGGTGGAACACAGTTCCGCTGTTGGGCCTAGTCTGTGTGTAATAGTCTACCTATCTATGATGTGCCCGTGTCACTAAAACTCAAAAATGTCCCGCTGCAGAAATGCAGAAATTCTCCTCTCCCAGCCTCCCACCTTGTCTGCCGGACGTTTTCACGTTAAAGTCCCCGACAGTCCAGTCCATTCAGTCCCGCTGCCATCCGAGCTGAGCACAAAACAATCACACCGTCCATCTTTCACATAATTAACTGCTTTACCTACAGGCAGAAGATCTGTCTCACACGTGCACACAGAGTACAAGGTAATCTTACCATCCCTATACTTGCCGTCCAAGAGGCTTTCCACAAGATCTCGACGAATACACGGGACGTGATCTAGAATCTCAAGCTGTTCTCGACATCTCCATTGGGACTGCATACCAAGATTCTGATTCCGCTGTCAAACACTCTTTGCTTTCGTCCCAGCCGCAGTTTCACGTAGGAGTCTTGCGCCATTGTTTGATCCGAATTGTGCACTGAGACTGAAATGCTGCTAGCGAGCTTCCTGTGCAAAGTACTACAGTAGGTAGATGCGCTTTCGCTGAGCCCTGTCAAACTTGTGGGTTCGAACCCAATTCATTGGGAACTTCTTTTGACTTATGAGACCATTCATTCATCTTAGTTTGTTTTTTCTGCTATTTCCCAATGCATCTCAGCTACTTCACATATTCCGCGATGCCTCTTAGCAGAAGAGCGTCCGGCAACTCTATACGCAATACGACCATGCTATTGATATTCAACCAGGATCCTTCAGGTCGGCGATGTGTGAAGCGGGAGCCGCGGAGACTGGGTATGTGATTGAACAGTGCACGGCTCGAGCATCACCTACTCAGCTGTCCGTGCAGGTCGGAAGCCCTTCCAATGCATAAACATTGCAAGGGAACAATTGTGCATGGTCTTATCTCTGCATTTCTGGGCTGACCAGTCCACGGACGCGGATGAAATGTGTTTCCCGGTGCCATGGCTCGATGATCAAGCAAGTGCATTCGAGAAACGCCTCAATATGAGTTTGTGTGCGGTATGCGGGGACGAAGCTTCTCCTGTTGTAGATGCAGTAGTCTACCTGCTATTTGCTTCATCTGTACTGCACTTTCAATCAGCCTCCAGCCAGAACTCGGATTTTCCATCTTTAGCAAATTCGCGACATCAATCTTATCTGCTTCAGGCTTCAGTGCGGTAAGTGGGGAACCAGGCTGGCAGCTTTGCACGTCTATTCTCCCTAGATTAGTCTGGATGATCCTGTCTGTAAATTCGATATCCTCAATCAACAGAAGAGATTCCAGCACTATGAGAGCCAGCAAGGCGAAATTACCAATTGCGAGAGTAAATCAATTTTCGCGATCAATACCGAAACTTCTCTCAAATATGATGTTAAATTGTTGTACAATCGTTTCCTTTCATTGTGTAATTCTTGTTTGTACCTTGGCTCCATCGAATGAAGATCAAGCCAGACCTCCAATCCATTTGGTCCACGAATGCTCCAAAGATGACTGATGGCTATGGAACGACCAGTACTCCATGCGGGGTCAGACGAGCAAGCCATTTGAGACACGAAGTTGAGTACGTAGTTCAACCTTCTGTAGGCAGCTCAAAGGTGAGCGAACTTTTGACGAACTGGGATGTTCACGAGCAAGTAGGGCACTATGATCACTCTGAAAGTCATACGTCATGAAGGATATTCTTCTTCCTGAACGTAAGAAGTAGTCCCGACTTACAATGAGAGCCAAAATGCCGGCGTTGTCTTGGGAATCCCTGAAATGCATGGTATGCGTCTTTGAACTTAACAAGTCGAGCCTAATCTCCTATCCTTTCATGGTGAATACCTCTAGATCTTGGAGTATACTTACACTATCATGGCAGAAATATGTGAACTGCGTCCTGCTTTTCGATTTGATCTCTTATTTTCCTGCAAGAGCTAGCCAAGCTATTCGAGTCAGCTACTACCAACCAGTTCACCTAGATAGCCTGCCCTCTTTCTCGCTCTTGTGACTTCGAATGGAGCTAGACTCAGCAAACCCAACCCGTGCAGTTAAGCCTACAAAGTAAAAACTAGTGTCACGCCTAGACTTACCAATACAGTCCTAGTACACTAGAGGATATAGTTTACGGCGAGAAAGGACAATTGGCTTGTTCAAGGGAGAAAAGAAAGTATAGACGCTTAGCAGAAAGAAAGACAAATCTCATACCAGGCAACATTAGTGTGAGATAGTGTAAATCTCAACTGGATATTTGGCCAGCTTATAGCAACCATCTTACAATACAGACTATGGTGACTAGTCCTCAAAGTCTCATAGATATACTTTGAGCTGATCATTTCTCTGTAAACTCTATCCCCAATAGAACATCTCGCCCACCATAGACAGAGAGGATATCATTTATCCCTACGCCTTCCGATGCCATGTATGTTTTACATGTTATACAGTCATACACTCTACGTCTCTCGATACCTTGCTCTATACCTTCTCCGCAAGTATCTCCTTCACAATCCTCGCCACATCCCCCTTTTCAACCGGCTTATCTCCAAGCACCTCCGGGCCAAAGACCCTCTTCAGAACATCCCCCATAGCCAACTTCCCCCCCTCACTCCTCAATCCCTCCACCACACCCGCTACGGCCGCCCGAATCTCCTCTTCCCCCAGCACCTTCACATCCCCCGCATACTCCTCCATTATACTGACCTGCAAATCCTCCTTATCCGCCAGATCCTGCCGGCCCGCATTCTTGAACTCTTCACTAGCGGCTTTCGAAGCGTTTGCGGATTTGCGGAGCAGAGCTAGCATTTGCATGTCTGTATTGATGGGATTGGAGGTCTTGGAGGCATTGAGGGTTTGGGAGAGCAGGGCGCGCAGGACGGAGAGGCGATTCGAGTCTTTATTTCGCATGGCGGTTTTCATGTCTTTTCTGTTGCGGGCAATTGGTCAGTAGGTGAGGTATTATGGTCTAGCTGGAGTTGTGGGAGAGGGAGGAGACGGGAGCTTGCCTGATCTTTAAGAGCATGGGCGGAGTGGTTGTGGTTCCTGTCGCATAACAGCGACTACAGAGCCGTGAAGCTCTGAGCATTGGTCTCGTAATCATCGTGATACAATTGATGAGCTCGAAAATGCGGGAAGAGGGAAGTGCTGCGGGATTAAAAGCTCAAATTGTGTGGGCAGAAGAGCTCTTCGTGATCTCCAGAACATTTTTTCGCTTCGCCAAAAGCTGAGACCTCGTCCATCCGAGCCAGGGACAATTGGGAACCTGATCCATGGCCAAAACATACGTCAGCTGCACGAGAGTTTTTTATGCTTTTTTCATTTCACCTTCTTCCAGATATGAAATCAATTGATACATGGAAATGATCTTCTGAAGGTGGAATGAGGGACCGGATTCTGATGTGAGTTATTTCCAATATCAATCTATATCCCGACCTTGCTACTCTGCTCGTTCTCCCCGGATTCCAGCTCCCCGCATTTCAGTGTTCAGCCAAGACTTTCAGCACGACGTGGAGCCGAGGATATTTGAGGAATGTCTTGATTTTAATAAATACGCACAGTGATATCAACTCAATTTGTTTGTCAACGTTCTGCGGGTCATTCGGCACCTTGAAAGCCATATTTGTGATTAGACGCGGCACGAGAGTCACGAGCTACCAGTCACGCCTGGCCTCTCGGTGTCAAACAGACGCAAGATGTGCCTCTGGGTCTCGAAATCTGAAATCGATTACTTTCCCCGTTCATATTTCACCTTCGAGCCTTCCATTGCTTGTTCTGGTACTGACTTTACTTCAACTGTGCCGTTCCCTATCACAAAGCTACCATTGACTGATTCACTTATTCAGACCTCAGACGACGACGACGACTTGCAGTGAATCTCATTATACTCACTACTTCCTTCGATCCATTGATTCACTTGAAAAGCTCAGACGAAAGACAAAGAGAATCTCCCACAATACCATCTCACAGCAAATCATACCAGAAACAAAGTAAATAATCATGGCAACAATTACTACGCCACCTCAACCCGAGCTTGCAACAAAGCCCTACCTCCTTGACGTACCCGACGAAGAGGCCCAAAGAGGTCGAAAACGCCGCCGTTCATCCGGTACTCACACTTCTTCAGCAGGTAGCACCACGCTCCGTGGTCGAGGCCGTCGTCGCTCTCTATCCGCAACCCTTCCATCGGCTGACGTGACCGAGGAACGACCACGATCAAGATCGCCAGGACGAAAGTCGCCAGGAAAGAAGTATGCAAAGAAGTATTTGGAGGTGGCAAGTAGGACGGAAAAGAAGAGAAGAAGTCAAAGTCCTAGCCGGAGCCGAAGTATGGGACGACAGGGAGAGCCGAAGCCGAGGCGAAGACAGAGAACTAGGAGCCGAAGTCGAGTCCATGATGAGAAAGGTGAGAATGAAAGAGAGAATGATCGTGCTGGTGTGGATTCAGGAGAGGTTGCTGTTGAAGATTGAGGGGGAGTGCTATTAATGATTTCTGTGCTTACGATTGAAGAAGTGGCGTTTCTGCACATGGTCTGCGGCGAATTGGCGTTGGAGATCTTGAAACAAGCGGTGGCGTTTGATTTGAAGATTGACTATTGCACTGGTTGCAAATCAATGTCAAATCTGCTTTTACTTGCTTTACGCTTAGGGTAACAGGTCGGGTTTGCTTTTTTCACCTTCTGCGTTGACAATAGCACTTTACTGTTTGCGCAGTCTTACACAAAATCACATATCATCTCGTAACTTGGTGGCCCAACCTACAAACGTTGTTTACCTTATTGTGTGCTCCATCTTGCCGTGCTAATTACGGGCATCTGCTATGTTATCATCAATAAGGCACGAAATCTGCATTCAAAGGTTGTTCAGCTTGCCAGACTCTAGGTATGAGAGCTCTATACAAAAGCAGTATAGAGTCTTGGAATTGCACGTTTGGGTTCCAGATTAGAATATCAGCAATAATCATTCACATAGGCATGGGAAAACTCGTGTTCTAGAGGAATTCGTTTCTCATGCAGCTAATTACATGGAAACTCGGAATGTCGACGAGTAACAGCAAAAAAGGGAAAGAGTATGGAGATTTATCACGCTCGCATCAAGCTCGCTGCTTTTTGGCCTAAGCCGATCTCAGACCAACCAACCACCGATGTCGTGACTGTGCTTTTCTCTCATGATGTTCGTATCGCGTGCAAATGCTTCTGATAATCTTGTGTCGATGTAGATGCGCAACACCGCAGTGAGCTGGCGAAGAAATCTACCAATGAAGATAGGATGCATCTATAGCTTATCATAGTACTGGTGACAATTAGCAACGTTCTCAATGGCATGGTGTTAGTGAGACTTACGTTCTCAACGCCTGGAACTTCAACCTTGAGACCCTTCTTCTTACGGATCTCCTGGACGATTTGACCGACTTTCGAGGTTCCGTCAATCGGTGAACCACCTGGAAGAATTTGCCAATGATCGAAAACGGATTGAGGGAATGCTTGGCCGGAGGTGTGTGAGCGGAGATCAGCGTTAAAGCCGAATGACTCCATGACGGGAAGATAGGCCTTGATGGTGAAGAGAGGGGTTCCAGGGCGTTGCTCTTCGGCGAAGACGTGACCTCTACGGCGGGTAAGGACACCATAGACACCTCCCATAGCGCTCTCGGGAACTTGAATCTCAACCAAGAAGACAGGCTCGAGGAGACCTGGCTCGGCAAGGAGAGCAGAGGCGTACAGGACACGGCGAGCAGTTGGGATGAGTTGACCACCGCCACGGTGAATGGCGTCAGCATGGAGAGTAACATCCATGATGTTGAATCGACATGATCGCATTGGCTCTTCGGCAACTGGTCCTTCTCGGGTAGCCCATTGGAAACCGGAAACGACGGAATCCTTGATTTCGTTCAGGTACTGAACAGCCTTGGTCTGATCAACCAACAAGTTCGCACCGCCGGCATCTGGTCCAAAACACCAAATCTTACGGGCATCTGTGACATCCCAACCATGGTCGTCGGCCAAGACACGGGCACGAGCCTTGAAGTCGTCACGGGGGCTGATACGACCAGCCTCGATTTCCTTCGAAACCTCCTCGTCAAGTGGCTCAGCAATCATGTAGAGACGGTTGTGCTTGTTGGGTGACTTGGACAAGGCAGTGATGCTAGACTTGCCAGTGACAGTCTCACGGTACTGAACGACAGGGTCGGAGATGCGGAGTGGAACACCTGCATGGTCCTCCTCAAGATCCTTCAAGCAAATCTCCAAGTGCAATTCACCAGCACCGGCAACGACGTGCTCGCCAGAAGGCGAGATGAAGGTCAAAACACAAGGATCCGACTTTGAGAGGCGCTTAAGTCCTTCGACCAACTTGGGGAGATCCTGAGCGTTCTTGACTTCGACTGAACGTTGGACGACAGGGGAGACGGAGAACTTCATGACCTTCAAGTTGTGGGCGGTATCACTGGTGGTGAGGGTACCAGATTTCAACAAGAATTGATCGATACCGACCAAACCGAGAATGTTACCGGCTGGGACATCATCGATAGGATCAACCTTACCACCCATCATGAGGACAGTACGTTGAATAGCCTTGATGAAGAGATCATCCTTCTTGCCGGGAGTGTAGTTGGGGCCCTGGATGCGGACCTTGAGACCAGATCGGACGGTACCAGCGAAAACACGACCGAAAGCGTAGAAACGACCCTTATCAGATGTGGGCACCATCTTGGAGACATACAACATGAGAGGTGCTTTAGGATCACAATCTCGGATACCAATGCATGCCTCATCGTCAGGAGGACCTTCGTAAAGAGTCTCAGCACGGTACTTCTGGGCAGTGACGGGAGATGGCAAGTGGAGGATCATCATCTCCAAAAGAGCATCGGCGGCAGGCAGGAAAGTTCTCATGACAACCTTGAGCAATTGCTTGCCCTCCTTTTCCCTGTCGTCGGGATTGAGCTTGATGTTGAGCTTCTCAAGGAGGGTTGGAATCTCATCCTTCTTGAAGTTCATGACGGCAGCGAAAATTCTGAAGATGGGGTCAAGGATAAATTGATTGAAGGCACGCTCCAATTGCTTGCCCTCGTGAGTTCCCTTGTTGGTCCACTTCTTGGTGTGGGGGTTGAAGTAATTGTCGCCCTGAATTAACATTAGCATCGCCCGCTATTGTCCTCTCGCAAAGAGTGCTTACCCATAGACGCTCCATCATCTTATTCCGGTCAACACCAAACTTCTTGGCATATCGTTGAGCAAATTGTCGAATGGTGAAAGCCCAGCCGTGAAGGCCGGAACCAAACGCAACAGTTCCCTTGTATGGGTAGACTTGAACATCACCAAGAGATTTGTCGAAGTAGGTGGAGATGACGACGTTGACGGACTCGATAGTTCTCGAGAAGGATTGGTAAAGATCCTCCTTGGAGACTTGCAGCTCGAGAAGAGCACGATCGACCTTGTTGATGATGACAACGGGCTTAATACGCTCACCAAGAGCCTGACGAAGCACGGTCTCGGTTTGCACACACACACCTTCAATGGTATCGACGACGACTAAAGCACCGTCGGTAACACGGAGGGCAGCTGTAACTTCAGAAGAGAAATCGACGTGACCTGGAGAATCGATCAAGTTGATCAGGAAATCCCTGCCATCGGTCTTTTGGCCAGCAATGTCTTTCAGATCCTCGTCATCCTGGAGGTTTCCGTACAGAGAGATAGCCGTCGACTTGATGGTGATACCACGTTCTTGTTCGTCAGTGCGAGTATCGGTGGCTCGAGCATCACCGGCCTTTCCAGCGGAGATAATGCCGGCTTTCGCAAGGAGGGAATCGGTCAAGGTAGACTTTCCGTGGTCGACGTGGGCAATAACGGACATGTTACGAACGTTCGTAGGCTTGTCCATCAAGGCGCGGACCTCTTCGATGGTGAAGCTGTATTGCACACCAGGATTAGCATTTGTGATATCATCTTAACTCCGACCCACGGTTTCATGAGCAGTCGACTCGTAGACGGTGGGAAGGAGGGCGCAGACGAGTTTGCATATCCAGATATCTTGCTGCATTGAAGGTGACGGTGAACTTACTTGACCATGGTGGCGGTATTGCTTCGAAAAGCTGATTAATTGAAGAGTTTTGTAGAATGGCGCGAGAGAGCGCAAAGAGTGTTTCGGGACTCGATAGTGGGGTAAATATCCACCCGAGTCGAAGGATCTACCTGAAGCTGTCTTGGATGAACCTCGACAGGGAGATAGAGGGTGCAGGAGATGTGGTGATACTTTCGATGAAGAAGATGGAGGAGGAGGTGTTCGAAGGATAAAGAGGTCGAAAAGAAATCTTGTCTGTCGCTTGGTGGGGGTTGGTCAACGCACGCCGGATTGGCTCGGTAAAGGGTACCCCTCTCGCCGATAGCGCCACCCCGGCCGCTCACTTAACCCGCTCCTTCGTGAGGGCTTTACCCTAATGGGACTCTCGTCCTGGTCTGACCGAAGAGTCATACCGTGAAGTGACGAATTGACGTCTCAAATACACCACTTTGCCCGGTGAATGAGAAAAGAGCAGAATCCTCGGAGTGAATGACTCTGGATGGCATCCTTTCGCCGTCTCTTCACTATATGTCTCACCTTGTCTTGCCTATTGAGTCTACATAGACCACCGCCCTTTGGAGAGCGACTGCTTTTGAACGTGAGGATATTGGACTAGGTAACCTGTCGCCATTATTGGACTGGATACTCGGGCAGTGCCCCTATCAAAATTGGACAATCGTTTGACCTGCATAGTCCGAGTGGAGTGCATTGCTACCCTTGTTTGTAACCGTCTGCAGAGCGTACAGTAGCTCTAGTCGTTTCCTTGCACCTTCAAATACTTCTCAGGGTCAATAAAATACATTATAAACTATCACAGGTAGCTTGCTCTCCACTGCCCATACAACGATGCTTTGCTACGCTTTGTGGAATCTCCAATGGCCAATGCCCTGAACGCCTTCGCTATGCTAATGCCAACCCAGATATATATATACAGCAGACGAGAATGGGTCAAGATGACCCCAAAATCTTCCCATAGGCATCTTCCACTTCGCTGGCAAGTTCCAGAAGTGTCACGATCACAATTTGATGTGTCAAATTTGGCAGCCGGTCTCGATGAAGTCCAATCCATTCCAGTCTAGACAGGTCAGCTCCAGAAAGGTATGTGTCATCAAAGAATTACTTACGGTGGTGTTGCTTCGCCCATGTCTCTCAACTGCGGCGTCTCGATAATGGGCGGCTCAAGGGCGGTATAGTTGTACTTGGATTGTGGTACATTGACCTCCGCAGTAATCTTTTGTTGCTCGCCTTCTTTCCTTTCCGCCCCATCCTCATCCGGCACACCAGTAATCTTGACGGCTGAAGGTGGTAACGGTTTTCCAAGTCTCTGAGCAAGTGCTTTAGAGTGTGCTGCCCACATGCCTCTAATGTAGCCAATCCGCGAATAGTTCCAACCAACCTCGACTTTTCCTTCGAAGGAGCTCTTGAAGATGTAGTCAATATGATTAGAGTTTGGAATCTGCCACGTTTGCATAGTAGCTTCAACTTTAGGGACCTTTAGGATGGTCCCTCCACGAGATCCAGTGGCGCTGTTGACAACATCCTCAACAGAAATTTCCCCGACAGACTTTGGCATTTCCACCTTCTTGACTCCAGCAAGACCAATGCGGAGCTGACCAAGTGTAAGACCGAGGATACTATGGATTTTACCTTGATCCATTGTGACTGCGAATCTGGCTTGTGCATCGAGAGCCTCTAGCTTGAAGACTTGATGGTCCGAGAATGTATTTGGGAACGCCCCCATATTGACGGCTTTTAGGGTGACAATAACATCTGTATGCAACGAAATCGGCGAATTGGCTATTTTGTCTTCCCCCACCACGCCGAGAGCAACCTTCGGAAGCGGCGAAGTCGGTTGAGCGACAGATTTCCTCTTCATGTATCTTTCGATCTCAGATAAAGAGGCTTCATAATTAGTTCTCTTTTCTTGAACCAACCTCTGGAATGCTTGAAATAGTGCAAGGCCCTGGGAGGCACTTGTAGTAGTACAGAAGACCTGCACAGCTTCTCCGTCAAGGATTGCGACGAGCCGGTCGCCTTTCGCATGGGAGGCATTCCTGACATTGTACATGAGAAATTTGAACGACGTAATATCGGCAACTAGAAACGCTTGATAATCAAAAGCTGCCTTCACTCGCAATTGACTAAATCCAAGAGATCCTTGAACAAGCGGTGTTTGATTTAATGCCATCTCTCGGGCTGGCCATTGTATCGAGGTTCGTACTTTGAAATCTTGCAAGGCAACAAAACCACTCATTCTACCAGTGCTGTCGACCCCGATTTTGTCAAAACCTAAGCACAGATTTTGCTCCCAGTCCGAGTTCTTTTTGGACGAAATCCAGAAGTTCGATATCATGAACGCCGATTTCCCGATGGCCTGACCAAGGTCCAATTGTACGTCTAGCTCCGCAACGGAAACCGTTGCGTTCCAAGGAAACGCGCCTGTCGCTGCAACTTGTTGATATCGTTGAACGAGAAATGTTTGCGACTGTAGCGTTGGATTTGTTGCAGGGTTTGGCGAGCTCTGACGGATTTCTGGTGGCACCCAGATCTCCCTGAAGAGTAGAAAGTCTTGCAACTGTTTCGCGTTCACAAGAATCCGCATTGGACTGATCTTCAGTATTGCAGAAAGTCCACTGGTCCCGCTGACGTGCTTACTGTTCATCAATGAGAGGAAGACTGACTCGACATCGAAGCTTCCAGTTGACTCCCGAGAGTAGACATGCTGCACTGAAGCTTGAAGCCTAGTGAAAGCTGCAGAGGCTGCAAAAAAGTGACCGTGTTCGGTAGAACGTACTGTGTTGATTGTTATGTAGATGTCATCAAAGCGGGCAGTTGCAGCAACGCGAGCAATTGGTTGGCAGCTAAGACTGAATTCTTGCCGACAGATTCGCAGGCCAAGATTTAGCCTTGTCTTCCCTAATACCGCGCTGGGATCGGCAGTCAGAATGTTGTCTTCATCAGCTCCCATGAACTTTTGTGGAGATGCTTTTGGCTGGGAATGCTTCGTGTCGTCTTCGTCACTGACAACCTCTTTGACCGTTGAGGATATTTCCATGATGAGGGGGACAACTGATGGATATAAGATATTGGTAGAGGCATCGACCTTGACCTCTGCGTTCAGCGACGGGTCATCTAAGCCGCTGTCCTTGTACTCGATCTTCCAAGCCAGACCCGGAGCTCGAAGAATTGTGTTGCTGCTCGCATCTGTCTGTGTAAACTGTCCGTATTTTCCAGTCTGTGGCGCTCTACTTGGTCTGATTCCTGGGGTAGTATTGCCAGGGCCGAAAAGCTTCTTACCCGAGAGGTACACTACAGCTCCTGCAAAATCCGCATCAACTAGCAGAGACTCCATGCGCTTCTTCCCGAAGAATGGTTGGCGGCGGGTTGTTTCCGTCGTTGGTTCAGGGCTTGGTCTACTCCATGTAGCTGAAGCAGCCCGAAGCTTTTCGGAGGCAGAAGTAATAGACTTCTGCAAGGCGGATGCAGGGATCATGAACTGCGACGTGAGGCGGAGATCGAGTGATTTCCCTGCCGCTTGAAAGGCGAGTCGACGAGCATCTATTGTAGACACGAAACCGACATTGAAGATTACCTCTGGCAATAACGCTGAATTCAAAGATCTTTGACTTTTATCTTGTGAGGTGGGGACCATTTGCAATTGGAGGTCCTCAATGGTCAATCTCGCAGCATTTTCTTTCCTTGTGGAAAGATCGATACGCTTCAACGAAAGCACGAGATTCTCTTTTTCAAGGTGAGGGGACTGACTGGCTTCATATGTCCCGACCAGCCAACTCACGTGGATATTCAGCAGCTCCAGAGAGTACATCGAAGCAAACATGACCGAAGAACCAGAGATACTGCCTTCTGATCTGTCTTGCTCCTCGTTGATGGCGATACGCGGTTTTGACTTGCGCAGCTTCTGTAGGTATTTCTTCTCTCTCGATAAGTCAAGGTCTTTGATTTTGTCTTGTAAGTGTCCCACAACGTCAACAACAGATGATGCAGTATCTGCAAATAGGTTGATCTCCAGTCCATCACTGTTCATGTGAAAGGACCTGACTTCGTTGCCAGAGTCGTTGAGTTTAGACGTTGCAGTTAGATGAGCCGCGAACGCAAGATTGCCACAAGGCTCCATGGATCCATTGCTCCACCGAGAGAGCTCAAACATAACCTGGCGCAACGACATGCGTAATTCGGGGAAATCTAGCACAGGACCATCTGGTTCGAGACGATTTGCAAGCACAAGCTGAATACAGCCCAAATTTAGGTCCAGTCTTGCACTGTTTCGTTCTCCATCCTGGCCTTGGGCGTTGGCGAATATATCAAATCCAGCCAATGTGAAGTGTGCATCATATACCAGAGGCGACCCTGAGGATTGGGTGGGTGGAGTTTCTGGTTTCTTGGAAGGTCCAAATACTTCCTCGACATGACTTTGGAGTAATTTCAGATCTTCCTGTACGTCATTAATGACACTAGAGATTTCGGGTCTATTGAGCGCAGTCAAGAGGCTGTGTACCGCAGCGGCATCTAGTTCGACAGGTTCAACGGACGTTATTATCGATACGGTATTCTCTTCGTCCGACATATGGCTGGTGATACGACCATTAGTGGGGGGCAACTGTAGAAGCGAGATGCTTTTCGGTTTGTTGTTCACAACAGTTTGTATGTCATGTGAATTTTCCTTCACATCGAAGTCAAAGATAATCTCTGAACCAAGCTGCGCAGCCACTGACGCTCTGGCGACGACTCCCGAAACATTATACGTCAAAGACTGAAGTAGAGGCACACTGATGTGGTACATGTCTAGAAATAGAGCAATGTTGATTTTTGTGCGAGAGCCGGATTTTCGAGAAGGTGCCGAGTGTTCCATCAGATCTGGCTTTCCGGCTGGAATGGTTCCTTTCAGGCGATGTAGCTGCAGAACCTCGTCTCCGACAACGAGATCTAGAACTTCGATGAGGGCCAATATATCTTGCTTCAGAATGAAAGACAGCTGTTGACAATTGCCAGCTACCTTAACGACGTCGACTAGAGTGTCTTCGTTCAATTGCGCTTCATGCGAGGCATATATACTAGGACTCCGCATTTGGAAAATGGACAACTCTTGTGAATGGCTCGTGATCCTTGAAGTGGCTGCTTCGGCAGCAAGCATCAAACATCCTACACTTTGGCTATCACCTTCTATTTGGTCAACCATTACAAAGGAGGCCTTGAGCCCTTCACTAAGTGACGTTGCCCGGATGTTGATCGTGTCGAAAGTTATTGAGCCCTTGTCGGTGACTACTATCACATGAATCCTACGTTTGGGCTTGTCTGCTCGGTGATTGTTTGCGACTGGGAGACCACCGTCCGGACGGCTGGGTTGAGCAGGACTTTGGTGGTGCAGTTTCAAGATGTCCTCTGCGAGTTCACACAACTCCCAATTCAAACTGATTGATACATGAGCACAAAATATCTGAGCCACCATAGTTTCCACGTATTGCGTCACTGCATGCGGATCAATATCAGCTGTTGACAACGACGCCTCGCTCTCGAAAGATGACGAGATATCGGCCAAAGATACTTCGTTTTGTTTTGGCCCAGGATCAAGCACAAGCCGCACATTCTCAGTCCTAAAGGATACTTTGAGCGGTTTCGTCCTTGATAATGGTTTCTTGAGAGCAGCTTCGGATCCATAGACTCGTCCCATCACACGGCATGCATTGATATTGTTGAGATCCCAACTTCTCCATTGGTCGAACCCGTCACGAACCTTCTGCTCAGCATCAGCTGGAACAGTTTCCGCATTACTCAGAACACGATTTGCTATGTCGTGCTGAGTTGAAACGTGCAAGCTACTGTACATATGATGTAGGCGTGTAACTATCTTCCAGGAGTCGGTTGTTCTCAAATGGTCCGCAGCAGATCGCAAAACGTAGGATGGTCTTGTGAGAAACAGGGGATCAGGAGCTTGTTGACCAGCAGTGGCGACAAGATAAGTGAATAATTTGACACGATTGCGTTGTTGCTTGAGTCGATGTGAGAAGGTCTCCACAAGCTCACTACTAAGAATTTCTGTCCGATGTATCAGAGAAGCAAGATATTCGAGTTTACTACTGTTGGTAGCAATCTCAAAGCCTTTGAAAGCGACGCTCGCCGAATTCTCGTTATTTTGCATAAGCCAGAACACAACATCGTCTAGTACGCCATGAACTGCCGCTTGTGGGTCATCTATAGCACTGTGTTTTTCTTTAGCAGCGAGTGCGGCCGTACGGAGGGAGACGTGCACGACGGAAGACTTCCGGGCGCCCTCTGAAGTCTCGGGTACCAATGGAGAAGTTTCGGACCTCGTTGTGATAGCAAGCCCAGTCATGGAGAGATCATATTGGTCGAGCATGTCGTGGTGATCGTGTCTAACACTCGGAGTCGCTGAAGAGTTCAAGAACCGAAGGCTGATCCCAGAAACACGTACGCTCAGATCAAGCACTTTGCCTGTCGATGATCTCTGCCTTTTCAAATCGAATATCTCGTTCAAGCAGTCGATTTGAAGCTCATCTAAGAGGTCAATGGGATCAACAGCCTGCACAGCACTGAGTAGACCTGCAACTGCATGCGCTGCCTTTGGGCAGAAAACCCCTCTAACACCAGTTGGGAACTCTACCATGAAACTGATGTGCGTGGAATCTTCGTCCACCCGGTCAGGTCTTATGTCGCCTAAGTTCAGTTGATTTATATCACCATATGGGTCGGGCTGCAAGTGTGTAGTAACCTCGGGTAAATCTCTGATGTCAGGTTCTACACCTTCAAGTGGGAAGTAAGGAGCCACGTATGAGCTAGAAAATGTGACAGTAGATGGAGGCATGCCTCGATTGTCTCCAACAGCACTGTAGAATGATGATTGCCGTCCAGTTGAAGTGGAATGGTCCCGGAGGGGGATTCGTTGTCCAGGTCCAGTGCTAGTGTGCATACTACGAGACCGTGACTCTGCGGCCGACGTTTGAGCCATTCTTAGAGAGCTGTGAGGACGTACAATACTACTTTCGCTTCTCAGACTAGAGCCCGACAGTGACAGAAACGAGCTTTTGCGGCCCATTGTACCTTTTCCATGGCGTATGGAGGATGCTTTCGAGTGGATGGAGAGATCATCAAGCTTGTCCAGGGTTTCTTGGATGACAGGCAAAGGCATTGGCGGTACACATTGAGCTGGTGGGTCCACCGAGACTAACATCGAGTCATCAAGAATATTTTGATGGAGAAGGAAATCTGTTCGGTGGGTTCGTTGATCATGCCGTTTGACATGCTCTTGTTGAAGGCGACGATCTTCTTCAAATCCGAGCTTTCTCTGGATGATGGCAAACGACAGGGTTGTCTGAATAAGTGCATGTGTTTCGACCGGATGCTGTGCCCTAGATCTGTGCCTTGATGCAGACTCTGCATCTACGCAGCCAAGATGCAGATCGGGAATCAGGAGGTTGGCCTTTTTGGAATAATGGCTGCCAGCCCAGTCGTTGAAGTTGACTGTGATAGTGCCTGCAGCAAGAAGAAATGCAGCTTCATCCACGTGAAGCCAGATGCGTAACGATTCAACGGACGCGCTGAGGAACGTGATGTCGTGGAGGATGACTTCTGAGATAGATGGTAATGCATTTTCATCGTCGTCGAAGGAGAATGCAAAAGCTCGAGCGCCACCAGCTAGGCGGTTGAAGAATTCAGTTGTACATTCTCCAGTAACAGCTCCCACAGCGAAATCCCAGTTACACATATAGGTTGGCTCTGTCGGAGGTAAGCCAAAGAGTCGATTACCGGCGATTGTGACTCCATCGATGTAGAGCTGTGTACTTGATGTCGCGCTTATAGGAGTGGCGGTCCCCTCATCTTCGCTATCCTGAGAGAAAGCCAAAGTACTCAACACGCAGTCTAAGTCCATGTAATAATTTGTGAACCTGAGATCAGCTGCGAGGGTCGGTATCTCAATTCGTGTGTGATTTTTGGCCGAGTAAAGGTTCGACGGGAGAATTACACTAGATTCATCTGCAGTTATGCTGAGAATGACATCCAGGTCATTGGATTTTTTATGCGGTGGCTGTGAGCTGGCTCCGTCACTACCCTCACGTTTACCTCGCAACACCTCTTGATATTCTTCAAGAGTCTTAAAACGGATATCGTCACCAAAGTAATTATCCTTAAGCTTTAGAAAGTACCGAATCACGAATCCATAGAACATTGCGGACGGAGCATGACCATGAACATTCAGCAATAGTGTGTCGGTGTTATTCGTCGAAGTAGTTGCACAATATTGGTAGGTTCCGTCGATGGATAGTTCTTTCAGAGTTGCCAGCTCTGTTGAGCTCAGGAAAGTCGCCTGCGTGTTCCAAGGAGGGACATGGAGGTTAAGTCCTCCATGTTTTGCATCAACATCGAAGGTAATATCGTTGCGCCACGGGCAATAGCTGTCTATGGGAATCCGAATCCCCGCATTCAATATGGCGCCGAATATGATAATGAACGTATTGTCGTCAAAATCAGAAGGGTTGTTGATGATGTTTGAGTCGTTCACATTCAGATAAAGCCTGAAGTCACGAAGGTGCAAATTGACCAGATACCGGAAAGGAGTGAAAACCAGGTAATCGGGCGGCGGGCCATTCCCCCAATCATCGACAAGATCAATCAGTAGGAACACATGCTCTCGTAGAATAAAAAGCTCTAAGCCATTGCTATCCACGTCAAACGTCCAAGTACGATGGCCGTTCCACTGTAACGGGCTAGAAAGATCACATATTATGCGATTTTCAACCGACCTCCAGAGTAGACCATGGTTGACGCTTGTAGTGATTTCAGTATTTGGCAGGTCCAACTCGAGCTTATTTCCAAAACCTGCCGGGCCTGCGACCATGTCCATGGTATATTTGACAATTGCATTTGCCCCGACTTTGACGTCAAGCCAGCCAAAAGGTCGAATTTCAGGACCGGGATTTCCCTTATCTACCTTCCTTTTGCGATTGCCCTTCCCGTTCCTCTTCTGATCGTCAGGCCTGGCACCCATAGTATCTGCAAGTTTGGTCCATTTCCAATTCTTCGACTCTTCTCTGATTGGAACGCGGAGAATAGTTTCTTCGTCAAAGGTAATACTCAGTTTGAACTCTGTTGGCACTCTGAATTGCCCGGATACCAAATGCTTGCTAGGTCGAGAATCTTTGCATAGGCTTGGAAAGAATACTCGTTGTATGTCCGCACGTTGTCTATCCGCCCAGGGGCCATAGTTGATTGTAGCGCCTTTGAAGGACAAGTCAATGCCCCATTCCGGAGGAGGATCACCATTAATGTTAGCACTTTCTTTGCCACGTTGTTCGGATGCCAAGTTCGAGCGCTCTGGAACTGTGCCGACAACGTCCCAATAAAAGCTCATGCTCGCCTCTGGGCTGTCTGCAATAGTAGAAACAGTAGCATACTCAATTGCGGACCACTTAGCTTTGTCATCCTGCTCGCTTTCGTCAAGGTACCTCGATAATCCTTGCCAGCTGTTTGAGTCTGGCCCGGCACGGGATGGGTTCTCGGGAGAGCCATGAGTGCTGGATGATAAAGATTCCACCGAGCTTCGAAATGCAGGCACAAGATCTTGCAGCCTGTGCCATACTCTTCGCCGTTGACGGTGGAAAAAAGAATGTGTGTGGACATGATGAGTATTCGAATCTTGGTGTTCCCCTTCGCCACGCTTCACTCGTGAGGCAGCTGTGGTTTGGTCTTCTTTGAAATCATCGTTAGGTTTTATCTGGACAACGGGATGAGCAAACTGAAAATTGATCAGTTGACGATACTGGTCCAACGTTGTTGAATTTGCTGCATCAATCTCCCCACTCGCCCTGTCGGTCTTTGCAATAAGCACGCTTTTTGTGTTCTCGTTTCCAAGTACAACAGCTGCTTTCACGCAGTGTATGTGAATGGGAAGAAAACGCAGAATGAAAGCTCCCTCAGAACTGCCATTCTTCTCTTCAAAAGGAACGCTCCCAGCTCTCGAGGTGGAAAAAGTGGATCGAAGTCTTGGATCGTTTGGCTCGATCCCAAAACTACTCTTTTCCGTCAAAGGTGTGCCCTCTTTCGACTCGGAGCAGGAACCAAGGTATTCTTCTACTTTATCCGAAGCAGCCAGTGGATCCCTCTTTCTTATCCTAGCCCTTCCCCCTTCAAAGTTGCCTTGTTGTTCCTCTGGAGCAGCTTCATAGCCGTCATCGTCTCCTCTCGTCAACCCTGCTACTATTGCATCATATGCAGCGCTTCGGTTGTACACGAACCATTCCGCCCCGTTCAAGAAGACATTGAGCCGGCAAGGCAACTTCTTGCGGTCCTTCTGGCCTCCACTTTCTCCTCCATCGATGCTTTCTCCATCCACCTTGTCGTTGGCGGAATCCGTTGACACTCTTTTTGATTTAGAGTCTTGGTTCTGGCTGACAGCCAGTTCCCTAACATTCCTGAGCCAGTAGCACCATGTGATAAATCCACTATGGATCAAAATTGTCTCGTTGTTCCCATGGTATCGGAAACCTTTGAAGAAGACTCGGCCTCCAAGAAGGGATATCTGCAGTGCTTGGATGTCTATGTAGACTCGATATTTATGCCACGTCCAAGCTCGCAGACCGTAAGATACCAGTGTTGCGAACACTCTATTGAAATAAAAAAGGAAGAAAAGCGTCCTACAACGTTCAGTTATAGATGAGGCTCGAGAACGAATTTACTCACAGGATTCCACAGACAGCTAGCTCAACTAAGAAGACCCTATTAGCTTGTTAGATATTTGCACATCCAACTTGGACCATGATCAATCACCAATTGAAGTCCAAATTTCCTTTCAAAGGAGAGCTGGTTAGTCCTCCAGAGCTCGACATCCTTCAAGCTGGAAATTGATATTCTGTGGCACCTCGTTGCTCATGGTGCTTAGAACGGTCCATTCTACGCGTCGGATTGAGTTGCAACGGTCTTCCGTAGGCGGAGATCAACTGATTGATGGAGAACAGCCAAGTCGAACAAGTGGTTGTATGGTTGGCGGAACTTGCTCATGCCTGTGATCGAACTCGGTACTTGTGATGATGCGTTCCTGGCAGAACTGCTTTCACCGCCCGCGTGTACAACCAATTTCTTGGATTGCAACCTGATTCACCATCTCTTTCTTCCTAAGAACTGAACTGTGCTGTGTTCTACAAAGCCTTGTTATGGGTTTGTAGCTGATGTTCACCGTCATGCAAGCTTTGCAACTTCACGCCGCCCAAAATCGCCTTCCTCTGAACTAGATTTGCCTGTCTCTCCCAAAGCTGCACGCGTCATTGCACAAAAACAGTATTTGTCCACGATGGGTATCTCTGGCGGAACAGGAGAGAAGTTAACACGGGCTACTATTATTATAGCTGGAGTTGCTTCTCTCGTGGCATCTCTGTTGTCTATCGTGTAAGCATTTGTCCAGTCAATAGCACTCTCCTAGCTAATGTTACTACCTGCAGTTCTGTATGGCTACAAGCGTATGTGCTTCCACACTGTTATTCAGATAAAAGCTGAACTTATGCCAGCAAGAATTATCGCAAGCCGTTGCTTCAAAGATATGTGGTTCGAATCTTGCTCATGTATATCATCCATTCCATGTTGATGAAGAATTATTGACAGGAACAGGGTGCCCATATACTCAATATCTTCATGGACAGCGCTCATGTCATTGAGAGCTGCCATGTTTGTGGACCCTGTTCGCGACATCTATGAGGTATACGCTATTCAACTGGTATGAATTTGCCCACTGACCTCCCACTGTCCTAGGCTTTCACCATCTATACATTCTTCCAGCTCCTGATTAACTTTATTGGAGGCGAAAGAGCTTTGATCATCTTGATGCATGGCCGCGAACCAGTCCATCATCTTTGGCCTTTAAACCACTGCCTGCCGAAAGTCGATATATCTGACCCTCACACTTTCCTCGCCATAAAGCGGGGCATTCTCCAATATGCCTGGTTGAAGCCTGTACTTGGATTGGCAGCCATTATAATGAAGGCTACGGGCACTTACAAAGAAGGGTATCTTGGTTTGGACTCGGGCTATCTTTGGGAAGGTATCATCTACAATGTCAGCGTTACTCTCAGCCTGTACTCCCTCGGAATGTTCTGGGTCTGTATGGCCAAAGATCTTAAACCATTTCGGCCCGTTCCGAAGTTCTTGTGCATCAAGCTTATCATATTCGCATCATACTGGCAAGGATTCTTTTTGTCTATCCTGGTGTGGCTAGGTGCGATACCTGATGACGTTGAGGGTTACACATCAGACAATCTTGCAGCGGCCATTCAGGATGCCTTAATCTGTCTGGAGATGCCTCTGTTTGCAATTGCTCACTGGTATGCTTTTTCATGGCACGACTATGCAGATGCGACAATCTCAGCTGCAAGAATGCCAGTCAAATTTGCACTTCGAGATGCTTTTGGGCCACGGGATCTCATTGAAGACACCAAGGAAACCTTTAGTGGCAAAGCATACGAGTATCGATTGTTCGACTCTGGGGATAACGTACTGGCCCATGAAAGTTCATCATCTCGTGTAGCTCGCATGATGGAGGGGATGCGTTATGAGCGGGGCGGGAAGGGAAAGTACTGGATCCCAAAGCCTGGAGAGGTGAATTCGAGAACTCCTCTCCTGGGGGGTGATGCAAATCGCAGCAGATCGCCAAGTAAACCACCAACTGATGCACAGTATATGGGCTATGGCAATGATGGTGTTGAAGAGCTGATGTTGGAACCCGACGAGGAGCAGCTGTACGAGAGAGCTAGGACACAACTATATGGAGATTGGAATGTGAGAATCCTTGACTGGCCACGTATTTTAACTGACATCTCTAGTATCCCGTGATCACAGCACATGAAGCGTCACGAGAGAGATGGCTCAATGCATCACCGGGGCTACTCACCACTTCTGCCAACCGTAACCTACTCCAACCGACTCGCGACAATGAGATTCGGCGCGCTAGTAACATCAAGAACACCGTGGAGGAGGTCACCAAGAAAACGCAACGAAAGCACAGTGGTTCTAAGAACAAGAAGAAGCGAGATAGTAGTTCGAAGGGCAAGGAGAGAGAGATTCCCAATGGCGAAGAAGGTCGAGCGCCCGTGATGCAGGGTTTACTCAGACATCATTCAACCGATTCAAGCAAGTCGGATCGGAGTCAGTTAGTCGACCTCGTTGTGGAAGATGAACCAGCGGAGGAGGCAGACAGAGTACGAGCAAGGAAAGAAGGCAGTCCAGCGTGGAACCAGACGGAAGGAAAACGCTTTGTGTAAGTTTCTTGATACTTGTTCCTAGGTGCTCTGCTAATCCCTGTGCAAGACGAACATATGGTGGTGACATAGGAGAGGATATTCGGGAGGGTTATGAACCGCTCGAGGATGCCGTCATTGAGCAAGAGGATGGAGCCGCGGATCCATTCTCAGTCGGCGATGATGATGATGATGATGATGATGATGGTGCTAGTCCCAATGGCTCTGAAGAGTCAAAGCAATGGAGCCAAGCCAAGGAATCATCTGTGTTACTTCAGCCCAAATATGGTATCGACGGGGAAGCTTTTGAGAATGTTTGGGGAGCTGCTGAACCCTCGCAGCCCGCACAAGAAAATCCTTGATACATGATACCTTTCGTCGGAGTTTTGATTTTAGAGTTTGCATCACATGGCGAAGGCGTTTTGAAGCGTTCGCTGGGCGTAGATCATGTATGAATACACAATCATAACACTTTGTCCACCTTTGGGACATGTCAAGTCACATACACTCTTCAACACTGTTGAGATCATAGCATTCGCCCTGTGAATCTGGGAGATTGATTGCCTATACGCAGAAAGACGGAAAACAAATCAGGTGATGCGCCCTCCATGCGGGGGCATGTCCCAAAAATCGGGTTCTGGTGGTTCCTGGATCGATTTATTGGCCTAAGACGGTCGTGAAGGGCGCCGAGATCGCTCGGACGAAGAAAAATGACAGAAGGATGCAGGGGGGTTGAAGCATACCGGTACTGTAGAATAGATGCAACTATACTTCACCGACTCTGCTTCTAGCTATATAGACATTATTGTAACATTGCCAGAGACTACATTGACGGCATCAAAGTCTCACCGCCCGCGCGTGGACAGTACCTAGACATTGTAGCAAATGAATGACCTGCTTTGCTGGGTAGGTATTTTCTCATCCAAGCAGCTCGTCAACAAGCACAATGCGTCCTGCACTGCACTGGGCAAGGGGCTTCCCTGTCCTTGCGACGAAAAAGTGCCTGCCTTTCTTTCTTTCGTTTCCTTCTCTTCTCTCCTCCCTCGCTCTCTTCATCTCTCTCCTATCCGCGGAATACTGTATATTGATGGCCAAACTTTCGGCCTCTTCCTCGCATCTGAATAGAGTCTGTCTGTCTTCTCATTACGACTGTGCCACTCCGTTCGCCGCTGGTTCCCACTTTTGACACGACTCCCCATCCGTGCAAAAACCACACTCGACGACCTCGAAGACGGTTTGCTGCGGTCGCTCGAGCACTTCCATCCCACAATCCCCCCATACACAACCCGCGAACAGACGATATCAGGATTGGAGCCGCCGTGGATCAAGGTGTCGTGCCGTGTCGATCGTGCTCCGCCGTCACTCCTCGGATCTCAAACTGGTCAGTGAACCGTCCACGACCCACGACCCCCCACTTCGGCACCAACTCTCGTCCCGCCAAACCGGATTGAATTTCCAACCCGCACGTACCGTTGATTGTGAAGATATAGCGCTGGTACGGTGGATGATTTGTTCTGGCTATGAAGGTTGTTGTGGTATTAGTGTTGGGTATCATTCAGGACGATGCCCAAAGAATGTGTACTCACCGCTGAGGCAACCATTTATCTCAATATCCTTTCATGCTCTGGACTTTTCTGTCACTCTCATACTCACACTTCCTCTACTCCGCCCGAACAAAACCTGCTGACCTCCACCACCCACGAGGTGAGTGTTATCAAGAGATCCGCGGGTTTCCGTGCTTTGGAAGCAGAGCCAGTATCATCTGGGCGACGGCGAGCTTTGTCGGCATATACCGCACTCGGATCACTATAATTCAGTGTTACTGGATCAATGACAGTCATTGTCTCTCGAAAGCCCAGTGAAACCTCTCACCAGCAAGGCTTTGCATCAGCTTCATCTCTGCAAGGTTATCAAGTAGGAAGAACGAACGCAGAAAGCCGGTCGATGATGTTTATCGCATAAGCATTCTGAAAGGTCATACCAGCCATCACCTCACACTTTGGCTCGATTTACACTTGCCTGCCAGAAAGTTCGTCCAACTCGCTCCACTGTTGCCCCAAGCCTACTGATTTGCGAAAGACTCCTTCGTTCGACAAAAGAGATCAAACAATCAATTTCACTCAAAGTATCCTTCAACGCCTAGAGCGAGACTTCCTACCAATGCATACATACAGTGGGAAATATGCCTACTCAAACGTTTAGCGATGTTATGAGCTGGCTAAGAGATACAGTACCTTAAAGCCAGGCTCATCGGCTTCCAAGCGTGCCTGGGCTACGAGCAGATGTACGTCTTGAATGGGCATCCTACCAAAGACGTTATTCATTTTGAAGACTGATGTCAGCCAGGAACAATACTTACCCAAGTCGCTCTGTGAATGGATAGACCGCCAGGGAGGATAGCAGGCGTTGGACATTTTCGCGATTGGCTACCCCAATATCATGGTCTCTTTGCTCTGTGCGCATGTCAGCCTCTTGGTGGGTAGTCATCCCCAATATCTTCACTGACCATTCGACCAACCACATGTGGGGAGTTGAATCATCCGGGCTTCGACGTCAACGAAACCCGCATCTCTCATCATGTTTGATAGCCGAAGAGGGACTCGCAGATCCTTCAAACCTTCCATGCTCTCAGCATAACGGGTACTCCATTGACGGAGGGCATGGTCTACGACAAGAATTACTTAGTGGGGTTCTTCTTGGTCATGACCTATACCTACCATCGGTCAAACTGCCATTGTCACTCTGAACCTGAAAATACATCTCAACCATTTGACACCACCCTCCGGGCCGAGTAACACGGAACATGTCTCGCAAGTATTGTGGCCACCTGTTTGCATGTATGCTGGATGCCATCATCTGAGAATTGACAAGGTCAAAATTGTGGGCTGGAAAGGTAAACCTCCACAAGTCAGCTTTATTGTCGAGCACAGAGTGGGTTCAGGTACCTGCGGTTCAAATCGTCCACCTGCAAGTATAAATTGTCCGGCACCTCCTCTTGCTGCATGGACGGGTTGATGTCGACACCTAGGACCTTCCGTGGGAGACACATCAGTACATGTTCTGCACCTCGGATCCTGATCCATGTGTGTGCCAGCAAGATTATACGCGCAAGCCCTCTACTTGTCCACATGCCCATATGTACCAGAGCCTGAATGTAGCGCTAGTCAAGTGACACAAGGCACATGAAAGTGTCAAGAACAGACCAGATTGAGGGGAAAAAAGCTTTCATCTCACCTCACAGCGAGGAAATCGTTCTGCTACCTCTCCCGCCCATGCTCCCGTCCCATAGCCGCAATCCAGTATACGCCTAGGCCGACTTATAGGAGGGAAGATAAGTCTCCCGTCAAAGACTCTGCTCAAGACATTGTGAGAGATGTTAAGTCTTTCGATCTCATCCTATTTGAACATCAGTCAGATGCTTTCGAATCTCTAGTGCTCCGCAAGGGACATACCTCATCCATAGGTGCAAGATAAGCCAAGTTTTCTAGCGCATACGATTGGTAAAGGCGGTGGTTGTGTTCTTCAGTCTCTAAATAGACGTTGTCGAGAGCAACCTGAGTTCCGTCAGCAGAAGCCACCCAAGTCTTGTCATCCATTTTTCGAGATAAGCCTGTTTTTAATATCTGCCTATTATCAATAGAGGTCGCAAGTCCAACAGGATGGTCTGCTGGCTTTGTTTGAGGACACTCCTCGATATCTGCTTCTGTGCTCTGGTGATAGGCTCAGCAGGCTCTAGCAGATGATTTTCTCTTGTGCGTCGTATTTTGTCTAAAGGAATGCAGAAGATGTCCATCGACCTTGGGTTGAGGCGATATAGCATGTTGTTTACTGCATGTTCTTTGCTTACCGTATTGTCTTCAGGACGACTAATTTCTTCAGCGATTCAGGTCGTTGGGCGAATATGAGTCGATCCCTACTTACCTGGCCATGATGCTCTGCAAAAGCTGTTTACAGGTTCGTTGACCTCTTTACTTGGTTCTGTTCGAATCCGTAAAGAACAAGTTTCGTTGACCAAAATCTCCGTCCTCGTTGTCGAAGTTGTTCTGCTGCATCAGTTACACTCTAGTCAGGGAGAATACCGTCGCTCATTCCAGGCTTCGGACAACATCCTCCTTGTCCCCTTTCTGATCTCGGCAGACAGTTGGACTCCCAAAGTCGCTGGTGGCGCGTGCGTTTGTCTGGTTCAGTGCGAACCATACGTCTCCTGCAGACACACACTGCAACCCAGAAGGCTCGAGTAGTGGTTGAAAACAGCCTAGCTGGAGCCAACAGCAGATTGGAAGCAGCGAATCTGTCTCTCCACCTCCTGGGCAATTGGTGTCGAGGCGTCCAGGAAGAGCAACGAACGCCGGAAGCAGCCAATGGGTTTGGGGATATCTGTTTCTCATGGGTCGTCTGCCATTGGTGGCCTTCTTCCTTCATGAGCGGCCAACTACTTAGTACTCACAAAGCATGCTAAGGGCATATGGTTGGCTCGCATCTGCTAGCGACTCTGATCATCAGCGATGAGGGACTTTCTCTTCTATTACTTTCAAGTCTTTGGTCACCACGATCTTTCAAGGAGAATGAATACCACGATTCTGTCAAGATCCAATCAAATAAATAGTGAGTGGGATCACTCGTTGTCATCTTTAGCTCGTCTTAGTCTCATAGTGGTTGGGATTGGGCTGCAATGGAGCGGCAGGGTAGGAGGCGACCCTGAGGAAAGTCTTCATCTAAGCCATATCACTTCTGGGCGAAAGAGCAGTTGCACACATGGTCATCAAATTCCGATGGAGTGGATGCTGGGTCCTCAGGTTACCTATGCATGCAGTTTGTGAACTCTATCTACGTTTCATACAAAGCGCCAGAGCCGTAAGAGCGACGATGGTGCTTCATGTATCACAACGAGTGAGCGAGCGAGACAAGAAGAAGTTCGCCAAACGGTGCGCTAAAATTGGATGTTAGGGGTGGCTGTCGCTTCGTGTCATGCAGCAAACCTTCGTTAGATCGGCTCTGTCTTTCCATCCCATCACTTACCAGAAGCATTATTACTACTGAGAAATCCTCCGACCGAACATTGAAGCGGATGTTTTCCAAGAAGAACCTGTCATCAGTGACGTTAGTCTTCGCAACTAGGGAACATTTTCTTTCCACTAAGAACGACCCCACCAGTACCAGAAATGAAAACGCCTCTGTCCGATGCGCAACGTCCCGAGCAATCTGCGGTGGCCCGCGCTACGGGAGGGGTGCGGGACGAACTTCTCCTGTCTTGGGGAGAGGGGATGTTCGATCGGATTGATGACAGTGCGCGTGTTAAGGTTGTACAACATGGCAGTCGCGGGTGATTAGCCCCCCCCCCCTCCCCTCTCCCCGCTGCTGTGGATCCCGAGCTCGACAGTAGGACAACACCGTAATAATGGCATTCTTCTATCATCATCAGCACATACTATTTGCCCCACCTACCTACCTTCAACAGTCGACGAGAAAATTTTCGGCCACCAACAGAACCTAACCCCACTCTCTGACATCAGTTAATATGTCCGACACTAACTTATCTTTGGTTTTCGAGCTTCTGCATCGGGGTAGCTACCGTACTTTCTCATCAAGGCGAGCCAGGTTCTACTTATTCCGTTGCAGGAGGATTGATTGACCAGGTTTCAGGGCTCGACAATGACTCGAGCAATTGATGGGGCGACTGAAGGAAGAGTTTAGCACGAAGAGTAACACTCTTTATTGTTTTGTACCAAGGCTTGGGTATAGATGCATACACATGATTCGGTCCTTGCATGCCTCATGCTAAATTCAAGGTTCGTTGTGTTTACAAAGTCATCAAGAAATTGTATCTGCTAGTAGATTGATCATCCGCAAGGGTGAAGTCTGCCTTTGAATGTCCCTTTCCTTTCCCATAAGAGAAAAGACATTTAGACAGAAGGCTGTCGCAACCAAGATCGGAGACGTCTGCTTGGAGACTTGGATATCTACCGACCGTTTGACGGACATTAAACAGGGCAACCCTATTAACTACTTCGAACTTTCGTTATATTTTCTATGTTCACTCCTGTCCAAATTTGATATCGCTGCAAGGGTATTGCTATAGCCCGTCCGTGGAAAACTAATGTTACTACTCCATATATCAATCTTACAAATTGCACGTCACAGTTCCGAGGAACAAATTCAAGACAACGAAGTTTTGGGACGAGAAGCTGCATTGCTACTATGTGCGTACCTTAAATAAGGTACATGGTGACACAGAAGCATATGTTACTAGAAAGAGACCTCCGCGCCAACCATGCTACAAACGATCTCGGAATCTTTCAAATCCCTGTATAGTCCATACACCAAAACGCCAGTGGTGAACATGCATCCATCCAGTCGTGACACGCAAAGAACAATGGACAGATCAGCGACTATTAGTTTTGCCCATGCCACGCTTGCCAGAAAACTAGAATTGTCAGTTGCGTGTAACTTATACGTTGCATAATACGAGTCACGTACCAAGTGCTTCGGCATTGCTGCTGCGACATGTCGATCAGCTTCACCTTGTCTTGCCATTCTGTTCATCTTTCTCTGACTCAATTTCTGTGCTCGCTCGGCCTTGGTTCTCGCAACTTCGTTGGTAACACCGTCATCACGTCTATTGCTCTGACTTCTTGCTCTGCTCTTGGCCCGCATCTTCGCCTCATACGCTGGATCATCGACGTCCATCGCATCTTCAGTTCCAGTTCTTGATCTCAGGACACTGCGACCTCTAGATTGCGATCTTGCACGTGCTGAAATGTTGGTTGTGTCATGACCAAGAGTGTCGAGGGCATCCTCCATGTCGGTGAGCTTCTTTCTCATAGCGGTTCTGGGGATGATGGCCCGGTTCTTGAGACTCTTCTTCATCTTTGCTTCGTTACGAATCAATTGGCGTTTCTCTCTGATCAGCTCGGCTTTCATTCTAATTTCGGCGTCCTCGGCATCTTCTAGATCTTCATCGGAATCGTAGTAGCCCTCGGCTTCTAATTTCTCCTCCTCCTCTTCGAGAGCAGCGAGCTTCGCTTCGATATCCGGATCGATGAAATCGTAGACGTTCTTACCATCGAAAACTTCGGGAATCTTATCGTGCTTCCACTCGTCATTCTCGAGCATGTATTTATCCTTGAGATCTACATTGTAGACTCCTGCTCCTCCTTCCTCTTCCTCAATATCTCGAGCCAATTTCCGACGCTCGGGATCATTCTTGTCGTATTTCTTGAGAGTCTTGACGGCTTCGGGGATAAAGGCTTCACGTACAATACCATCCATGGGCCGGGCAACGTGGATTCGGGTGAGAACATCTCCGAGACGGCCACCGACGGCTCCACTGGTGCTCGTGCCTGCTTTCAACTTCTGAGCCACACGATCAGCGATCAGACGCTCGCATGCTGCATTCTTGACTTCCTGAACACCTTCGCTTGTCGTACATGAGAGCTGGAGCATCTCAACGTCCCCTGATTTCAACAAACCTTGAAGTTGTGCTTGCGTCTCCTCGTCCAAGTCTTCAGGTCGAGTAACATCGATCTTGTTGATGACGATGAAGACAAGCTTGTTTGCGAACAAAGGTTTAATACTTTGGAAAAGCTGAATCTGTGCTTGAACTGTGTAGCCGCACTGTTCTGAAAGATCCATGAAATAGAGGATTGCAGAACGGAGATGTGCAATTGCGGTGATGGACTGCATTTCGATGGTGTTCATTTCTTCGAGGGGATGGTCCAATATACCCGGGGTATCGATGGCTTGGAATCGAAGGTACTTATAGTCGAAATGTCCAACGAACAAGCTTTTAGTTGTAAAGGCATATGGTTGCACATCAACATCTGCTCTCGTAACACTCTTTAAGAAGCTAGATTTTCCAACATTCGGGTACCCGCAGATGAGGAGAGTTCGAGTATTTGGGTCAATGGACGGCAGTCGACCGAGATGCTGTCGCACTTGGTCAAGATAGAGGAGGGGATCTTTCAATCTTCTGCAGATGGTGGCCATTCGTCCCAGCGCCGCACGCTTGAGCTGCTTGCACTGGAAGAGCGATTGTGCATATTTGAGAAGTCGGACATAATCGCGAGAGACAATCTCGATCAAGTGCTTCGCGGTCGAGAGCTGGCCCAAGGCTATGCGGAAGTGGTCTGCATCGTACAGGGTATTGAGGAGATCTTTGTGGAAAGGATGGATATCTTGGAGTCGAGGAAAGCCATCAAGGATCAGCGAGAGCTTCTCAGTGAAGGTCTCTTGCGTGAATTTGACTTTTCTGGTATAGAAATCTGCGATATATTAGACATGGTGAATTCTCTCAGGAAATTTCTGCGCCCATACTTCTAATTCTGCTTATTTGAAAGCCTGACCGAATTTGTGTGGGCAAACGTCGCTGCGTTCGGCTCAAAACAATGTCGAGGAATTCCTGCGACGTCGGTACAGGTTGGATGTCCTTCCAGGTAGTCTTCATGGTGGGCAGTTTGTTGATGTTCGAAGTTGATTGAAGAGAGACCGTGATAAATTTCGAATATTTTTGCTTGGAGAAATCTAATCTGTAGTGGTTCCGCGCTAAGACAATCTTATCAGTTAAGCGATATTTTGAGTTTGGCCCTCGATTTACAAGAAGAAAGTTTTTTGATCATGGAAAAAGTTGAATCACCGTCGCAACGGATGAGATCTACTTGATAAATCCACAATTTCCCAATCGGCCATCTACTACCAATACAAGACCTTCTCAATATGTCTTCCACCACCCTTGCGCCTTACAAAGTCGAGTTTCTACAAGCAGCAATCAATGGCGGGGTCCTCAAATTCGGCAGCTTCGAGCTGAAGTCAAAACGAATCTCGCCCTACTTCTTCAATGCTGGCGATTTCTACCGTGCCGATCTCCTTCGAGCAATATCTACGGCATACGCAAAGACGATCATCGAAGTCGAAGAATCCTCCTCCCCTCTCGATTTCGACATCGTTTTTGGGCCTGCGTACAAAGCTATACCGCTTTCAACTTCGACAGTGGACAAGCTTGCAGATTTGAAGCCTGAAAAGTACGAGAAAATGTGCTACAGTTTTGACAGAAAGGAGGCAAAGGATCATGGAGAGGGTGGAAAAATCGTGGGTGCGCCATTGAAGGGAAAGAGAGTTCTGATTGTGGACGATGTTGTCACAGCTGGTACAGCGAAGAGGGAGGCCATCGGCAAAATTCGACAAGAAGGAGGAATTGTTGTTGGTATCTTGGTGGCATTAGACAGAATGGAGAAGCTGCCTGCTCCGAATGGGGATGATCCAAGCACTCCTATGCCTAGTGCTATTGGGGAGCTCAGAAAGGAGTATGGTATTCCGGTCTTCGCAATCCTGACACTGAACGACATTATCGAGGGATTGAAGGGCAAGATTGCAAAAGAGGATATAGAACGGATGGAAGAGTACCGAGTGAAGTACGCGGCAAGTGATTAGACAATGATACCCATTCCAAAGCAATTTCCTTCTCCAATACTAAACTCACAGTGAAACAACAGACATTATCGTATTGATTGGCGCTGTGAAGCTGCAAGCCTCTGGTATCTCCAAAACCAACTCAGCTTGTGAACAACATTGGTCATCCATACATTGCTCTTGGCTGCAGTTGCTTCAACTCCAAAACCATGTCAAACCATCCTCCACCTCCGAACTGAGTAGCACTCTTTCCCAGGTTGGTGAAGCCCAGTTTTTCATACCAAGCAACCATGTGCTGTCACTTTGGTCAGTGGAGTAAAGAAGGGCTTGCTAGCAAACTCACATCATGAGCAATCAATGCCAGTCGATCGGCAATCCCGGCCCCGTTCATGTTCTGAATATATGCCATCATCAGGACTCTACCAAGGCCCCTCCCCTGAAAACTTGGCGAGATAGCAACGGAGTGAAGAACAATCGTCCGTCCCGCTTCCTGATGGCCACGTTTAGTAGGAGTTGGACGTGGAGAGTCCCAGTCTTCTGGGACCCCCATTGACTCATCGCTCGCTGTGAGGTCGTGAGTTTTGGCCGCAACAACGTGGCCGAGGAGCACACTGATAGCGCCATTCTTGCGGGCAGTCTCCACTGGCCTGCCTGCAGCAAGAGTTTCTGGTTGAAAACCGGATTGTGGCTCAGCAGTGCAGAAAATCCCCAAGCACAGTTCACCACATTTGGACAGTCGATATCGGAACTAAGGTGCGTGTCAGCAAATGTAAATACTGAGAACCAATGCCGATATACGGAAGCAGTAATGTGTCACGTGTGCATCACAAATGTGAGATTCTTCGATACGGACTGACCTTTTCTGGCGTGGCTCGATCGAGCGGGTTTGTAAATGCTGCGTTTTCAAGAGCTTCGCAAGATTCCACGTCGGAGATGGTCAGTGGTCGTGTGTATGGATGGAGGTTGGTCGACTTGACCTGTTGTGCCTCCGGCACGATGACGAACTGTCTCTGACGCTCTGTAGAAGGCGAGGATTGTTCAGAAGAGGTAGGCGATTCAGATCTCTCTGTCGTGACACTATTCGGACTTTCTGTCAAGGTAATCGGCGGCGCAGAGCTTTCGTTCTCCAGGTCACGAGGCATGTTGATGGGATGTACAGGCAGCGTCAGATGTGATGAACCTCGATATCTTAGTCATAGGTCGTGGGAGTTGTGTTGTTCAGCTGGAAATCCAATATCCTCTCAAGAAGAACTGTATGGTATCTGATGTGTGAGGTTGACGTTGTTTGGGTGTGTACTGTACAATAGGTAGGTAGGAGAGAGAAAGCACGAGGCAGAGTTGGCCGAAAGAAAGTATCACCAAGATCAGGCTGGCAGTGGGCTTTTGGCAGGTTGGCGTTGGCATTGGCATTGGCAGGCTGCGAGATTCTCAACGCCACCCTCCTCTTCTCACTCGGTCTCTTCTCTCGAGCCTCGTCTCATGTCGTTGATTTCTCTCCCCCTTTTCTTCTTGCTCTTCTCTTCTCCGGTAGGAATCTTTTCAAATAGATGCATCACCAACCACGACGAGCAAAAATCTCCTAGCAGAACTCTCCTCACGTGTTAACTAAGGACAATTCTACATCCTTAGGTACCTACTGTTCGTACCATATCCGCCTTCGTTTGGATTTTATGGATTATGTTCACAAAGATCACTAGCAAACACTTACAATCAACCTCAGACTAGCTCTAGTCTGCGTATCATTACCTACGAGGAAGTATAAGAATATAAACATGATATCACGATCAGCATCAACATCGACATCCACGCACGCAACGCAAGCAACGCAAGCAACGCAAGCAACACTTAGCCTTGTCATGTGTTCTCCTCTCCTCTGCTCTTCTCTCTCAGCTCTCTGACCTTGCAACGCTGACCTGGACCTGTACCTGCACTTTGACCATAGTTCCCTCCACTTCTTTTCCTTTTCTCCAGCAGAAACCGAAAAGTTGGGGGTCCCTCACTCAATGCAACCGTACTGATCCAGCTTCCCCTCCTTCCACCCCACACATGTATATGTATATGTATATGTATATGTATGTCTCTGTCTAAATCTGAACCCGGACATGCCATGCCATGCCATGCACGTCCTTACGAATCGATGCATGCAATAATGGATAATGCCCGTCTTATTACATATCGAGAGTATAATTCCTTTTCCCTTTGTGTACGCCTCCTCGCCGTCAGCTCGACCGACAATAACCAGCAAATCATCGTTCTACCCAGCCTCCAGCCCGCCTGAAGCATTCATTCGCATGTCACCATCGTCCTGGCAAGATGCAAACTTTTTCACACATCTTCCCTCCTTACCTCTCCCCGTTGGCATTCCATCCGCTTCCATGTGATTATTACTCTACAGACTCTACAGTACGCTGGTGACCGAATGGCAATAGACGCTTTTCCTCTTCCCTGATCATTCGTTCATCGAGGGGCGATGCGAGCAAGGACCCTGCGCTGCTCTGTGCTTGTGCTTGTGCTTGTGCTGCTTGCGCCTGCAAGCTTGAGGTGCCATTCTTAAGCTTGCTGGCTTGCTTGCGAGAGAGGCAAAAGGCAGCCTCGTCTTCGTCATCTTTCCTCCCACCTCCTCCTACCTTACTCTACCCCCCTTGAAACCTCGCAACGCGGCTGTCTTCTTCTCGTCTTTAACTTCTCACAAATCCAGCCCAGCGATATCCCTGTGAATCTCCACCAAGGTTATGTCACGTTCTGCATTACTTTAAGAACTAGAAGCTCTCTCGGACTTCAAGACTTCTGACTATCTGAAACTCAACAAACTTCACCACTGCCCTCGCAACTTTCAAAATCCTCGACTGCCTTCCCGTCAAAATGTTTGTACAAGCTCTCCCATTATGCGGAAGCTGAAGTGGCTAACCTTTCTGAAAAGGCGCATTACCCTCAATATCACCGCACCCACTGACGCAGACTCCGATCTGCTCTCTCTCGTGATTCCACCGGATACCACCGTCAGCACGCTGAAGCAGTCCGTCCAAGCCGAATCTCGGATTCCCGCCACCTCTCAACACCTCTATCATAACGGTCAGCTGCTCAACGATGACGCGAAGACTATGGAACAACTCCAAATCGGAGATGGCGAGATGCTAGCGCTGCATGTTCGAGACATGGTAGGAAGCACAGGAGTGGCGGCAGGTCAACATCGAGCACAACCTGCACGCCAGCAGCCACGAAGCGGCCAAGAGAACGACCCGGAGACCATTAGGTTACAGCTGCTGGGAAACCCACAGTGGAGACAGCAGGTTATGGGCACACGACCCGAGCTCGGTGCTGCGGTCGAGAACCCGGAGAGGTTTGCACAGATCTATAGGCAAATGCAGGAGCAAGAGCGGGAAGAACATGCAAGACGACAACAAGCAATCTCAGACCTAAATTCGGATCCATTTGACGCTGATGCCCAAAGAAGAATTGAGGAGATGATCAGGGAGGAGAGAGTCCAAGAAAACTTGCAAAATGCTATTGAGCATAATCCCGAAGGTGGGCAGTCACACATTGGCATGTTTGATGGTCATACTAACACCCTGCAGTCTTTGGCAGAGTTCACATGCTGTATATTGACGTCGAAGTCAATGGTCACAAGGTTAAAGCATTCGTTGACTCAGGTGCCCAAGCCACGATCATGTCTCCTTCTTGTGCTGAAGCTTGCGGTATTATGAGACTTGTGGACAAGCGTTTTGCAGGTATTGCACGAGGTGTAGGCACAGCTGCTATTCTGGGACGAGTACACTCTGCACAAATCAAGATCGGAACTTTATTCCTTCCTTGCAGTTTTACTGTCATGGAGGGCAAAGATGTCGATTTATTATTGGGCCTGGATATGCTGAAGCGTCACCAAGCTTGCATTGATTTATCGAAGGACAAGCTCATCATCCAAGACGTCGAAGTATCCTTCTTAGGAGAAGCGGATATTCCAAAGGGTATGGAGGAGGAGAGAGCCGAAGAGCCCAAAGTTGCTGGTCCTGGAGGAACTACTATTGGTGGACGATCTGGAGTTGTGTCTGCACCATCTACTTCGCAAAGTAGTGCTCCGCCAGCTGCAGCATCAACTTCAGCTCCGGTTGCTAGACCATCAGCACCCCCGCAAGCTACCGAACCACAATTTCCTCAGGAGGCAATAGATCAACTGGTTGCATTGGGATTCTCAAAGGCTGAAGCAATCAACGCGCTGGCTGCTTGTGGTGGAAATGTAGAATATGCCGCGGGACTTCTGTTCCAAGGTTAAAGCGTCAGCATGGCAACGGAAGGCGTACTGGAGACTGGTAGCAAATGAAGGAACGCAAGGCGAGCATAGCATCTATAGGGGTGGGTACGGCGTTGATATGACAATCGGCAGGATTTGGTTTGACTTGCATATTGATGGCTCATGACACAATGGAAATTCAATTTCTACAATAGCTGAGCGGGTGCTCGTATTATATTTCCAGTACCAATGCATCTTCAAAGCAGTACATAAATTGCTTCTCATCTCTGCTTGTAAATACAAGGCTTTAGCACTCCCGCCTCACTGGACACATGCTGCTCCTCCTCGATAAATTTCCCCTTTGGCTTCTTTGTCCATGTCTCCCCAAGTCCATGCTTCTCGCCACCTTTTGGCAATGGAACTCCCTTCCCCTTGATCGGTGTCGTTGCCTTGACAAACCACATCTTCACAAACATTTTGTTGCTCAAATCCACTGCCTTGCTTCCATTGTCACCTTCCTTGCCCTCTCCCTTCAACACAAATCCTCTCTTCTTCAGGACTTCGACAAAGGCACTAACATCTGTTTGTCCTCCACGATCCTCAACACCATCCACCTCAACAGCTGCCACAGCATCATTAACATCCTCTTCCATCCTCTTTTGAATCTTCTTTCCCTCTTTACCAACCTTCTTCCTGTTGCCTACGCTATGCTCTACTACTTTTCCCTTCTTGCCTGCTGAAGCTACACGTCCGAATCGAGATTTGATTTCGGCGACCCAAAGCTCACCCTTCCATCTCAAGATCCGGAATGCTTCTTCAATGAAGTCGATCCAGTTGGTACCCATAAGTGCCAAACAGAATATAGCTACATCCACGCTCGTGTCTGGGAGCGGGAGATTAGCAATATCTGCTATCTGGACATGAGGATTTGGAGCCTGGAGGTCGAAAGACTTGATCTTGAGATCGAGTTTCTTGACAAATGGTTGCAACCTTATGGCAAGAGTGGCATCTCCGCATCCTAAATCGGCGATTGTGCAGCATGTTCCGGTTCTTGGCAATGGTGTCAAGTTCTGACTGGCATTCTCAGCACCCACGGCTGCTTTTATACTTATCTTCTGTTTCTTGCCTTTGTGGGCTGGCCCAAGGATCTGGCCACGCAAGACAATATTGTCGAAGTATCCGTGAACAGGATTTTCAGGCCAGACTTCAACCTGATTTCTAAAGCCTTCATGGTACGAAAGGAACATCTCTGAGTTCGTACTAAATTGGGTGAGTGACTCGGCTGAGTTTGTGGTATAGAGCTGTTCATTTAGATGGCGGAATCGAGCAGATATGAGCTTTGAGCGCATTTCAGCTTGTAGAGGTGTGAGAGGAGTGGCTGGAGGTGCCTTGGGCATGATAAGACCCTCTTTGGTCGAATGCTGTGAAATGGGGGCGGGAGAGGGAGCATCGGTATGTGACTCTCGATGATCTATGAATTTCTCGTAGTGCTTCTTCCGTTTCTTTTCTTTCTTGTCTCTCTTCATCTTCTCTTCATTTGTGAGAGTCGGAGGCGCTACCAACAACTCTTTCATGTCGGATTCGGATTCATCATGACGCTGGTCCATTTCAAGTTCGGTTTCCGGCATAAATGTGTCTTGTGCTTGAAGTTGTAATTCGTCCTCTACGTTAGAACTGACGCCATCTTTAGACTGTAACAACTTTGACTTCTTCTCACGTTTCTTGTTGTTCTTGGGTTGCTCCTGAGCCGGAGACTGTAGTTCGTCCTCAATGGCGGAATCAACGCCATCTCGGGACTGTAAAAGCTTTAGCTTCCCACGTCTCTCGTTGTTCTTGGACTTCTGCTTCGAAATCTTCTCCTCGAGAGGCGTAGGTCGTCCAGATTGCTCGTCGGTGTCGGGTTCAGCCTGGGCTCTGGCGGTGTCTTTAATCTTCTGCCGTTTCTCTGCTCCTTTCCTCCTGTCTGCATCCTTATTCTCGATAACTCTCTCCCACATGTGCGCCAGGTTGTCGGGATTGATATCCACATTTCCTTTGCCGGTGCGCTTCCTCTTTTTACTCGGCCTGGACTCCACGTCGCCATTGTCCTCACGATCGCCTCCCTTTTTCGCTTTGTTCGAAGTCTTTGCAGTCTGCGTCTTGAGAGACTTGGTATCGACCGACCATCCGGGTACGGCAAACATCGCGAATGTGGGGTTGTGGTATAATCTGGCAAAGCACACTGACAAGCGCATTGCAGAAAAATTATTGAGCAAAATAGCTCTTGCCCCCCACTAGCGGCTGCTCCCGCGCTAAGCGAACACACGCTTTCCCTAAAATAGAATGCTACGAATCTAATGATATATCAGTTCGGATGTGAGCATGTCTTAGTGTGATTTCATCAATGAGAAGCCTCGATATATTAACATGAGAATTCTTTGGATCTTTCTGGCATGTGGTGGTATTGTACCTAATAAGTATTCCGAAGCTTCTTGCTCCATTTCTCGTCGCCCTACTTCGGTATGCAATCCCGTCTTCACACAGTCTATAGTATATCCTTGTCCAAAAATTCAATTGTTAATATGGTTGGGCCAAGCACCAGAAGTGGACAACTGGAGAAGATAATCAAAATACACGGAGAAAAGTTCACGAGCTCTTTTTTTTCATCGACCCTGGGAGATCATCAAGGCTAGGACGATACGGCTTCGAATGTTGGATCATTCGGGCCAGCACCGTTTCAACCAAATGCGTTTTCAACGCCATACTTCAATAGCACCTAGTGGACATACCAAAGTAATCTCCAATAGATAAATCGGCAAAGCTGTCTTCATTAGAACGATAGTTATTGTATTGCGGATCCTAATAAACGAAAGAGCGAATAGATCGTGGAATAGGCTGGACAACATTTAAGTGAGACTTTCCTTTGACCTTTTCTGATCTTGCTAGAACAAAATGTATCGGAACCAATCATACCTGCTTAGTGCGCAATAGATGGTTGTGAGGTGCATTAGTAGCATCATTTGCACCCTGGCGGCAAGGAGCAATGTTCATGGCTTCAAGTAAGTAACATTGACTCACAGCATCATGGATGGAACCCGTACCACTTCTTCATATCTCAAGGAGAAACTCTTGAATCTTGCTTCATACATTAACCTGGTTTAAAAGGACGGATGGCTCAACTACCTCGGTAGTTGCAATCAAGGGTTTCTCCTATCATGGTTAAGTTTGTAGATTTGGTATTGACCTCGAGAATCAGACAATGAAACAGTACACCAGATACACTGCATAGTCTTCGGAAGCGTACAATGACGGAAAATGTCTACATCGCAGCCTGCGGGACCGCTTCCGACACTCCCGCTTTCCGACGGATAGTCGGATTACTTGACGATATGCAACAAAAACTCCAGATAATGAGGAAAAGAAAAGGACGTCCAATTAGAAGAATAAAAGATCCTGTATGAGTCAGATAAGCAGGGTGTCATTAACAGCTTCCGCGCACGACTGCGGATGTGATATCCGTCTTTGCTCGTACGGTTGACATATCCGAGACACTGCTCCCGGAAAAAGACCGTACCTTTGGGAATGTTTCACTGCTCCTTATGTTATGACATTAGTTTCAGCGTAAGACCCTTTCCAAGTCTTGGAATCCACGTCCACGGACTCTTCAGAAACCTAAAAAGACAGTCTTTTGACGTTCCTTCATATCCGTCAATCCGTTACCTTTCTTTTGCATGACAGCGGAACCCTCCCCGTTCTATCACCCCAGACCATTCCAGGATATTTTCGTAGAAAGCCACTGATCTTTTGTCGCAGAAGGTCTTTTCCGCAGAAACAGAAACAGGGCCTCCTCGACAAAGCACCCTCACGGCGTGTAGGTAGAACCCGGAATCGTTGAAGTATTCCCATTACGTGTCGTTGCGTGGAAGAATCCATGTTAACCTGGGAAATTATAACACTGGTGAGATGTTAGTCTCGAAGAGGGATATTTGTTAATCTAGTCTCTCTTGAAACAAAAAGCGTCGCATTCACAGACATGCTCGATTTCTACGAACTATCGTAATCAAAAACTATGTAACTTGGCATGGAGTCTGGCTGATACGTGAAAGAAAGCATCCACCAGAGTTGTATAGCTTTTTGGAGTTATGGTATATGTCTGTTTATAATCATCTCATTTAGGCACTTGCCAACTACCTAGGAATGCAATGATTCCATGTCTCACCTTCCAGAGCGTTGAAGCAAGTGTGAAATTCGGTGGACGTCGCCATTTGAGCCTCCAAAGCTCCCGCATCCAGCGTTCATGAGCCGCCAACAAGATTATCAGGTGTGGTCGTCAGGAAAAAGGTGCATGCCATGTTATAGCGGCCTGTGGAACGTCGATGCTCTTCGCTCTTCCTGGACCCATGCTTTGGAGCTCAGTTGGAAGACGTTCATACTTGTATATTTCCATGGACCACCAACCTGGTCAGCAGCATACTGCATACAGCACCGCATAGGTATGGCATGAAAGCTTCTCTGGATACTTTGACGAGGCCCTTCTCTTCCTCCACGTTCAGGCGTGCATGACCGGGCGGGCCTTGTGTGACAATTTAAGGTCAGGCACTGGCGTTACTTTAGGGTCTTATCGATACCGAGACCCCTGCGGCGTGTCTTAGAAGATTAGCCTTTCTCGTCATGGCCATGACATAGAAACTGTTAGCAATATATCACACGCCGAGCGCGCCATACATTCCAATGCCTCCAACCCTCGATGCGGATTTTCACGGGGATACGATCGTTGTCAAAGGCGAATACGCTTGGGACCGCACTCGAGAAAGCATGGAAAGCGAGGTCGACCTCGACGTAGGACATCTTCTAGCTCAACTCAGCGGTGGCCAGCACCTCTCATCCCCAGACTTAGAAGAGGAACTCTCCACCGAGAACCTCCCCACCGATTCCAGCTCCCGAATCGACCACTCCGCCAACCGCGCACCAAGACAGAGACACAAACTGAACACAGCAACAATGGAGGAGCGTCTGATACAGATGCAGGAGGTTCGACCACTGCCATGGCGCGATGGTGTTGAACCTGGCGCAGAGAACGAGACAGGCGGGGAGTCACGGAGGAAACAGATCAGATTTGGTTGTCTGCTGGCAACGCGCGGAGAGATACAAGAAGTGCCCTGCAATAGTTGCGCCAATGGGAGAGGCAAATTCAGACACTGTATTGCGTTGGAGGGGTTCTTCAAGGGAGCGTGCGCGTCTTGTCAATTATCTGGCCGGCCAAATCGATGTTCCATCAAGAAGAATGATGGTGTGTTACTACTACGGAAGCTCTCTGATATGCTTGCTAACGGTTTGCTGCAGATACTATCGAAAGTCCAACGGCCAACACGCCTGGGAACGCGCCATCGAGAAACCCGAGTCAATATCAGCCTTCCTCCGATCCACAGCCAAAGCGCAGAAAAACAGATACAGTACCAGACTGGGAATCCGCCAGACCTCAGTGGGAACAAGAGCTGGGCGAGTCCCATGCAAGACAGCAGATGAGTGAGATAGGACAACGGTCCTGGGCGACAGTCAACTCGCCAACATCGATGCCTATGGGTGGGAGTGGATTGAGCGGACCTGGTTCTAGAAATCCATCTCAATCCTTAGAGCATCGGAACTCGATGGGCTGGGCAGCGGTTAATCAACCTCCTGCTGGCCCAGGTCCGGCGACGTTTGCCAACGTGGGAGAAAGTAATGGCGGCGGAAGCTATAGGAGCACAGTTGAGCAAGGCAGACGAGAAGAGACTAGCATGATCGAAGATGGATCAGTGGCTCTCATCGATACTCTGCCAAAGAGCAAGCAGCGCCAGGTCTATATGCTTGTTTCTGGTCTACAGAGCGGTATCAGTCACCTCCAGAGAGAGCTTGAGGCACTTAAAAAGGCGCTGGGAATCGATGATGATTAATGTATGGTCATTGTAATAAATAATGAGAGTAGTAGTAGTAGCAGCGGTCTCTCGACCGCAAAATCAAAATTATCTGTGCACCCACCAGTCTCCACTTTTCCCCACCAATCCGTAGCTTGGGAATTTGACTTGACCGGGTGCAACAACCAACATTTCTTTCACCATCACCATGCCTCCTGCTGTACCCGCATACGACCTCGATGGAGGTGATCAATTGGATCCATCTCAATTCGACGAGGCCGAAGGAGATGAGAGCTTCCAGAATGGAGCACCTCCCAGCGAGCGTCAACAGTCGCGACCACCCTCAAAAGAGTATGTCCCGTTTCTTGAGAGATTGCAAAAAGTTCCCCAGGTCCGCGCCATACCATGGCGACCAGGGCAAGAGCTTCCTGCGGAGAAGGCTGAGGATAGCCCTCGTGTCCAGCAACGTGGTGCGATTCTGCTGTCGACAAGAGGAAAGGTGATGGAACTCAAGTGTGAACATTGCGCGCGCGGGTGAGCTATCTTCCAGAACGACCCGAGAAAGTAATACTGACGCTGGAACTCTGATACAGATACGGGAGGTTCTCGCTGTGCATCACAATGGAGCCATGGTTTCAGGGAGCCTGTTCAAGTTGCATTTTCACCTCAAAAGGCAACAAGTGCAGTCTCAGGTTTCAGACATCAGGTACACGACCCGACCTCTCTCTGACGGAATGCGGCTGACAAATTATAGGCACCGCAGATGGAAGAGCTCTACGATATCACACTGAGAATCCGGATGCCCTCCAGTCTTACATCCGGAATGTCAACGACAATCCTCCCAAACCTACCAAGAAGCGCAAGAGACGTTCTGCCCCAGCTTCAACAAATCCTTCTCTCAATGCTTTATACTCAAGCGAACACCAGTTGGAGTCCCCGCAAGCAGAGTCCCCCGACCTGGATACCATCCTTCAGGCAGAGATAGCTCGCGAGCAATCCTCTGGCCAGCCAGAGTATGCTGCTGCATCGGTCGAAAGAAAGACGAAGCGCCAGCAAAATACAGCCCAACATGCTGCGCCGGTTGCAAGTGGCTCTTCAAGTGCGTGGACTCCTGCCAATCTACCACTGAATGACACCCAAGGAGCACTACCGAATGTTTCTAAATCACGAGACGCAGCTCCAGTGCCTTCTAGCAGATGGGCTGCTATCAAAGAGCCAAGATCACTGACCCCAGGCTCTTCTACGTTGCCGGATCATGTTGCCCAAAGCCCCACAGGCATGCCTCTGATTGACACATTCCCAAAGACCAAACAACGACATATTTATGGAGTTATTGGCGGCTTGGAGAGCGGAATTGACCATCTGAATGCTCAGGTTGTCTCGTTGAAGGCTTTGCTTGGTATCGATGCTGATGAGTCCAAGTCACGATGACGACTCTGAGGATAATCAGTTGTTTCCTGTACTTGGCTTCCTGTATTCTAAGTGATAGCTGATATAAGCGCGCCAGAATTGCTTGCAGAGGGGGGAGCGCTTGATGAATTTGTACGAATCGCATGGCTTATTAGAGCTAACAAATAATAATAGCTACTGTCTGCTCTTTCCAAATGCTCGAGTGCTGTATAAAAACGGTACCCTTATTTTCCTTTTCACCCTGTATATATATGTATGTCCTGGTCAGTCTTGATGTGATTGGATCGGGAATATCGGCAATGGCAGTCGTACTCGATCAAGACCGCGCTTTTTGCCCAGAAGCTAAATCTGGATATTTTCTCTGCCCTTGCAGGGCCAACTTCTTCTCATGCAGCCACTTGCTTGCATCAGACAAGCTTCCGAGGCGTATCACTAGACTCACTCACTACCTTACTCCGAGCTCCTGCACTATCAAGCTCGTATCTCCAATATCAAAGCCTGCAGTTGCAGCTGTTCAATTCAACATCCTAGTCGAGTACCAATCACGACGTTAGCAGTACGAAGATGATTCAGCAATCAGGAAGTGCAGAAGCGCAGAAGAGTGGGCCATGATTGTCGCTCACTTGAACGAACCAATTGATCCACCTTCTCGAGGGATGCCATGGAGTCGTGGAGCTATCGATACTGTACAGTACAGTACAGTACATCAAGGATCTGATGAAGCGTCGCACGGCATGGCATGGCATGGCACGGCTTTCTTCAACGGTTTATTTATCGCTCGATCGTAAGAAGGAGCATCTGGTGGTGAGACATTTCGGCCTACAGTACAGTACACATCGAGACGACAACGCAAGAAACAGCCTCAACTGAAAATTTCGGCCAAAATATGATTGATACCAGCATGGTGTGGCAGTAGCGGCAAACCCGCCCAGCGAATGAGTGTCCTGAGAGGCATTTTCTTGTTTCTCGTTTCCATCACCTGCGTCCGGGTACAGTAAATTACAGTACAGTAGGTTGTTGGTGTTGGCTCTCTTCCGTCATTCAGCGCAGCGCATGCATGGCTCCCCTGAACGTGCACCAAGCCACAGCCGGCCATCGATTAACTGTCCTGGCCCTGGCGAACGGGTAATTCGTCCATTATTCGTCGTATCTTTCCATCCAGCGAACCGTCGAACTTGATCAAGATTCAAGACCTTGCGCTTGCCACTTCGCCATTCACATTATCCGCTCCCAGTCCATCCCTATTCTAGTCATAGTAGTCTTGTCCTAGTATCCCACCACACTCGTTCTTCCACTCCCCACTCCCGTCTCCTCCTCCATCTCAACAATCAACAATATTGTACTGTAAATCCTTCACCTCCCACTCCATCACGTACCGACCGTCGTTATCGTCGTCCAACATTCGTTTGCACCTCATCAATCAACAACCATCACTTTCGCTGTCGTTGAACCCCTTCCTGCACTCCGACCTGCATTCGCTCAGGCACTGGGAGATAACAATATTGCACCAATTTAACCTTGTCTTATCTCTCTCCACCCCGGGAGCCTTGACCAAGATTATACTTGGTTGAATATATAGCACCCAGCACGCGAGTGCATCACCCCCGGATCACACCACTGTTTCGACCTCTTGACCATCCCCACAGACGGAGACACTCAGTGACGCAATAGTTGGAGACAAGATGGGATTTCTGGTTTCTTTTGTTTGAATACATATACTGTTTTAAATACAGTATCGACATTCGTTCACGACGACAAGATGGCACCGTTGAGGAGAGCGCCACCAGCCGTACCGAGCAGGGAGGGTAGTGCAGAGGACGTTGGAGATTATCAAGCTGGAAGAAGTTCTTCGAGTCTTGGGGCCGAACGAAACTCTTCAGAAATACGATCGACGTCCTCGAATTCAGTCATACAGCGAGCCAGCGCAGAATCATTACCACAGAAGATTATTTCGAGCACTTCTAACACCGAAAATGCGTTTGCAATCCCAAGTCGGAGGACATCATACGTTCCTGCCGTTCCTTCGCCATTGAACCCTTCGTCGTCGCAGTCTTCGGCTTCCTCAATTAGCAGCAGTGATGAAATTGCTGTGGCCGAAGGGGATATTTCTCCAATTGAGTCCTCAGCCTCTGGAGATGTCTCCCGCAGCCGACAATTGGGAAGGAAAAGTAGCAGCAATTTAAGTCCTCCTCAGGCCTTCCTACGCCAAAAATCCGCCTCAACATTACTCAGGCCATCGACGCCAGAAACACCCAAAAGATTGAACGATCTCGGCCGGGACTACAGTCGCTATCCATCGAGTCCAGATCTTCGATCGAATTCGAGACCACCGGGCTCGAAATCCAGAGTGGCAGTAAACACAGCACCTCTACTACGAACAACAACCACCAATCCTTTCAACGATTCCCAGGCCGACCTTGAGAAGTGGGGTTATCCAGACGACAGCATTGCAGCATTTCAACCCTACCATGGCGGAGAGAAGGGATTCATTCTTTACGCAGACGAAATCGAAGCTGACGACAACATGCACATGCCACGAGACGACGACGACATTGTATATAAACCGAAACTCTCCGAATATTTCAACAGGAAACAAATCATTTCGACCATTGGAGGAATCTTCCTACTCTTGGGGCTTCTCTGCGTTTTCATTGTCTTGCCCGTTTTGACATTCTCAACGCATCTCCTCACACCTACTGGCAAGTACGTAGTTGATGATGGTCCCGCTTGGGCAAGTTCTCTTTGTCACTGCGCATGATTGAATTGTACCTGCTAACTGCTTTATAGGCCCACGTGAACAATAATTCCTATGCTCTGTTGAATAATGTCCGCCGAGGCGGTAAGTTGAACTTCCTTCGTGATCATTTCTGGCATTTTAGCTAAACTATGTTTAAGTAATCGATCCGGACACACCTCTGACTGCCAAGACGAGAACAAGCACTTTCGATGGATCCACTCTGAGTCTGGTTTTCAGTGACGAGTTCAACGATGACAATAGGACCTTTTATCCTGGAGATGATCCATACTTCACGGCGCCCGACTTTTGGTATGGCGCCACACAGGATCTTGAATGGTATTCCCCAGCAGCGGTCACGACAGGAAATGGGACGCTGCAATTGAGATTGGATGCATTCCCAAACCACAACCTCCAATACCAGTCAGGTATGCTGAACAGTTGGAATCAGATGTGTTTCAAAGGTGGGGTCTTTGAAGTGTCCGTCTCTTTGGCAGGCCCATCTGGTATTCCTGGGCTTTGGCCAGGAGTCTGGACTATGGGCAATCTAGGACGACCAGGATATAAGGCCAGTACGGAAGGACTCTGGCCTTATACGTACAATTCTTGTGATTACGGCATCACTCCCAATCAGTCAGATCCCGACGGACTTTCATGGCTACCTGGCCAGAGACTGGCGTCTTGTACATGTACGGGTGCAGATCACCCAAATCCAGGAACCGGACGAGGAGCTCCAGAAATCGATATCCTTGAAGCTTCAGTCGACCCCAACAATCGAATCGGTGTGGTCACTCAGAGTTACCAAGTCGCGCCATTTGATATCTTTTACCGTCCGAACTCGGATTTCATGGCGATCCCAAACTATGATACAACGCAAATGAATGGATACTGTGGAGGGCCTTTCCAACAAGCTGTTAGCGGAACGACTCTTCTAAATAACGATTGGTATGATGGGTTGGAGTATCAGAAGTATGCCTTCGAATACGTGCCCGGTACCTCGACCGGAAAGATCGCATGGTTCGTGGGAGAAGATCCATCATTCATTATGGACGGCAGAGCTATTGGACCGAATGGAAACATCGGGGCAAGGCAAGTCTCGCAGGAACCCATGTCGCTGATTTTGAACTTGGGTCTCTCCAACTCATGGAGTGAGGTTCTCCTTGGCGATCTGAAATTCCCAACGATCATGCACATCGATTACGTTCGGATCTATCAGAAGGCTGGACAAGAATCGGTGACTTGTGACCCACCTGGGTACCCCACAACACAGTATATAAAGGATCATCCGCTTGCTTATAATGATCCAAATCTAACAGTAAGTTGTTTCGTTTAGAAGGAGGTATGTCTAAAGATGCTAACTTTTCCTAGTCATGGGCTGAAACCGGCTACGCGTGGCCAAAGAACAAATTGACAGGATGTTAAAGGCGCTTTGTCAATGTTCAGAATATATGGATCCAGGTCCAACTGTTCGAAACAAGAATAAGCGTCTTGCTCGATATTCGAAGATCTTCAGACGACTCTTCAGTCCGATATCCTTTTAATCAGGACCAGATACCAATCTCAAACAATCACACATCCTCAAGGGTTGGCGAATGCTAGTTCAATTTCCGAGATTCATGAGAATATCTGTTGGAGGCACAAACATTTCGTATATTTTCCAGAGGCAGAGGTGGATGAAATGACATTTTTCGGAGACCACACTCCAATCATACCTGGCAACGTTCCAGAACAACTAATGAACAACGGCATCTCGAACACATGACCGGACACGACACATACATACACACACAGATAGATTATGCAAGTCTGGGCCCAGACATGCAGGCGTTTTGAGGCGGAGTCATTGGGTTGGGACTGGATAGGCTCGCGATTTGCGAGATCCTGAGCATGCATACACAGACACATATGAGGCGTTTAATTTCGGGGTCATGGGATGGATGCATACCTAGATGCATGGAAAGGTGCCTTTTGTACATACACTATACCATTATATATCAAAATCCTGAGTCCTGCCTGGCTCGGAAATACATAGGCTAATTAATCGTCCATTGGACAGGTATCACCGGTATTCTCAAATCGACTTCTCCAGCGGTGTGAGGAGGAAGGATCTCGGAGATGCTCTCAGCCTATCTTTCGGCCACTGGGTAAGCTCCCCGGTCCGACAGGCGCCTATCTCCACACGGAGGGGGGAGCATGGGCGCCTATCTGTGAATACCGATTGTGTAATTGTTTGAAACACAAAGAACCAGAGAAGTGAGGGGAGGGGAATAAAGGAATAGCAGAAGATAAGACGAAACCAAAAAACCGAGATTGAACTGTTTGTTGCACTTCAAAAATCTTTCCATCAGCTGCTGCGATGCATCCCGAGTCCTCGCATGGGGATTCCCCAATTTCCCAGCGCTCGGTCTGAGGCTGCAGACAGGCAGGCGTTGCAGGAATGGCCGTCCGATGCTGCTGTTGGAGATGTTGTGGACCCTGAGAATACGGGGATGGGATGGGATGGGATGGGATGGGATGGGATGGGATGGGTTGGGTTGGATTGGGTTGGGTTGGATTGGGATGCTACGTCTCAATGAGGAATTTGTTCGCACTACCCAGCAGCTGAGGTCGTACGAAATGCACCATCGACGTTGTGGATTTAGACACGAGAGCATTTTGTGGCGGGGAAGGATGAGGAGAAGATGGATGTAGTTATTGATGAATTTATTTATGGGATATGTCAAAAAGTCGAATAGATTTCGAATCTAGACTTCCAGATGTCAAGATGCCAAGATCCACTGCGATGCTTATCTTGCATCTCCCTAATCGCCAAGAAGGTCATCCCCGGCCCGGCCATCTTCACTGGTTCGCTGAAAGATCCCACCTCCACGCCCACGCGGGGCAGCGCAGCGCAGCGCAGCGCATCCCAGCTCGGCCACTGGTTGATCCAAGCTTGTTGGGCACTTTCGCCTTGTCCGAGTTCCCAGCTCGTCGAGTCCTGCACTTCCGTACTACCAGACTGTTCCTTCTTATCACATCTCCGCACTTCTCCTTTGCATGTTCTCCGCATCTTTGTAGATACCTATACCTGACATAAATTTCTACTTCTATTTCTTGTTTACATATACACCGAGTTGCATTCCTAGAAAGACTGAAAGCAGCCCCGAGGCTCCATCCGAATTGACCGAAGATTGAGAACAAAGACGAAAGCATTATATGCCACTCCCCGAGCTATAGACCTCCTGCCACCTCCCAATCAGCTCAATTCTTCGATTCGAGTCTCAATTCTCCAATTCTCGAGCCTACAGTCGAGGGAACAAGGATCGGAAGAGGGGCATGATGCAAAGACACCCCAGTTAGCAACCAGACAACCATGGGCGGACAAGAAAACGGCAGCAATGGCAGAACATACTCGAAAGGGCGGTCCTCGACGGGAGGGTCGAGGAGTGACTCGAATACATTGGAAAGACAGGATACAGTGCTGACAATTGGGAAGTTCAAATTGAGGGGAAAGACGGATGATTTGCCTCAGTGAGTCTTTCTTCTTTTCACTCGCCGTGTTGAAGTCAGGTCTTGGATTGAGGAAATGGGCGGAAAGTCGGAAGGAATGGGTGAGATCTTTAGGAAGGACTTGGCGGTGAAGAAGATAGGTGAGATTCATAGAGATGCCAATCCGAAGACCAGTGTCTAAGATGCGCATTTGAGCAATTGGGGATCTGCAAGTGGGTCTCGATTCAATTGTCTACAATGGGATTGTTCTCTGGATATCTGGAAACATGAGAACGGGTATTGAGAGTGGAGCCTACTATTTGACGAATTATGGATCTACAAGGGGAAATAATCCAGCTAATGCAAATACAGAGATTGGTGGTTCGCGTCCACAGCTATACCCTTGCTTGCAGCCACAATTGGACCTCTAGCAAACGTGCTGAGTATAGCGGCCTTGGTATCAAAGTGGAGGGTTACTTTGCCAGATAACGGGCAATTACCAGCTGGCACGGATGATGCTGGGATAGATATAGCAGATCCTCACTGGTCGGTCTCCACTGACGCATAAGTTCATGAGCTTGAATGTTGACGAGGAAAATAGGGAGGTCATTCTCAATGCGATATCCCTGGCTTGTGGATTCTTTGGCAACTTCTGCTTGTTACTGAACTTCACGAGACGGATTCGATACATTGTTGCTTTGCCCGCGACAATCATAAGTTGGTATTTTGCTACAGGAATTGTGAGTCGGAAGTGCTGGTGAAAGATCAAATGGCTAATTCCACGCAGCTTATTGCTATCACTGTTGCCATGAACGAGCATGTCCCTCCTGTGAGACCCGGAGAAACATACTCACAAGGTTTTTGGCATGCAGTCATTGCAGCAGTGCTGTACTTGGTCGGCTCCATGATTCTAATGGTCAACATGCTTGGATACTTTCTTGGCCATTACCCACAGCATTTTGACCTTGATGATGATCAGCGGACGTTGATTCTCCAGACCATGATGTTCTTCTTCTGGCTTGCAGGAGGAGCCGCCGTGTTTGCGCGAGTCAATGATCATATGTCATACGCCGACTCACTGTATTTCTGCGATGTTACAGTCTTGACAATAGGCTTTGGAGACATAGTTCCATTGAATGATACTGCGCGAGGACTAGTGTTTCCATATTCAGTAATTGGTATCATCTTCCTTGGTCTCATGATCAACAGCATCCGAAAGTTTGCATCCAGCATGTCCAAGGACAAGATTATCCGAAGACATCAGCTCAATGAACGAGAACGGACATTTGGACGGTCCGTCACAAGTGAAAAAGAACTTCGAGATCGATTGGGTCTACCTCCTAAGTCTGACATGGAACGTCGTCTGTCTAATACTCGCAAACAATCGATCGGTGGAATTCGTCGTAGCTCGCTGGAACAGTACGGACATTTCGACATGCACGGACGTACTATCACCTTCCAAGAGAAGAAACACCACCATCACGGGGGACGAGGTGGAGCTGCTAGAACCAACAAGCCCAAAGCAGCCTTAAGCAGAGATGCGAAACTGCAGCAACGTGCAGCAGGCAAGGGCGAGCATGCTAAGAGGGCAAATCGTCGAGAGAAACTTATCCTCCTGAAAGAAGAGAAGGATCGATTCGATGCCATGCGAGAGATTCAGAGCAATACCAGCCGGTTCAAGCAATATTACGCTCTTGCCATGTCTGGGTTTGCGTTCGGATTGCTATGGTGTGTCGGTGCCGTGGTGTTCTTTGTAGCCGAAAAGAGGATCCAAAACTTATCGTACTTCGAAGCATTGTACTTCTGCTACGTATCTCTCTTGACCATCGGGTACGGAGACTTAAGCCCACGGTCTAACGCTGGAAAGCCCTTCTTTGTTGTCTGGTCTCTAGTTGCTATTCCCACGATGACAATTCTAGTATCGGACATGGGAGATACAGTCGTCACGGCCATCAACCGTGGGACCTTTACATTGGCAGATTGGACGGTGATGCCAAAAGAAGGACGATGGCATGACTTCCTTGAAAATCACCCCCGAATCAAGAACTGGCTAGAACGTCGAGAGAAGGAGAAGGAAGCTAAGAAGCGCATCGAACAAGGCTTTGCGTTACAAAATCCAGATGACGAAGGAGATGGGATCATAGACGGTCCTCCCACCCTCGAAAAGCTCGCTGAAGAGCCGAGCCCGCCATCAGAACACGAATTGGCACGCAAATTGGCAGTCGCTATCAAGAAGACTGCTAATGATCTCAGAAGCGAGAAGCCCAAGAAATATAGTTATGAGGAATGGGTTGAGTTTACGAGACTAATTCGGTTCAGTGGCCAGAACCCAGAGGATGCACAAGACGAGGAAGATGAAGATGGGTTGATTGAATGGGATTGGATTGGTGAAGACAGTCCAATGTTGGCAGATGTGAGTGAGAGTGAGTGGATTTTGGATCGGCTCTGTGAGAGTTTGAATCGGTATACGAGGAAGCAGGCAAAGGAGGTATGTCTTCTCTCTCGTCCTCTTAATAGCCTCATCAGGCTATTGCTTCCTCTCCTGTGGTTCCAGTCGAAAAACGGTCGAAAAGCTGACATGTCATAGTACCGACTTCATACCGTGCAGTCCACTTCGGTCCTTTCCGCAATCAAAGCCACTGCACTTCACGACCGAAACGCAGAAATCTATCCTGCTCACCCCGCTCCTCGCACACCATACTCCTTCACTCACACGTCTCACTCTTATGCCTCCACATCACCGGTTCTATCTCGTGGGCCATCCGGTGATCAAGTAGTAACGATCCATCACAAAACACCAGATGAAAGAGCAGAAGAAGCTGCCTTGGAACTAGAACTTTCAAAAGAACGTTTGATGACAAGTAGTGGAAGTGCTGAAGTAAGTGGCGGGAGCGGAAGCGGTACGACGGCGGTAGAGGAGTTTAAGATTGGTGCAGATGACGACGAGGATGAAGTGGAGGCTGAAGAAGGGCTAGAAGAGGAGTTGCAGAATGCTGAAGTGAGAGACTGGGCGAGGAGGGTTAGTGGTGATGAGTTGAAGAGGATTGATATCAGTGGGAAGGGGAGAGACGCCGATTCTCCTGAATAGTTTGTTGTACATGGTGCATTGGAGTAAGTTGGATACAAGAGGACAGAACATACTGTCAGAGGACAAGAGGGTGTTGGTCTGGATTGATACCCAGTTCGTATTTTTGTTTATGATTACATGCTTTACGAGTTTGGATACACAAGAAGATCAGACTGGGCTGCAAAGCAAAGGATTGACTTGAACAATGAACATTATGTATGTTATGAAATATATGGATGGCCGTTTCTATCTACCTACATTCGGCGATCTTGTCCTATCCCGTCCAACTTCCAATGTAACCTCACCTTTCGTGCCTTCCTAACACGTCTACCGACACGTTCGGCATCTCCCCTCCATCAACCTTGTTTTTTTCTCCGAGGAGAGGGTGGTCAGCATTTCCCACCCGATTGAGTTCTAGAAAGACTCTACATTTCCATCCTCCTGGAGGAAACCAATCCAATAATGGGCTAATGGGCTTTCTAAGCTAAGATTTCCCCTCAATCTCTCACAAGGCGGCCAAGGAAAACAGCGGCAAGGGAGGTAGATAGGTCATTCGATGATACGATAAGGGTGGGGTTGATAAAGGGGGGGTGGACAAAAAAAGGCGACACTGATAAGGGATGCGAGATAAAGCCCCATGGTGAGGAGAAGCTCCAAGGGTCTTCTTCATGCAGGTTCACGTGTTGAGAATTTTTCTCTCCCGCACACACACACCTGAGATTCTGAGATTGTAGGTGTGCTGGGAGTTAGAAGAGGAAAAAGACCAGTAGAAGGAACAGTATTAGAAGACCATGCATGAACTTTTGTTTTTGTGTATGCTACGCCAGAGATGCAGCATGAGAAAAAAGGCAATCATTCCCTTCCATTGATTGCATTTGCATTCCCTTCCCGAATTCTGTTCATTTCGTCCATCCATCCAGTCCGTATCTACTCCTCACTCCTGCCGCGCCCGAAAATACCACCTCCAAATCTCTCTCTTCGAGAAGTCAAGAAGTGACTACTCAAAGGAGAGGGAACCGAGGAGTCAAAGTAGACGTAGTTATTAGTGAAATTAGAGAGCCGACGAGCGCCGCCATTTTTGTTGAAGAAAAAGAAAAACATGCATACATGCTGCAGAGAGAATTTCAGGAGGGCGTGACGCAGTATGATTTCGATGGTAGTACAAGGAAGATCTGGACCGTGACGGTTCCAGGGATATGCTAAGACGCCGAAAAGGATACGACGTGAAAGCAAGCAAGTGAGGTGAAAGGAAAGATCGTTATGTTGGTATCATCGACAGTGAAGGAATTTGTGAAAAAGCCGCCGTTCCCGCTTCAGATGGGTCCATATGCCTTCACCGGGGGGCTATCGAGATCATGGTGAGGGCGAGGTTTGGCGAGGAAGGGATTGTGGAGTGGACGATTCACTGTCGCCGACCATGTCTGCTACTCTCATCTTCTTGGCATGAGGGGCTCCATCACGAGCTTCACCCATTTCACGCTCAATGTCGTCCAGGCGGTGCTTGAGTTGATTTTCGCGACGTTGGGATTCCTCTAGGCGTCTCATTAGGTCTTGCTCTGAATCTCGTCTCATCTCTCCACCGCGTCTGACGCTGTCTCTGTATTGTTCTAGTTTGTTAACTTGATCGCGGTACAGATCGTTGATGACTTCCAGTTCGCTGACCCGAGTCTTCAACGAAGAGTTCTGGGCGATAAGCTGCTCGTATGTTTGTGGAACTTCGAGCCCATGCGCTCCGTTCAATGGGGAGGTAGATCGGCCAGGAGAAGGGGCACGAAGGTGCATTGGTGGGAGGGAAGGGGAATGGTGATTGTTGTACGGGTCATCGAGCGGGTGGCCGTTGTACGCAGAAAGATGGTTCGGGAACATCGACGGGGTGCCAGTTCGTGAGATGGGGGAATTCGAACCCTCAGAATGGCCATTTGCAGATTTTTGTGAAGTGCGACGATGACCGATGGATCCTGGGGGTGGTGTTCCTGCTTGCGATCGCGCTTGATCGAGGCCATTGGAGTCGAACACGGTCTGCGCGGACGCGTTAGCAATGCGCATTTTCGATTTCATATCATCGACCCCTTTTTCTTACCTTCTTCTTTGCGCCTTGTGCAGCCCCTGAGCTCTTGACGCGGTTGCGACTCTTGATAACATCTGTCTTCAGGCTTATCGGTCGAGGTCGGCCATGCAGCTTCAAGAACAAGCCGCAGGCATTGCAAAGTACGGAACCGAGTTCATCGCGTCGCCAGAGCGGGGTGGTCGAAGTAGTGCAGTTCTGGCATGTAGGCTGTGAAGAACCATGGTCAGCACTGAGATTGACGCTCATATCTGCGGTCGGGAGAAGTTTGTCTTTGTCTTGCAACACTATCGGGTTTGATTGCGATAGACTTCTTATCGAGCAAAAAGTTCTTAAGCGGGAGGACGCTAAGACACCACGTGACAAAAGCCGCTAATAACCTCCGGATCCCCTATCGATACGGGACGCGAGAAAAAAAAAGACTTGCAACATGAACTTGCCATAATGTATGAAAGAGTTGGTGATGCTGTTGTGGTAACGTCGACAATGGAAGAATATCGGGAAAAGGAAACTTAGTCGGGAAAAGGAGACTTAGGTTCTCCAACATACCGGTGAATTACTTTGTCCGCCCCCTGAGGTTGCCGAGGGAGACGATGTCGAGTAGCCCATCGCAGTGGGCCCTACATTGAATGCCCTTTTGAGTGTTAGCCATTGCTATCTTGTCGGTCCGATGCAGAAACAGTATGGAATCTACAACATCTACAACATCTACAACAACAACAAGCATTCGAGCTATGTTTGTTTCGGTGTTCCCAACAGAGACATAGCCATCTGCAATGCATGTGTGTGATGTTCTGAGCAGTTCCCCAACTGTCCCCATTCAATGTCCCAAACATTCAACACCACCTCGAATGCCCTCGAATACCCCGAGAACCGTTCCGAACGTACCTCAATTGTGGAGAATTCGAACTCGACGCGAGTGACGCGAGAGCGGACAGCCCAGGAAGTTGTGGCAGAGAAGTACTATGGTGCAGAGTCGAGTTCTGGGTCGAGGTAGAAGACGGTCGAGAGATCGGATCCAGCCCCGGCAGCGAGTGTCTGCCATCCTCCACCGCGTGTGCCATTCTGAAGGAGGGCAAGTCTCGAGACTGTTCTCGGGAAGAATTGTGTAGATGGTCGATGGGCGAGGCCCGGTAGGGTGCCAGAGTGGAAGCCGTGGCTGCGGTTGAAAGGGGTTAAATCTATAGTTCGCGTTCGACGAGGCCCGCGACCGATGCAGAGACTCTGAAATGTCTCGAAGATTATGTAGATACTATTCTATGTCGTGAAGAAAGAGATTCGTCCTATTATGAATTCGTACCGGTCGGATCGTGGATATGCTGGCTGGTACTCCGTAAATATTATGATATTCTGCGAATAGAGACTTTTTGACGCGAATAAACGAGTGACTGGGCGAATCCCGGTGGTGTACAAGAAGATGGAGCAAGTGCGGGTTGGCTGGGAAATTATAATTTCAAGTCATCAGGATGTGAATGTCGAGTAGGTAGATAGATAGAAAAGAAAACATGAATGATGGATAGGAAGCTTGAAGCTCTGGGGCCCCCTTATCCTCGCCTCGCGCTAGGGTCCCCGATATGATAATCCTTGGGGCTTTTTATAGAAAGGGCCCAATGGAATCAGTGGAATGTGCGAAATCATCATCGACGCTTGGAGAATGCTGCAGAGATGAGTTAATTAAATCCCGGGTAATCCTGTATCTTGTTGATGTGTTAAGGTGGCAGTTGTTGGTATTTTCCTTTGAGCTCTCCTTACCTGTATCACTCTCCACTCGCAATTGTAGCTTCACATCCTCAGCCCAGATGGTGCCGTCAGCCACGAGATGCACCAAATTATTTCGGGCCAGATAAGATAGACAGACAATATTGATCAACTTTCCCGTTGTGGCAGTTCCAAAACAATCCTCGATCCTTCCTCAAGACACGTGTGAGAAAAGGGGAGAGTGGTCCAAGCAACATGGGTGGATTTCACCTCTCCATAAAAACAAACGCCTCTTATGAGGCGCGCGATATGATTGATAACGCGGATCCGGGTCGTGGTGATCTCACGCTAGGGATAAAAGATGGGATGGGATGAGGTGTTATCCGCTGATTGTTCTTGTTCTTGATAAACGATCATCGCTCCAGACTTGCCCAGGGCAGAGGCCAGTCAGCCCTTTGAGCTTCCAGGGGCGCAGGAGTCGCTTGTAGACCCCTGAGTGTGCGATACGAGCTGCCTGCTTTTTCGAGATAAACGTAAAAGACGTTTACGACCAGAGACCTATCCTATCGGAAATGAGACTGGTGATCTTGACAATCTGCACGTGGTTGGCAGGTCGAATGGGAGGCACAGAAGGCGTGTCGGGGGAGATATGCCATCATTAGTCCAGCCCAAACCGTAGCAGGAACAGGACACTATTGGATCAGCTCCGTCGGTTGGAGAGGTGTCGACATCTGGAACCTCGAATTGAAACTTTGTGCCGCAGCAAATCAGAAGATGAGGAGCGCGTGTGCAAGGATCAGATGCAGATGCAGTATTTCAATGATCGTGACAGCGACAGCGAAGAACTTTAGAAGTTGTCATGAAGACGTTAAACTCGAAAAAGGGGCGGATACTCTTCGCGTAAAGTTTCTTCGGCGTAAGGTTTTTCCGTTCCGATGGTGATCCTCAGGTACCTGTCTAGGTAGATACTGTAAGAAGTACAGCGATTCATCCGACATGTAGAAATCTTTTGTACTCTTTTTTGACTTTCAGAGTTGAGGATTCACCATTTCTCTTCGGCGAAAGTTTGATGAACGGATACAAGTTGTCTTCCCATTGGGTCTCGGCTGCCTTCTTTGGGGAGTGTATGCTCTTGAAGTCGGTACATTGTTTCGGGCTTTGTATGGCGCTGGAATCCAGATAGTAAAATTCCTGCTTAACGTCATAGGTTATCGTCAAAATTGAAATTAAAGATAATAGTGTTCTAGAGTTTGTAAGACAATATGAGTGGCAAAGTAGATATTCCGGGTACGAGTAGAAGGGAATCCAGGTCGTTCAGTATCAGGTCCGAGCAGAAGCTCTGCACAACCTGCAACATATTTTCATACAGAAATTTGGGGTGATTTACATGTGGACGTCGTGATCAGTTTCGTGTCGGTAATAGCAGCGACGCCACGAATCTGGAATTCCCAAAGAGCGATGGTTAAACTTAGTGGGTAATAATGAATGAAGCTTTTCAACAATGCTGAGTGGAGAATGCCCTTGAGCGAAGTTCAAATGTCTTCATGGCAGGTTCAACGAAGCTTGCCAGATGGCTTACAATTCTAAGCGGAAAGTCACTTTGAAGTCTTTGAAGAAGGTCACACCAGGCTTGTGAACCTTAACTTTGGAACATAAGATAGTATTCTGAGCGTGGAAGAAAGAACCAGAGGTATTTTGACAACGAAAAGTATTTACTTGGCCGTGCAGCAGTTCTAAAAGTCACTGAAATAAAGGAAGATAAGAAAGCTCAAAGAAATACCGCTTTCTTCTGCGCGGAAGGCAAGTACCACCTTGGGATAATTTCCTGTATGGTGAAAAAACAATCAACTAATGGTTAAAAGTGACATGGAAAGACAAAGTGCAACTTGCAAGTCCATCATCGGGTATATTGTGCAAACAGAAATGTTCAATCGATGCCTTCAAATGATCTATCTTAGCCTCTCACTTTGTCCATCTGTCTTCGCAATATATGGTCAAGCAAAGCGTTCATCGCTTCTCCGACTCTTTGAAGCAGCCTCCTCTCAGTCAATACCTTCCAAGGTTCTTCTCAGTCGCATATTGTAACTCAATTAAGGGGAGATCGGAGTCTACTTGGATATTTAGAACTGTGATTTTTGTGCCACAACAACACGAAATCGGAGGAGCGCGTATACAAGGATCATATGGATAAGCCATTTTAACAATCGTAACAGAACATTATCTACTATGATGTGATATTCAGTAATCCAAAGTAGTCGAAAGGAAACTGAAAGACGACGCCGGATTGGCTTCATAGATATTGCGTAAGGTTAAAAGTAATTCCGATGCCGAGGACCCATCATAAAAAATATAGTAGCAACCATCAATTTCAGATCAGATTCTGTTTGTACACCCCACCACGAAAATGCCTTCCACATACAAGAAAGAGAAGCCTTGGGACACGGATGACATAGATAAGTGGAAGGTAACATATCCCTTTCCTCAATTCCGCTATCTTCACCAGAACTGACGATCAATTTAGGTAGAAGAATTCAAGCCAACAGACAATGCAGGTGGAACATTCGCAGAAGAATCCTCATTCGCAACCCTCTTCCCCAAATACCGAGAAATATACCTCCGCGAAGCCTGGCCTCTAATCACCCGCTCTCTCGAAAAGTATGGAATCGCATGCACGCTCGATTTGGTCGAAGGATCCATGACAGTCAAAACCACGCGAAAAACCTTCGACCCCGCCTCCATCCTCAACGCCCGCGACCTAATCAAACTCCTCGCGCGAAGCGTCCCCGCTCCTCAAGCCGTCAAAATTCTCGATGATGGCGTGGCATGCGATATCATCAAGATTCGCAACCTGGTGCGCAATAAAGAAAAATTTGTCAAGCGGAGACAACGCATATTAGGTCCCAATGGCAGCACATTGAAGGCCCTCGAACTGCTCACCGAATGCTACCTCCTGGTACAAGGAAACACTGTGTCAGCAATGGGTCCTTACAAAGGGCTCAAAGAAGTCCGGAAAATCGTCGAGGAATGCATGGCCAACATCCACCCAATCTACCACATCAAAGAACTGATGATCAAACGGGAGTTGGCGAAAGATCCCGAATTAGCGGGCGAGAGTTGGGACCGCTTCTTACCGCAATTCAAGAAAAGGACTTTGAGCAAGAGAAGAGTTCCATTGAAAGTTACGGATAAGACGAAGAAGGTGTACACGCCATTTCCCCCGCCCCAGGAGAAGTCCAAGGTTGATTTGCAGATCGAGAGTGGAGAGTACTTTCTGGGGAAACAAGCTAGGGAGAGAGCAGTTAGGGAGGAGAGATTGGAGAAGCAGAAGGAAAAGAAGGCTGAGAAGTTGAAGGAGAGGGAGAAAGAATTTGCTGCGCCGAAGGAAGGTGGCGAGAAGAAAGAGAAGAAGAAGCGGAGACGGGATGTTGTGGACGGAGAAGAGGATGAGGTGAAGAAGGATAAGAAGAAAAAGAAGAGGAAAGACGGTGACGAGGATGTAGTTAAGGAGAGAAAGAGAAAGAGAAAGGCAACCGAGGAGGATGAGGAGTAGTACTGACTTGATTAGCATTGGCGACGGCGTTCTGGTGGCATTGTCAATAGCAAAATGTACACGAGTCTTGATACCCTCGAAAATGATCACTCACTGAATGTAGAAAGATTGCATTAAAGTCAGGCTCGATTGGAAAATCTACGTATTTTCGCTCAGTCCATGCAGTGCATCAAATGGAAAAAGTACAACGCAATGAGCTCGTCCATGCCCGACCACAGAGGTGTCATCAAACGCCTAGGGGTGAAAGCAGCACCCATTTTCCCATTCCACGCATCAAATGCTCAGTAAACGCAAATCCAGAGAAAATCAAAAAACGCCATGCTGTAAAGTAAACCTTCGTGAAGTAGAGAAGGACCAGCCAATGTCAGAATCATCATGAACGCCTGTGAAATATGCTCAAAGTGGAGAGGAAAACCATGCCATCGATGTAAGAGCCAGGGTATCGTCGAAATAAAACGCCATAGAATCCCCATGCCATCATTACCCCAAGCCATGCAAATACACGGTGTCATAATTCAGCGGAAGAAAAGCTTGTTAGGCGAGCGAGTAGACGATGTAGACGAGAAAGACTTTCGAGTCAAACTTCTTCCCCTCTTAACCTCTCCTCCAGATTCGTTGAATGTCTGAACAGGTGTTTCTTCGTGATGTTCAACCGCGATTTGGTGCAAATCCAACGCCGAGATGCTTCGAGTTAACTCATCTGCCTTGAAATCTTGCGACTCGGAGCCTCCACTCTTCTCAACAATTACAGGCTTACTGTTGTAGGGTTTGGCCTTCCACACGATTTGACCTGCGTATGGTCCCATGGTCCAATCACCTTCGCCGTCGTCTGAATCATAGGGAATCTTCAGAGGAGGAACTGGCTCCGCAGGGAGGGGAGTCAAGAGTGCCATAGGAGGTGGTCCGTCTCGGATCATAGCCAGAGCAACGGCCTTGTCGCGGTCGGCACATTCCTTCTCGTGCTTGGCCTTCCACGCCTTCAACTTCTTGAGTCTCTCTAGAACATCTCGTCGCTGCTTTCTTTGTTCCTGTTCCCACGCGGCATTGTAACGAGCGCGGTGGCAAAGCGTGCATTCGAGTCTATAAAACATCGTAAAGTTAGTTTTGAAGCACTTTAGAGGAAATGTAAGCGCAAGCTTCTACTTACTCTGCCCAGCTAGCATCGCTGCCAACACGACACTTCCACCAGCCACCGTCCTCTCTGCCAATAGATTCCCACTTATCATCAGCCTTGTGGAAGTACTTGTCCCAGACAGCCTTCGGGTCATTCTTGAAGGCCTCCATCGTGGTGATATCGCTCATTAGCTCGAGATACGTAGCCCAAGGCTTTGGAAAGCGGCCCTTTGGAAACCAGCGAGGGAGGAAGGCACCACATGTATCGCGATCTGGGAGTGTGATTGGCGGACCGGGACAGATATGAGTCTTCTCACATACACTGCAGTACTCGAGTTGCGCCCCCTCATCGATCATCTTGACGAAATCGACGCGAGCTTGATCAGCTGGGTAGATCGGTCCATTGGATTCGCAGGTGCCAGCGTTGAAGTTGTATTTGTCCCATTGAATGGTGCTGGCACACTTCTCGCCATCGAGGCATCCTTGGGTCTTCATGGTAGGGGCGACTTCCCTTGGTTCAGGATCGAGAAGCTCCTGAGGTCCGGACTTGTGAATAGGAGGTTGTCGAACGGGACCGACGAACTTTGGATTGTGGCCCATGCTGGTGAGGGCGTAGTCCTTGTTCGAAGGAGGCGGGAAACATTTGTAAGTAGCCATGTCTGCTGTAGGGATGGACTTCGAACGATTAGCACAGGAAAGAACGCTTGAACACAACCAGAGCCAGATCTTAGTGTGTGCACTAGTTCTCGCTTGTGGTTACGATGGAAGGTGCGACCTGTTATCCATCTTTGGTAGGCATGACGAAAGGTTGAAGCTGATTGTCGTCCAATATCCCGACAACAAAAAGATCCGAAAAATGAAATAAGGGTACTTACTTTATTTCGTTAAGGATTATTTTCTCCTCCCCAATGGTGCGTTAGGATGTGATATACGCAAGTATAACACGTTAGCGAGCTCGAAAGGGGGGAGTCTCGCTTCGAGCCCCTGGGTCACGTGAACTAAGTGAATTGAATACCTAGGTAGACAGCAGATCTACTCTGACCAACGTTCTGAGATGCCGAGGACACAAATAAATGACTTGCACGGACCCAGAATTAACATTTCGAGATTTGCTGTTTCTCAAAATTCTAAGAATGTCCCAGCCCGCTCTGGACAACGGCTTGTTGCACAAAAAGTCCAGTCAGATCCGCATGCGACATATGCAGAGAAAAGAATCTAAACAAAACATGGTTTCTCACCTAAGTTTGAATGTCCCAGCATCTGAGGGCCAATAATCTTACGACATGTATGATCACAAGATTAGGATCTGACTCAGGGCAGTGCAACAAATTTGTAAAGTAACGTACGAGCTGGGAATCTACTGCAAACAGATATGTTTCATCACCCTAATAGAGGGCCCACACTAACTTTCTCTCTTTCCTTCAATGCCTGTTCCTGTTCCATCTTGAGTTGGGCCTTACCTTCTCTCCTCCTATCAGCCTCGATGCTAGCAAATCTGCCTCGAGCGCCATGCTTGATCTTCGTAATCATGTCAATAGCTCGGCCTTTGGTCAAACTCGAGCCGGTAAGAGGATCGCTCTTGGGTCTGAGTCTGTTCAAGAAGATAATTTGTCCTTCAGTTGCAGGCTTGTTCCTCCACGACTGATTTCTGGAGATGAATTGGACAGGGTACTTCTTGGACGCGAACGTATCAGCAGCATGGACTGAGTCAGAGATTGTGTTGGCTTTCGCAATCTGACGTGGCCTCATGAAAGGCGATTTTGACAGCGAGCTCGAAGTTATCTTATTCAAGACCGCTGTTTCTGTTACAACAAAATACCCTCGATCGGAGTCGTGCTCAATTTTCAAGAAAGATCCATTCGAGTTTGACAGGACATATTTGTTCTCGGAAACGCATACCCAGGAGTGTGGAGACAGCTGTCGAATGTGCTGTTCAGTAGAGGTATCGTTGATTAAATCGAAGACCGAATCATAATCTGTGAAGGTCACCTTCTTAATGACTGGTTCCGAAGCTGTGGTAGATTTTGTAATCTTGTTAGCCTGTACGTTTCTTTCGTTTTCAGCTTCCTTGCGTTCTTGGATAGTTTTCATATCGTTAACGCTTGCCTCTTGGACTAATACTTCAGGGTCAAGGCCAAAGAGGGTTGGAGTAGTGACAATGCCAGTCTCAAGGCTGGCAACCATGTCAATAACATGACAGTCCTTCTTGTCGGGATGTAATCTCATCCCACGACCAATCATCTGAACCAAGAGGTTCCTAGACTTTGTCGGCCGTGCTAGCAACACACAGTCGATGTTTGGGATATCCGTTCCTTCGGTGAAGACACCACAGTTCACGAGGACTCGAAAATCACCACGTCTGAACTCATCAAGGCGCTGACTCCGCTCAATCTTCGGTGTGTCTCCGGTAACAAATCGAGCATCGACGCCATATTTCCGGAACGTGTTCGTTAATCCAGCGACATGTTCGAGGTCAACGCAAAAGGCCAGTGTAGACTTTCTTTCCCCGGCTTTCTCGAACCAACTTCGAACGGTGAGGTCATTGACTGAGTCAGTATTGACTACCCGAGATAGTTCGCCAGGCTGGAAATCACCACTTGGCCCTTTCTTGACCCCTGATATGTCTACTTTTGTCTGGACTGTGGTGAAGATGACTTCTGAAAGCCACTTCTCTCCGATCATATCGATGTAGTCCTTGTGGTAAACAATCTGGTCTATTGCAGCGCCCAATCTAAGACCATCGAATCGAGATAAAGTTGCAGATACTCCAACGAGTGCAGGAGAGGTTGATCGAGTTGCTTCTAACCCAAAATGCCCCAGTGTCTTCATGTACCCCGGTGCAACGATATGATGGGCCTCGTCGACCAAAACAAGCTTGAATCTGCTTGGATCAAACTTCGAGATGCGGTCTCCGGATATAATACTCTGGATGCTGGCCACAGTTATATCTGCAGCTCCACTGGCATGCATAGATCCCATCTCGATCTCGACACGTTTCGCAGGGTAGGCATCTGTGCAGTGTCGGGCAGCTTGCTCGACCAGCTCCTGTCGATGCGCCAGAATCAGAGTCTGGTCGGCATTGCCAGGACGAGGTTGAACACGGTCGATTAGTTGGGTGAAAATGACCTGTCAAATATCAGCAGAGCCTTCGCGATCTGCAAAATACATAGCGTACCGTCTTACCAGCACCTGTAGCCAAGGACACCCCAAGCCGCTTGTGGCCTTGCTCCAAATGTGCCAGAACAGCTTGGATACATTCCTCCTGATATTCTCGAAGCTTGATCTTTATGGGAGGCGCGAGAGGACTCCCAAAGGTAGAAGTCGTCACATTTCGACGAAGAACAAAAGAATTCGAACATCTCCTCCATTTCTGGAGTCTCCACATCCATCCTCTAGAAGCTGGCGGCATGGTTGTATTGTCGTGATGAAGAATCAAAGTTACCGCGAGGAAGGTTTCCGTTAGACGCGCTAGCGCGAACCCCTGTATTAATTTTCTGGTAAACTACCTATACTACATTTGCAAAAATCTCAAAAATCAAGTAAATAACAACATCTCATTTAATTCTGTCGAACCCTTTCATTGAAATTGCTGTGGACTGTAACTATAATCTGCATTTTGTCAAAGGATGACAACTTGCGCACCATACCTTTCAGTTCATAAGACGCGATTGAAATATAGCTGGGGAATACACCATGGACCTTGACGAGGCCGAGCTATTCGCAGGTATCCCCTACCCAGACGATTCGGGCTCAGCATATGAAGGTTCTTCGGAGAATGACAGTTTGTCTCATGACAAGGATGGCCAGGACCGGGAAAAGCCATCAAAACTAAAAGAAAAGCCGGCAATCGTGAGAGGACGAAGTGCTACTAGGAAGAATGCTAGGAAGTCGACAGAACGTTCATCATCGGGAAAGAAATCATTCGAGGGGATTGCTACGGTTCCAAGGGAGAAGCAAGATTCAAGCTCAGAAACAGACGTGCAACCCTTCGAAGATGCTCAGGAGTGGGCTGCCAATTTCCAACCACCAACACTTGAAGATATCAGGACACCATCAAGGCGCAATTCACGGAAGAGAAGAGCCCTGAAACCTCCTAGCGAGATACGGTCCAAGAGACTTCATGCCTACTATGATAACGACTACCGGAAATTGCTTAACGTTGAGATCAATGACGCTACGTATGGAGAATTGTCCCAGGAGGTCCTGGAGGCGAGTCAAGTCGGGTCCTCTTCTTGGAATGCCGAAGAGAAAGAACTTCTTTTCTCCTCGTTAGCAAGACTAGGCAGAGATAATGTCCGAGGTATTGCTGTCCAAATTGGCTCCAAGTCAGAACCTGAAGTTCAGGAATACTTGCAGCTCCTACAAGCAAACGTCGCGGAGCGAAAGAGGAAAAGCAGACGCAACTTTATGGTTGCAGATCTCCCAGCTGCGACTGAGATAAATGAGGAGTGTTGCATTGTGCTCGAGAGAGCTGGTGACGCTTTAGCTGCTCGCCAAGAAATGGCTGAAGAGAAGGTTGAGCATAGTAAGTGGTCAGATATGTGGCTAGTTAACGAAAATGTTTCCCGATTGATTGAGAGACGAAGAAGGGAAGAAGGCGGAGAAGAAGCATTGGAAGCGGTTCTCCCAGCTGGAAACCTGTTTATCTTCAAGAATTGGCTAGAGTTGTCGCAAAGAGTGTTCATGAATCCTGGAACTCCAAGAGAAGAAGACAATTGGGAGAATTTGGCCGAGCCAAGCGAAACCCCAGCGGTACGAGCTACTGCATTCGAAGATTTCCATTCGTTGGCTGTCAATATCACGAAAAAGCTGCTCTCAACGACAATATTCTGCACTATGTCGAGGTTGCGTTCTGGAAACTATCACTACGTCAAAGTTTCCGAAGTTACGGCTGATGATGTGGAAGCCGCTGTCAATATCCTTGGCTTGAAGAAAGATAGTTCACAATTTTGGCTTGGATGTCCGAAGCGGAACAACCTAGAAATCATCGACGATGAGGAAAATCCAGAAGAGAGAGCAGCTGTCTCTTTAGCAGACAACGACGTTGAAAGAGAGCTTTTATCATCCAGATGCTCTAGATCTCGCTCACTATCTGTCAGCCGACATGAGAAATCGCGAGCTTCCTCACAAGCTTCGCGTCACGAAGAAGCTGCCTACTCTTCACCCTCTGAAGTGGAATATGAAGATCCCCAAGACTTCGAGTCGGAGAGCTCTACTGACGACGAAAAGAAGTCGGCCCCTCGCGGTGAGAGCCCAGACTTTACCGACCCAGAATCACCAACAGTAACAACTCCCAATAGAAGAACTAGAATCCGAGACCGAAAGGCAGCAGAGCTCGCGCACGAAGCGTATACAGAAGCGTTGGACATGGAAGCTAGTCAAAAAGAGGAAGCCAGACTATGGTCACTGATCGAGCAAGAGCCGCCATTTGAGGTCGAGACAAATTTCGACAAGGTAGAACGGCCAGTGGCTATCAGAGATGAGATCGAAGATGGCAGGAATTGGAGAGACCATCTAGAGTATTGGAGTCCATGGGAAACGATGGGGACTCCTGTGCCGAAATCAGCATTTGAGAAGAATAGGAAAAGAAAATCACGGAGAGCGAAAGCACGGGCTAAGGGGAGTTGGCCCCGTCTAGACCATAGTGTAGATGAACCTGTGGGCTCAGATGAAAATATGGTCTCTGAAGAAGAGTCGGATGTGGAATACCGAAGTCAGAATTCTAATTCACTAGAAGAGGAAATGGATGAGAGTGATGGAGGCGAAGATTAAAATGATATTAGAGTTGAAAGTGAAAGCCCTTGAGATAGAGCTACAGCGAAATGCACAACATTGAACACGTCACAGTGCAAGATAGTCTACAATGAAAGTGTGAAAATCATGAGACCCAATCGTACCACTCTAAGTGCCTGATTTCTAGGAATACACACAGAAATCAGGGAAAGACCCCTGATTACTTGAAATTTTGACCAAGTTACAAGCGCAGAATCTGCATATTTCCGCACATAACCACACTTCCCAGATCAAAAACTCCCCGAGACGCCTTTGATTACACTGAGACCACCAAATTCGCCGCCTCAAATATCGAAGGTCTTTATCTGCCCTTCTGCACTTAATGGTTGGACAGATCCTGGGGCTGGCGCGGACGCCTGGAATGCTAACTTGTCACCGCCTCCCATGACATCCTGCGCCATCTTGATACCTTGATCCCCGCCAGTAACGGCTGCCATCTTCAACCTTTCTTGAACGTCCTTGACACGCTTCTTGAAAGTTAGACGGTCGAGGAATAGCTGTTGGCGGCCTCTCTCTAGTTCTCTGCGTTCAGCTTGAAGGATCTGCTCCATCTCGTTGAATTGCTTCATTTTCAATTCCATCTTCATCAATGTGGTGTTGACGGCAGCAGAGACGAGACGAGTCATCTCTCGTTCCTCGTGAGAAGCGAGACCACCCGACCGAGCGGCAACACTGGCCAGTGGAACCGTAGCTAGTGCTTGGATGGTTTGGGTCGTGGTGGTAGTTGTCGTGGTTGTGGTTTCTTGTCTGACATCAATTTCCATAGAGTCCGCACTCTCCTTCTCCTTGCCTTTCTCTGCCGACTGGGGCTTCTCAATCTGATCTCTTAAACTTTGTTTCATGGCTTCTACCGTCTTTCCAGCTGCTGCTGCTGTGACGCTCGGCTCGGTGAGACCTGCCAAAAAGCCAATCACCGACATGACTGGATTATCTGCTTGGCTAATCGGAAGGTAACCATGTTGTGATCCGAGCATGCTAAGACCCGAAGCTTTCGCAATGGGTTCTGAGTCCAAGTATTTGTCCTCGATCTCAAATTGAAGGAACTTAACAACACACTCTTCCTTGCTTCGTGTTCCAACGTACTCAGCAATTTCGGTCCAATCCTCATCGTATCTCTCCATAGCTTCGAGGAGCTTGAGAACCTCGCCGTCGCTCCATGGGGCATCGCGATCTGGAATAGCTGAATACGTTGGATTCTCTTTCTTGATGTAGTGTAATTGTTGGTGGTTGACAGGCATCCGTCCTTCCGTGAAACAGTTGGGGCAAAGATCGTACTTGATCTTGCCATTCGCACCAGTACCCGCATCAGCGTGAGAATTGTGATGATAAACCCGAGTAGTGTCGATACCACATGTGAAGCAGTTGACTTTGGTGATAGAAGGTTTGACGATATCCTCGATAGCTTTGGGGGCAGACTCTGAGGTACCATTCGTTGTTGGTGCATCTCCATTAGCTTGCTTCTCTGAGCCCTTAGCAGTAATCTTATTCTCGCGAGCTGTTGGCTCATAGATATTGCGTCCAACTTCGAGATTCAGATCAGACTTGGGAACAGGCGCTGCGTTTGCTTTCGCATCTGTATCCGCACTCTCCTTTCCTTTGATAACCAAGGGATCTGCAGCTGGTTGCCAAGGTTGAAGTCCACGAGGGGTATCGCATATGACCTTGAAATGGCCTGTGAATGGTGGTCCGATAGCTGATGGTCGCTGATCCGCATCGACCTATTGTTTTGTTAGATGCTGGCCCTCAACATAATTCGTACGTGATCATACCTGATAATTGATGAGACCCCACTGCTCAAGAAAAGCATGTACACGCATGATAGCACAAACATCACCTGCCAAATTTCTTCTGCAAGCTGTCACAGTCAGGTATTCTATCGGGTTCAGCCGGTATGTGTTGATCATGAAATCTCGATAGTCCTTATAGACTGCAGGGGTCTTGCTTCGATTTCGATTGTTGAAGAACTCGGGAAGGGCTTTTCGCTCGATAGGATTGATTTTGTGCATGTCGAACCAGGTGCTGTAGCTAGGTAAGATGATTGAGTGAGTTTGAGAGATGAGATGTTCGCGGGCTGAGGCTTCGATAGATGCTTTCGTCTTCTCCACCTGCCCCTCAGCAACTCCATTCTCGCCAGCAGCCTCAGCACCACCTTCTTGAGATGCTTTAATATCTTGTGTGTCGGCCATTTCTTCGTCTTTCACTTCGTCTCCTTCTCGTCGAGGGGCGTCGGGAGCATCGAGGGGATTGTCAGAAACAGCTTTTGTTGCTCCATCTGCACTAGTATCTGCGCCGCCTTCAGCCATCGATATGTCTATCAATGTGATTGTCAGTTCCGTAGGAGCACACGAAAAAAGCTACATACCCTCCCCCTGGCCAGAGCCTTCTTGCGGCGTACCTTCTCCTTGCAGCGGCGGTTGCGCCAGAATAGAATTACTACCTGGGGTAGCGCCGGCTGCGTCAGAACCAAAGTTCAATGAGTCGTCATCCATAGTTGAAGGTTTGATGCCCTTAAGCAATTCGGTTTGTCGCAAAGTTCTGCTACAGAGGCGAATTGTCGCAATTCTGTCCCGAGACCACAAAGAGGTGTCGAATAGGAAGGGTAACTTTCCCGGTATGCGGCCGACCCTACGTTGATGTGCGCGACAGTTGATGGATCCAAACGTAGCGCGTTAATGTTGGGTGTTGGATGATATTCTGGAGTCTTTGGTCGACGCGACTGGATGGATTACATTGTAGGTATTTTCGACTAGTCGTAGAAATAAGTCGCCGCTTTTTTGATGGTTTTCGCGTGCTCAAAGCGGCAACTTCTTGACAGGAGCGAATGCGGCCGCTCTACCTCGGGCTTGGTGGGGATTAAGTCAAGAGAATGACTTCGGCTCCTTTCTATTCCTACATCAATTGTCCAAAAGATGATTCCAAGATCGACTGTATCAGTCCTGCGCCAGGCACGGACGCAATTGAGACCTAGAGGTCCAACTCCTGTCGCATCTCTTTCTGCCCTTGCTCGATTACTTTCTTCACTGGCTGTTTTGGAGCAGAGGGATGGCAAGCTCAATCATGGATCACTCGGAGCAGTCACGGCAGCACAAAAGCTGGGAGGTTCAGTCACTGGATTTGTGGCAGGGGCAAATATCAAAGCAGTAGCAGAGGAGGCAGCCAAAGTATCTGGGATTGAGACGATTATTGCAGTAGACAATGCTGCTTATGACAAGGTAGGACATTTGGACCATTTGCAGTTCTGAAAACCTACTTACAACTGTTCAGGGCTTGCCAGAAAACTTTGCACCTTTATTAGTGGAGAATATCAAGAAGGGAGGGTTTACACATGTGATTGCCGGACATACAGCATTTGGAAAGAGTCTCATGCCCCGTGTGGCGGCACTTCTCGACGTTCAACAAATCTCCGACATTACTGCAATCGAAAGCGAAAACACATTCGTTCGTCCCATTTATGCTGGAAATGCTATTGCTACAGTCGAATCATCCGACGAGATTAAGATTATCACAATTAGAGGAACAGCTTTTGCGGCAGCTGAGGCGGAAGGAGGTTCTGCTTCGGTAGAAGATGGTGTAGACCCTAAAGCAGAGACTACTACCGTGTGGGTTGGAGAAGATCTCGCAAAGTCAGACAGACCAGACCTCGCAACAGCAAGTAGAGTTGTTTCTGGAGGCCGAGGTCTGAAGTCAAAGGAGGAGTTCGACAGAATCATGCTACCATTAGCCGATGCACTAGGAGCAGCTGTAGGAGCTTCAAGAGCCGCCGTGGACAGTGGATATGCGGATAACAGCCTACAAGTTGGTCAAACTGGAAAAGTTGTAGCACCACAATTATACCTTTGTGCTGGTATCTCGGGAGCTATCCAACATCTGGCAGGAATGAAGGATAGCAAGGTCATTGCAGCAATCAACAAGGATGCTGATGCACCAATATTCCAGGTTGCGGATGTTGGACTGGTTGGAGATTTGTTTGATAAAGTACCAGAGCTTACTGAAAAGCTCAAGCAGTAATGTACAGTATGATAACATGGATCACCCTGTGCTTAGTCGAGGACAGCAAGCATGTCTTCCACTTTGGTGAACTTCTCTCGTTCCTTCCCTTGGGCACTACCTCTCCGTCTCTCTTCGGCATCTATCCTCTTCCAATCTTGCCAGCTTACCCTCCTCAACCCTTTCTTTTCAGCCTCTTGCTTGACACCATCCCATCCGAGAGCTTCATTGTCCACGGAGTTGAGGAATGCAGCATGAGAGTGCCAGTCTTCGGCAACCGAATCCGCTGTTTGGAAAGCATCTGCCATAGTACTAGCAATAACTCCAGTAGGACCTCGCTTTACCCAACCAGCACAATACATGCCCTTCAGAGGCGTGACCAAACCGTCTTCATTCACAACACGCCCTAGATGGTCGTTGGGTATGGTACCAGATTTGTCATTGAAAGGGATGTTCAACTCTGAGAATTCTGCAAGAGGCTCCGATTTGTATCCTATTGAACGGAAAGCTAGCGAGGAAGAAATATCCACCATTTGGCTAGTGCCTATTGCTCTCGCGTTGGGATCGAAAGGGTCTGGATTGAGAGTGGTCTTTTCGAATGAGACGCTACCCAATTGAGAATGGATAGTAGGACTTGCATCGAAGGCTTTGGGGGAGAGACAGAAGTCTAATGACCATTTCTTGGTAGGTTCTGTGGCTTTTGAACCCTTTTTGATAACCTCCATGATTCGTCGTGATGGCCGAGGTAGACCCTTGAGATCTTCCGGTATTAAGGACCCATTGACAGGTTCAAATTCGACTGATGGGAGATTCATAAGTTCTCGTATCTCTTTGATTGTAAATGCGGCCTGAGGAGATTGGTTACTACCATTATCGGAATGAGAAGTGAAATAAAGCAAACCTGCATAGGTCCTCTACGTCCAACGACCCTAACTCTCCTCACCTTACTCTTCTGCAGAGTTTCAATTGCATTCTCGGTAATATCAGTTGACTTCAGAACGCTTGTATCTTGCAATAGTATCCGGGTAACATCTAATGCAACATTTCCCTGACCAACAACCACAGCTTCTTCGCCCAGAGTCAGATCTGGAGCTAGATCTGAATACTCTGGCAGGCCATTATACCATCCAACAAAGGCTCGAGCTGAGTATATGCCCTTCAATGTGTCTTCCCCAGGTATGCCTAACGTTCTGTCTCGAGATGCCCCATAAGCGAAAAGTATAGCATCGTAATGTGGAAGAAGCGATCGCAGAGGCAACGCGCCAACATCATCTCCAATTGATATATTGCCCACAAAATTGAATCTCGGAGACTCGGCCACTTCTTCGAATTTATCTTGACAATTCTGCGACACAGATCAGGAGTTGTTTTTAGCAGCAGTGGCGATGAACTGGAATATACCTTCACCTCAGGATGATCCGGGGCCACCCCAAACCTCACCAAGCCGAACGGGACTGGCAGATGCTCATACATATCCACAACCGAGTTCTCAATCTTCGACATTACCTTGTATGCAGTATAGAATCCGGCAGGTCCAGAACCAATGACTGCCATTCGGAATGGTCGGCCATCTTGAGCATGAGGTTTTGTAGTATACTTTCGAAGCTGTTTAGTAGCAGTTGAAGTTCGAGATATTGGGCGAAGTCGTCTTGACAATGAATTTGCACATCGTGCACAAACCCAAGGTCTAGCTAACTCGTTCATTTTCTTCCGTCATTGAAGCTGCAGACTTGGTGGAGCTTGAGACAACTTGTTGCTTATCGAAGATTTTGCCTTGCTGCGATAATTGCTGTGCCAACCACAACATATGGAGCTTGTTGTGGTTGACCGGGAAGGAAGCTCTGATCCTTGAGCACCAAGAGCTCCTTCCCTGTTCATATCTGACAGCACCGCATTCCTGATCGAATTCCTCTCAGCCTTGCTGTCGAATTGTACATATCTTCAACAATGGGTGTCCAGCAACCTTTCATGTACGATGCGATCAAGACGGAAGGTGACAGGTCGCCATACCGTGAGTTCCAACCTCATGCTGTGAGCATGGCAAGTCTTGCACCCAAGCCCCGGCCAAAGAAGCCTGAGGGGCCTTTGGTATCTTTCAATCGGCATCCCGAGTAAGTTATCTTCTGTTCAAGCTTTATATAAGCACCAATTGACAATTGTTCTAGCTCATATCTAATCCTACCACTTGGAAACTCGAGCGCGAAAGCAATGTCCCCTTCAGTCAAGAAATGGATAAAGTGGATGAGGGTGGCTCAATTGGTCTTGAGATGTCTGGAAATCATAGCCGCTTGTGGTCTGCTCGTCATGATGATTCTCATCTCTGGCGTTGATGTGACTACGGGCTGGATCATGAGGATTGTGGTGAGTGGTTATGGAACATTATATCTATAGAAGCACAAATTAATCTGTATCAGCCCGCCGTTGCCATACTTCACACTGTCTATGGTATCTATCATCTTGGACGAAAGCCATCAGGAAGGACTCCAGCGTCTTCGGCCTCGTACATGCTATTTGCTTCGTTCTTCGATGTATCTATCGTCCCATTTTACGCCTTCAGCGCGTTGGTAGCGATGACCCGTCAGAGTGGATGGAAGACGCTTCTGTCGAACCAGAATCTGACCGCAATCTTCACCTCAGCTGTGTTCTACCTGTCAGCTATTGGAGGAGGTCTTCATTTGATCTCTCTAGCCATCTCACTCTATCTTGCTGTCACGTTCCGCAAAATCACCAAGCTGCCACCGGACATGAACCCATTGGAGGACAACCTCACATCCCGTCACAAGCGCAATAAATCCTCAATGTCAACGATCATCACCGTCTCTGAGAAACGTCTTTCGACTCCCCTAGAGAGCAAACGCAGCTGTGGTGCTCCATACGAAGATCTCGGTCGCCCTCCCACTATCCCCTTCTTCAACACACGCACTCAATCTACCGACTCCTTCTCCACCTACAGATCTACCCCGCCACCCTCTAGAGATTCTCGCTCCGACCTTCCCAGCAGACAATACCAAGTGGCTCCAAATTCAAATTCGGCCCGCTCCTCCTTAGCCGGCTCAGAACTCAAACGCTCATCCCAATATGCACCATCTCCTCCATCGAAGCGAGGTTCATACGCTGAAGTCCCCATGTCCGATGCGGCATCCCACCGCTCCTCACGTTTCGTAGAGAACACAAGACCGACAGATCCATGGTACGTATCCGATTCACTAGGCCGATCAAGAGGTCGTTCTGCTTCTCCTCGAAAGACGCCAGCACCAGGACAAACTCGATATGAACCCCTCCATCAACGTCACGATTCTAGCGACGACATCTCTATCTCCCACCCTAACCCTCTGAATTCGAACCCTTCAACGCCACCACCCGCTCCTCGGCATGGCCATAGATACAATACCTCATCTAATTCTCCCTTGACCGAAATAAGCAACATCAATACCCGCTACAGTGGCGATATAGCCGACCAAACAGGCTTAGTGAGAGAATTGACACCTGCTCCGTTGCGGGATTTCAAAGCCAAGGGATATGGAGAGCTGAAGGCTGGTACGCCACCTATCATGATTGGAGCGAAGGACAACAGGCAAGTTTCGTCTGGTATCGATCTTGGAAATATTGCACAAACGGGATATAGACGAGATGTGAGCGGCAAAGTTGCAGAGGAAGGAAGGAGTTTTGGGACTCGATTCAGGAAGATTAGTGGATTGTGAATATTTGGTTGCAAAAATGAACATTCTGGTGTTTTAGAGTTTGTAGTTGTGTCTATCATGGTTATTTGAGCGGCGTACATTTGGAGATGAGGGAAGGAAACGGAAGCAAGCAAAGGATTTGGATGGTATATTGTTAGGAAGGGATTTGGGTATCTTGAGATGCTGTACTGTACAAATATTGAGCAAAAATGAGAGAGTGATACCTGGGACGTCTGCATACTTGCCTATTCCTCTATTTCGTCCAAAATTTCTTCTTCTTGCGAAGTCTCCTCGCCACGATTTTGTCTAACATACGCCGCCCAATCCGTAGGGCCCGTTGTCTCATTATTCGAATCATGATCTTCCTTCCAGCCCAATTCATCCCAAACGCCTAATCTGGACAAATGTCGCATCGTCGGTCGTCCATGGGGACAATTCCATGGCTTATCAAGTTCCCCCAGATGCCTGACCACTCTCTCCATTTGTTTCTGTGTTAAAGTCTTTCCTATCATGATACTGCTCCTACAAGCTCGCATAGCAAACATCTTCCTGACCTTCGAAGGTCGAGGGACGGTACCTGGTGGATGCTCGGCTAGGATAGGGATGAGTTCCTCTAGGTCTGTAACGGAGAAAGCTGTTTCGCGACTGATGGGAAGACTAACGAGTTGACATCGCTTGCCCACAGGTGATTCGCCGGATTCATCTACGGTGACGATGAAACCGTTCGTTTCCAAGGCTGAGAGGTTTTCCAAGACGATCTCTTCCTCGAGAGCAGTTAGGTCGAGAGTCTTGGGATGCACTAGTCTCTGCGATTGTACAATTGTCGTGGCTTGCAAACGCTCGAAGTTATACTTCTCATCCGATGCATGCTGGTCGATAATGAATAAATCATCGTCAGTAGAGATACTTTCATCGTCCTTTGGCTGAGATGCACGTGAAGCGAGGATGAAACCCAGATTGAATTGTCCGACAATCTTCATTGTGGCAAAGTCATCTTTGGAGATTGTCAAAGAGAGTTTCTCTTCTGCTTTCTCCGAGTCTAAAGCTTCGTCTTTGGCCTTTTCTGTAGTAGCTCTCTGGTACGATGAGAGCATATTCTCATGGGAATAGAAAAGCTCGCGTATCTTCATTGCATCGATTTCTAAGTTCCGTACAATGTTCAGGGTGGAATCTTTCTTCTTCGATCCACCTTTGAGCATAGACTTGGTTCTCGCCACATTCTCTTGAGATGGGAGCACGGCTGCGTTCTCGGCGTCTTGAATCATGGCTTCGACCTTGGCTTCTTCCAATGCTTTCTTCTGGTCTTCACTTAGAACTTCGCCATCTTCAACGTCTGGTGGTATTGCAGATGAATCGACGTCTTGTGGTTCTTCTTTGACAACTATCTCTGTGACTTCAGTGACCTCTCCCTGGGCTCCTTCGTCTTCTTCAACATTTCCGTTTTCCTCAGAATCGCTGTCTATAAACTGAGGCGATTGAGGTTCGGGAATCGCTTCCCCCTCACCTTCTTCATTGTCCACAGCAGGTTGAGAAGCCGTTCCAGGAGCAGAAAACCGCTGGCTGAAGATACTACCAAAAGATGGCAGAGTACCTTTGGGAACCTGCGAAGGAGCCTTGTGCTTCGCCGTGCTTGGAACATGCTCTATTCGAGCTCTCTTGGTCGTTGGGCAAGGAGTACCGATTGAGCTAGTCACAGTATGGTCACCGATAGTGATGGTCGCGATCTCGGCTGGGGCTCGAAGTAATTTAGCTGTACTCATGAACCTATCAGCCAGAGACGGAGTTGGCTTTGGCGGTGACTGTAAAGCTGGTACTGGATCCTCGGGAACAAACAGACTAGGTTCTTCATCAGGTAGATCTTGTTGAGGTTCTTCTTGAGCACTGTCTTCACCGGTATCATCCATACGTGAAGGTGCTTGGGCCGATGCAGGTGCTGTAGTTGACTGGGTCGTTGCAACAGAGCTATCAGGGTCTTCAGACGGTTGGGGAGCGAGCTGCTTCTGTTCTGCCTCTCGGCGTAATTTCTCGACCAGTTTTCGTTTCTCATCCGAAAGGCCTCCGGATACAGCAGCACCTTGTTTCTGAGCAGGTTTCTCGGCCTCGACACTCTGCTCCGACCGACTCTCAGACTTTCTTCCAGTCCACTTAGAGATGAGATTAAGGGACTCAGCGTTCTTGACCATAGTTTCTCTCGATACAGCTCCTCTTCTGAATTGTGGATTGAACTTCTTGCCTGAACCCTCTTCATCTGTACTTTGCTCTCTCCGACCAGACCTCGAGCCATCCTCAGATTCTGATACCTCTGCGGATTCCGATTCGATTCTAGCAGGAGTTCTAGCAGGAGTTTGAGAAGTCCGTGATACAGCAGAATTTTCACGAGTGATAGTCAATTGCTTGTAGCTTGGTTGTTTCTGAGCCGCTAGCTGCGAAATAGGAACACTGTAGTCCTGAGACTCGAATAGAGCAGTAAGTTCTTCTTTCAAAGTTTCCAACATACGATTTTGATCGTGAAGGAGGATTGTCCTTTTGTCAGGACTGACGTTGACATCATAGAGATGGGTATCCAATTCGATATTCGCGAAAATGAATGGGGATTGCGTCGAACCCCAACCACTATAAGACTTGTAGACTTCGTTGAATGCTTTAGCAACTTGGGGTAGACCACAGGGCCTTGCATTGACGAAAAACATTTGCCTGTCCGGAGTTTGGCGTTCACTAGAGGCCGGACGTGAGATATGGCCCACAATCCGGATATCCTTCTTGCCACCATCTTCTTGTGTGCTCCATCTCTGACTAGGGGCGCTCGTTGCTTCCAATTCCAGGTTTAGGTCCAAACCAATGAGAGCTGTCAATGTCTTTGCTCCAAAGACATTAACAATATTCTCCCTCGTCGAACTATTCCCCTTCGTAGAAAACAAAGTGGTCTTCTTTCCCTTCCCCGCCTGCTGAGAGACGGAGAACTTGATACCCGTTTGTATACAAGCATATTGACCCAAAACTCCAACCACCTTTCCCCACTCCCTCTTGATATTCCTCTCGAGCTCCCTCCGCCTGACAGGCAAGTTGTTAAACAGATTCTCCACGGAAACCGTCGTTCCCTTCTGTGCCGCTACCACACTCGTATCCGTCAATTTCCCAGATGTCGCAAAGTCGAGCCTGGTACCTTTTGGAGCATCTGCAGCCAGACAAGTAACGACAGAGAATTTCGATAGCGCGCATAGCGAGGACAGAGCTTCACCTCGAAACCCAAATGTCTGCAGAGTCGTGAGGTCTGCGTAGGTAGAGAGCTTCGAGGTATGGTGCTTTAGGGCCAAGGTCTCGTAATTATGCGGGGAAATGCCATCGCCGTTATCCTGAACTTCTATGGCATCAAGCCCTTGATTTTTAAATCGCACATCTACAGCGACATCATTAGCACACGAATTCAATCTCCGTTGCTGGGACGTTGTGCGAGTTACCAACGCTCGTCGCTCCTGCGTCGAGACTGTTCTCCACCAGTTCCTTGACGACGGAACATAAATCAACGATAACTTGGCCAGACTGTATCTGATGGACCTGCAGATTGTCAGTAGGATTCTGCGGGCATAGTAAACTGAGAATTTGGCTACCGTCCCGCCCTCAATGGCTTTTATGGTGGCCATCGCATCTTGGTTGGTCGTTGGTTGCGGAGACGCGATTTCTGGACGCGAAGTTCTTTAAGTGGTTCGCGCGGGCTCGTGAACGTCACTTCCACCGTGGTCAGCTGTTCCCCAGAAATTCAACGAAGAATTTCCTACAATAAGAAGGATATAAATTGTATTCTAAGGGTCTTGAGATGTGATTCAGCTCTTGGCACATTGTTCAGAGCACTGTTGGATTTTTATTTTGCGAAGCTCTCAATTATCACCTCGACGGTCTTACAGCATACGTTTGGGGCGTTTGCAGCTAGCCTGTTTAACAGCAGAAGACTTGACTTGATTACTTCAGACATCTCAGATCTTATATCCCGGTATGGATTATGTACTCAGTTCTGTCAGATATTTGGAGCGGGCCTCAACTTATCACATGCAAAGAAATGAGTTTGGATCAGTGTAGTGCATGTATGAACACTCTCAACAACTCTATATTCAAGGTATCCATAAAACTCAATGGATATCGATCTCCCAGCCTTCCTCCTAATCCTCAGAACAGACCTGCACATTCGTGGACTAAGCAGAGTAGTCCAAGTAACAAGTCTTGATCGAGCCAGCACAAACCAGCCAGCAACGAAACATCTGGAATCAGCCCCCAAAAGCCATGAATCGTCAAATATACAACCTTCATCCTTCATCTGGCTCTTCCTTCAGCCGAGCCTCCAGCTCTGACCACCGCCACGAAGAGGTATAGACATTAAATATATCTCCAAGCAAGCTCCTCTTCTTAGCTTGCTATCGAGATGTTATGCGAAACAGAAGATGTTTAAACGACCAGCGCTCGCAAGCGCGAGTACAGTATGCATACGGAATTCCATGAAGTCGAACCGACCCGATTCCTATCGCGCATGGCAAGATGTATGCAAGACTCGCAAATGAAAATCTAGAGAACTCTCGTATAGAGAGAAACCGCTCATGTATGTGGGAAACGCCGATGAATGTAATAGTCTCAATTGAGCATGGAACGAAAATCTAGCGTGTATTAGAGGGTTTGCCGGTCCTAACAGAGGACAGGCGAAAATGCTGCATCGAATCGTTGAATTTCGTATATTGGTGTTGTTCAGGAGAGGTCGTACTCAAGGCGTCTTCCCTCGTTTCCTGGTGTTCTCATTGACTTCTTGCTCGAAAAGGCTACTAAGTCCCGAAAGGGACCATGAAGACGTCGACGAGTGAATTGCAACCAGCCAAGCTGCAACAAAGTTGACCAGGTAATGCAGCATGTAAGCGTACGTCACTCCGTACACAGCAGCATAAATTGCAATGCCGAAGAAGAACACGCTGGTAAGGTGACGAAGGCGTGACGAGACTCGAGGCACCATTTTGCCGCTCGTCAATGTTTCAACCAGGAGGATGAAAGGCATTATGGAGAGCACATTATGATGTGAAGAGAATGGTGTCAGCCAGTGTACGGCCAGATTGTGCACCCAGACAACCAATATGGGAAGATTGATGGGAAGGATCCAGAGCATGAGGATCAGGATTGAGTGTACGTAATTGTAGAAGTTGTAGTTGGTGTTGGATCTAGCCTCTCTGGCAAATCGAAGAGCGCGGGTGCATGTGGCAATCTGTACCAAGCATGCGACCAGATATGCAAATTGGTAAGGGATGACGGTCGAGACAAGAAAGAGAAGAATTCCCGTTGTCAAGAAACGTCTTCGAGGTGTAGATGGGGCGAAGGCTGGAGACAATGCTCTTCTCTTATCCTCATTGCGGAGCCAAGCAGGTTTGACGCTGAGCCATCCATACACGATACTGAAAACGTGTGTAACAGCCAAAGCCGCATAATTTAACATTACGCATGCTCCAACACACACCAGACCAATTAGAGGAACCATGAACCAGAAGAATGGGTCCTGTGCGCCTACGAGGAGATCGTTCTTGGTGAAATTTACCTGGCTTTCTGTCGCATTTCCTCGCCAGCCCCAGAATCCGGCCTGAGCAGCTTTTGGCGGTAACGAGCTTGTTTGCGCCAGAGAGACCGACAAGCATGTAAGCGCCAAAAGGACCAGCGGTAGGGATTGACGGAGACACAAATCTAAACTTTCTGTAAAGGCCATAAAGATTCCTGTCTCGTCGTAAACACGGAACTGCTTTCTTAAGACCAATGCAACGACCAGGAGCGGAAAGGCTGCGAAAACTGTCCTGTACCTCATGTAGAGCTTTCCAAGACTTCCAGGAACATCAACCTTCAAGGAGATCTTGATGCTAGAATTGCATGTAGGATCTGTCCAGAATTGCAGGCTCATTCCTTCCTGAGCGCTCTTGTATTTGAGGGCTGGTGGCATATAGGGCGAGACTCCATGCAAATTGATGTCTGCTTGCTTAACGTTGACAAAGTACTTCGATTCGTAAGGTTCTGAAATGTACTGCCGAAGTAGAGGTGTAAACATCTCTGCCTCTTCTCCGCAAATTTGATTTCCCATTTCAAGTTTGTATGACAACAAGCTCGAATGCAGAGCAGGGATCTTGACCTCTGCTACCATGGGCCTATTCGGGGGAAGCTTGATCTTCAAACCGAAGGCTAGTAGGCGGCGAAGACCGAGTGACCGGATTCGATGCGATTGGACATTATCACTGAATTCGGCAATGACCCATCCCGGAGTAGGATCCACCACTTTATCAACAATAGCAACAAACTGATGGTCGAGAATGTCCTCCAGATCATACTGCAGATATGAAAATGGCTGCACCTCTTCTTCCTCGTCAAGCCAGAATGGTTTCTTGGTAGTCCTTGTTGAAGCTGGTAACACAATGACATCAGAAGCGGCGTTCTTACAGGCCAATCGGGTCGATCCAGAGCTGTCGCCTGAGAGGTCCATATTCATCGAAAATAGCGTTGCTGACTGCCCAGGGTGCAGAGGAAACACGCTGCAGAATAAAACCTCGAGCTTTCCAGAATCTCCTGGCTTGTCAAGTTTCTGGTCTGTCAGAAGCGTGAACCTTTTACCGCCAGGCGTACCTTGAGGTGGGATTGGCAGTAAGTGTGCCCGAGGCTTGCGGTTTTGCCCAAACTTGCGTAGTGTTAATCTTTCTCCCTGGGCAATGATTGAGTTGGAATTGTCCTCAAGGGTCAGAAGAGTTGTGGGTTCCTTTTGAGACAACGTCTTCTCAGCAACACTCTCCATGCCTGTCAAGTACCATTTCTTGAATATTCTCATCCTGTCCGCCCTTGGTTTCGTCTGAGCCGGTCGATTGACATCGATCACATCGTATAGTGATCGTACTACAACCTTGCGAAATTGGTCGCACCAGAGGATAGCTTGATGATCCATACCTGTCCAAACATTCGGAACCGAAGACGTGAACACTGTAAAACCATGTGTATCGGGTACCAATGACTCCAAGCTTGCATAATCAGAGGGAACGACAGTGTCAAGGCCTCCACCCGCGATGGAAATTAAAGTGACGTGCCATAACGGATTGTTGTTGGCCCACTTTTGCGAATAAGCTTGCCTCCAATAATCGTTGATCTGCTTGTACGTCCTGACAATTTCTGCGTCGAAAGATACAGGTGGTCGCGCATGAGGAGCAGACATAGTGATTATGGTATTGATCGAATTGGACTGGTAGTTTGGCATAACCAACATCGTCCGAGCCACGATCCCTCCCATTGAGTGTCCTAGGATGATGACAGAGGTTGGATCTGGGAGATCCGGATCTCTTTCGGATCTGCGAGGATCATGGTAGAGAGACAATATGTACGCGATTGCTTCGTTCAAATATTCCGCTTGGTCCAGTAATGTCTGTCCATGAAAAGCCGTGATGTCCTCGTTGAAGTCGACAGTAAAAAAATCCAGATTTCGTGTTCCGGCACTGATTGCAGCTGGATCGTGCCGTAAAACATCGTGGAAGTAAGTTGCTGCTTCCGCTGCGATAGGCCGCACTTGTTTATAACTTCCCGCATTGCCTGGTATGAAAAGCACTGGAACCCCCTTAACCTGCAGGAAATTGTTAACGACACCACTATCAAAACGCTTGGCCTTCGTTCCATACCTTTGTATCCTCGTCCACCATTCCCTCGCGGTAAAGGTACACTGAATATTTGCTAGCGAAACGCGTATGTTCCGTGTCGAAATCGGAAAGCTTCGCAAATGACGGTCTCATATATGACATCCGGCATCCCTTGGTATCTAGCTGTCGACTAACAAAGGAGTGTATAATGGAGGCCAAGGAAAGCAAAGCCAACGCCGTCGTAGCGAGTGTGAGGGGCGAACAGGACCAGGGACTTCTCAATCTCGGCCGACGAGCATTTGAACGTGAATCTGCCATCTTATCGGCTGCAATGGCCTCTTTCGAAGGCACAATGATCACAGGAGTTTCGGCAGGTCGATTCTTCTCCACGGTCCCATTTCGCGGTTCTGACGTCTTCCAATTCGTGTTGCTCGGTCGGCGGCTTCTGGCAGTCGAAGGCCTCTTATCTGTGCTTTTCCGTCTGTCAAGCTCGCGTGGTGTGTTACTGTGTTGCGTATCTGAGGTTCGAGCAGGCGTCTGAAGGTCGCTGAGATCCGTGGTCGTCGATCCCCTTACCCCTTCAAAAGCTTCGACATTCGATGGGGAATCTTCGCCTTCTTCCTCTGCGGCGGATCCAGAAGACCGCCTCCGCATCTAAACAAGTTGCACACTCCGTCGCGACGATGCAATCGCTCGGGGGTTGAGAGGTTGTGTGCAGGACAGAGACAGCTTCAAAAATTGAGGAGGGAGAGCCGGGAGCAGTGCAGCAGGTGCTCGGAATTACAGTAGCGCAGCTCAGCGCAGAAAGCTTAAGCGACTCGGCCAAAAAGTCTATCGGGCAGGGACATTCGCATTCGTCAGTGCCAAAGTGTTTCAACATAAACAGAACATCGAACACTGCACAGAGAGGGTCAGACAGGAAGATGCTGGCGGGCTCCCCAAAATTAGCTTTGCACACACAAAGAGAACGACAGTGTGGGGACGGCAAGACCAGAGAGGGAACAGAATGGCGACTGAACGAGCGAGAGGGGAGATCAGAGGGAGGGAGAAGTTGCTAGAGAGATGAAGTGATGGATGGATCTACGGTGTCAGTCGTTCATAGCTCAGATATTTTAGAGCTTCTCTTGCAGCGAGCGGGCGGACTTTGCTTCCAGGGGGCGTTCCGAGCATGTCACTCATCAACTACAGGCGAACCAAAGTGCCGCGCCGGTGTACATACCGTACATGTGGTGGGCGGTCTGAGTCTGTACTTTAAGATGGGAGGCACTCATCGGGCAAGACGGTGGCCGCCGCAGATTGCCAAAGTCAGGTCAGTGGTGTGAGAGTATCGAGGTCACTCGGGAGGCAATATGGAGCTCGCTGGATGGAGGAAAGGAATATTGAGGTGCTGTATGTTCCGGGATACGCAGTTCGGTGGACATGGTATGGATGCTGAAGATTGAAAAGACGAAGGGTGCTGCTGCAGGTCGACAGCAGGGGGGACAACAAACCGGCCGATGAATGGCTCAACGCCATGAAAATGGCCTCGTAGATTTGCGTGCGGCAAACGTTTCGATTCGGGGAGATCAACGTCACCTTTGTTTTGATGTTGTTGCTGCTGCTCCTGCTGCTACTTGCCAACTCCACCGTTGAGGTCCAGATGCACGCCTCTCTATTCGATCTGTTTTAGATCAGTGGAGTTCTTGCACGGTGAGGAACCCCGAAAATGAGAGTGGCTGGGTGGGCAGCGTCTTTTTTTGCTCGAGCTCTTTGCTATCCAGCTTCCGGCCAAAAAGCTTGTCAGCAAAGGAGGTTGGGAAGCGAATCGTGCGGAGGGGGGTAAGTAAGCTTCGGGATGCCGTAGGCGCGTGAGGCTTGAAATGAAATTACTTCATCTAATGTTCGTTCAGATCTGGGATTTTGGAGACTAGGAGTAAGCATATCCATAATCCCATGCAAACACGAAAGACAGAACACAAGATAAGGAATTAGTCGTCGCTCTACTGTACCATCTTCCTCGCATGTTCGTCCGCAAGATGCCAACGAGCACCTGCATGGTAGATTTATGAGCTATTGACTTGAGCATCTGCAGTCAAGAGGTCGATGCCTTGCTTTGGTCCGCTAGGTCCCAAATACTCGAGGAGACCGTGCCCAAGAAGCACAAGCGCTTCCGCCTTAAAATGCTAACCCGGAGTGAGTGAGGTGAGGTGAGTTTGATCTCAGCTGCACCGCTGAAGTCTGACACCGGCCTTGAGTCGTGGGAGATGGTCCACAATCGTCTCGAGTATCAAAACGATTCTTCCTGGCGAGCATCAGTGGTCTTGTGTTTCGACAATTCTCAACCAAAGAGTCAGAGTCAACACAATATGTTGACATCTAATTCGGGACATCCAATAGAGGTGGTGTTTAGCCGTCGGTGGTTTGCCGCTCTCGCACCTGCATTGTCCTTTCGCGTGGCGTCGAGCTTGCATCCAGGGTCATTGCTATTATGACGTTGCAGCCGTCCTTATCCATGACAGGCTGCAGCTTTTTGCACATGGGGTTTCACTTGTCTTGTCTTTCTGCATAGTATTTGCCCGAAAGGCGATGATTTGTTTCCGTGGGGCCTGACGATAACAATGCCACACGGCTTGGCGAGAAACATCGTGACGGCTAAAGAACGAGGGACTTTCGCCCAGAATACCAAGCCGGCCCCAAGACCGATGCCAGCAGGGGTTGGAAAACGTCGAGAAGCTCGTCTCTCCAGTATCCGAGTGCTTGACGGCTTGATATCAAGATCGTTCAGGCCCATGCTTCACGGCCGACCGAGAAGTATAATAGACAGCTGACAGCTGACATGTTTGCGACCCATCTCGAGACGATCAAAACCGCAACAATAGAACCTGCGATGTTCCATTCTTGCATAAACAATGAACACGACGCATCGGCCGAAAGCTTGCTCTGGCCTCTCGAACCAACACTTGTGGCGCATTTAGGTCTTCGCGTTCCCGCAGGATTTCAAACGCTTGGTACGAAAATCATGCGCAAGTCTCGGCCGATATTCACTCGAAGAGCTGATGACAGCCAGTCGGCTTGGAGTGGAGCTTCGAGAACGCGAAGTTTTAGCTTGTTGTTTGTCTCAGAGTTGGACAGGAAAAGCTTCGAGTGACCAGCTGTGAGAGGAGGTTCCTTGTTCTGTTCTCGTTGACAAGGAACATCACGGTGAGGTCCCGAGGGGATGCCCGATAAGATAACGTTACCCCACATTGAAGTCTACCTAGGTAGGTATCTGTCGTCTCGATGGACAGCATGGCAATGTATAGGACACAGGTCATGAATTCGACTTCTTATAAAAGTCGCTTTGATGAAGATATACTTCACGGATACTCACGGGGCATCGGAAATTGCGGGGTACATGAAGCACGTGATTACCCCTCATGAATGTCACCTTGACGGTCTTTCTTAGCTGTCAATCGATCTCTACTTCTGTGCATCTTCTCATATTTCCCCTTCTTTCTTTTCAGCAAATAATTCAAACTCAGCTGAAGACCCCCAGCAATATTTCCACAGGTTGCAGTTGCAAAACCCTGCAATCAGTCCATCATCACCTGATCTTCAAATCCTCAAGTTTCCATCCTTCACTCCGTTTCCCTTCTGTACTTCCACCGACAATTTACAATAGAAACGAGCACATCTACCAATAATCCACAATGACTACCGAGGCAAAAATTCTCGGTACACGCCTTCAAGGGAAGGTTGCCATCGTCACTGGGGGTGGATCTGGCTTCGGCGAAGCTATCTCAAAACGCTTTGCGGAGGAAGGATGTAAAGTCATTGTGGCTGACATGGAGTAAGTACTTTTTCCACTGCCAATTATAACTTCAGGTTGTATCAATTTTTGTCAAAAGAGGGACAACAACTGATTCCAACATCATTTGTTCAACTTATTGGAAAGCTCATATTTCTAACGTCAAACCAGCTCTGTGGGTGGAGAAAGAGTCGCCAGTGCAACTCATCCCCATTCAATGCACTTCATCAAGAGTAAGTCGAATTATGCCCTTCTTTTGTGTTCAATCTAGGAGCCGGGGTCTTCGAGGTCAACTTCGGAAACTACTCATCCAAGAAGATATATCTACACTCGCTTGCCAAGCTATTCAGACCCCAAATTTCTAACATAAGTGTATACTAATGTATATACAGCCAACGTAGCAAATGAAGCCGACTGGGAACAACTCATGGAAAACACTCTTGCCAAATTTGGCAGAGTAGACATCTTAGTCAACAACGCGGGCACAAGTTACAAGAACAAAGTTCGTGCTCCTGCTATTAATGGCATTGTCAAACTAACATAGGATACAGCCAACAGCAGAGGTGACAGAAGATGAATTTGACAAAGTCTTTGCAGTCAATGTGAAAAGCATCTTTCATTCCGCCCGACATTTCATTCCCAATCTCATCAACCAAGGAGACGGTGGCTCAATCATCAATATTGCTTCGATTGGAGCCACAAGACCGAGGCCGGGACTCGTCTGGTATAATGCCAGTAAAGCTGCTGTAGCCAACGTCTGTCCCTCATCTCCAACTTGCCCCTCTCAACTAACACATCCAGGCAACCAAAGGTCTAGCAGCTGAATACGGCGAGAAACAAATCCGCGTCGTAGGTATTGGGGAAGCCGCATTTTCCACTTCCTTTCCCGAGACATTGTCTTATCCTTTTCCTGAAACAACAAAGATGAAAAGTGCTAACGCTCCCTCCCAATTACCTAGAACGCCGTCTGCCCCCTCCTCAGCGCCACAGGCCTGTAAATACCTCCCTCCCCCTCCCACTCCCACTCCCCATCCATCTCCTTTCTAACTCTCAACAAACAGCTTCGAAACCTTCGTCGGCGTCCCCCCAACAGAAGAAAACTTCAAGAAATTCCTGTTCAATGTCCCGCTAGGAAGACTAACTGATCCGGTCGATGTCGCGAACTATTGTCTCTTCTTGGCGAGTGATGAGGCGAAGTTTATTACTGGCACGTGTTTGGAGGTTGATGGTGGGAGGGGGATTTGAGTGTTGGCTGTTTGGGGATCTTGGGGGGCAGAGGTACAGGAGGGGATATTGTGCTATGTTGCTCCGGGTTGCTTGTTGAAAATGGAGAGATTTCAGCTACGTGTCTCTGTTTCAACTGCCCAATCCCTCGCAGCCTTTATCCTTTTCAACTCCAAATATGCGATTTGCATCGATACACAATCAATCTCCTCCTAGATGATGCTAAATCTCGTTGCTCCCAAGTACTTCCACACGTACAACCCATAGTGCTATAAACCTGATATCGGGCCCGATCTCGTACCCTCCTGCACGACGCAGTGTAACACTGGGTCGGCCCACGGCAAGGGACTCTTTGTTTCAGAACTATTATCGTGACTACCAGCAAAGCTTATTATATCTCTCTGTGTCCAAAAAGATTCAAGCAGAGCCTCGAGCCTCGGATGTCACCATACAAGATGTCATCACACAAGATACCGATACACAAGAATATCCTTATTTGATTGTATTCAATCTGTCCCATGTTCTAGCCTAACCTAGCATGCATGCATAACGCCTAGCCTCGAAAATGCAGTAATCACTACTATAACACTACAATTAACATAAGGAAACCCCTATTCATCCGTCCGCTTAAGCGAATTCTCGATCCGAGAGAACGATCGGTGCAACGAGTGTCCAAGTGTAGATACCATAGCAGACCCACGCACTAACAATCTTAACCCAACTTGCCCAGTATGTTCTTCCAACTGGCGCAAAGTCCTCAACATCCTTCGTTGAGTCATCTTTGAAGTTCATGGTAAGGAGAGTAGCCACCCAGGCAGTAGCGAGAAAGAAGATGACGTGGAAGAGGGCGTAGCTGTATTGTGTTGAGTTGCGCTCGTCGTCCTTGGCGGTATTCCCACTGTCGCTGTCATCGTCATCATCGTCTAGGGCATCGGCTGGAAGACTTCCTTCTTCAACGGCTTGGCGGAGAGCCGCAGCGCGCATCTCACGGCGGCTGTCTGGTTGTTGAGTCACGAGATCGTGCTCATCCTCATTAGGGAGTCTGACACTCTTTCCAGAGCCGCCAAGAGCGACTCCTTGGGTAGCAGCTCTGGTCGTGGTATAGGCGACGGTGAGCATAGTGACAATAGCACCAATGACGATGGATGTTGTTCGCGTGCCCTGAGCTCGGATGAGAGGATTGCAATTCTTGTCATCCGGCTCCATGGATACAGCTGACATAGTGAGGTATGTGCAGTAGATTGCAACCATAGCCGACTGGGCAAGACCTGCTTTCGGGTTGCCCTCTTGTACGTAAGGATGAACAGATATCCCGGAGACAATCAGGAGGAAGATCAAGTTGAGGGTGATCGCGGTCTGGTTCATGGTGCAACCTCCCTTGGCGAAGAAGACGTACATAACGATGGTCATTGCCAGCGACGCAGCGAACATGCCGAGGGTGGATCCAATAAGAACGCCCCTCCATGCTCGGGAATCCGACGCTTCGATTTGATCCAAGCAGTATTCGGCCCAGGAGTGTGCCAAGTCGACTAGGAGGATCAGGCCCAGGAGCAAGAAGAGTGTTGCGGCGAAGAAAGAGATGTAGTTTCCCCATACAAAGAAGAATGATTCGGGAATGAGGAAGGAGACGACAATCAAAGCCAACCAGGCAATGATCTTAGGACCCCAAAATCCATTCTGAATTGCCGCGCGAGGATTCTTGGAAGAGTTGACGCCGAGGAGGATAAAACCGAGTATGATGTGGAATACGCCAAGGGCAAAGTTGATTCGATGTACCGCAACCCATCCATAACATGGTCCATCCGGACAACTTATCGTCATATAATCCAGAGTCAAGTGTTGTAGCTTATTGATGGCCCACGGTGTGAGCATAATCCATGAGAGAATGGAGTTGACGAGGAGGATGAGGGCATAGGCAATTCGAGTGGCAACGCTGTTAAGGATTAGGCTCTGCCATTCTCAAGATGATTTTCAACGGACCTGTTACCACACTTCCCACAAGCACTGCATACTGCAGAGCATGTAGCCGCACCGCAGCAGCTTGCCATGAAACCGAAAACCTGTAGAAGTCAGCAGCAGGCTCTCACGACATTTAGACACGCCGACGTACGGTCCCCATACTGGGCACTGCTAGCAGCGGCAGCGAGAGTAGAGCACCCATGGTCTCGAATCGTGTTGCAATAAAAAGGATGTAACAGTCGGTGTACTGGTAATGCTGAAAGTGCAATCAGGCGTGAATGATTGTATTGCGCATGCGATGATGGAGAGACAGACGCATCGTTGAGCCTCCGCCCGGTTGTTCAAAGCCGCCTGCCTTCCTTCCCGATGGCCGAGCCAGGGGTTAGTCCCGCTAAATCTGTTGTGGATCGTGATTGGGCGTACCAGTCCGATTGTGATTGTGAGGAGAGACATGCCACAGGTACCACGTAATAATTTCCCTTGCAACACCTCCATCTATCTATCTACGTGACGCTCGGAAATACATTATTCAACCTTCGATTGACCTCAACCACCATGATCTGAGTGCCATTTCCATTCGCCAACATCTTTGCACAATGAGATCGTGTTGAGATGATCCAACGACCAAGGCAAACACCATATCCCGCATCCCCATCTTTGACGATGTCTGAGAAATCGTTGAATCGTGCCCGATGGGTGTCGAGTGTGGCTGCGACATGCATCTCTTTAGCATGCGGGACAAATGTAGGCGCAAGATCTGCCATCTTTGTCGTTATACTTACGACAATAGTATGTCTATTCAGCATGGGGACCACAGTTCGGCGCAAGACTCAAGCTCTCATCGACAGAGCAGAACCTGATAGTACGCTAGACATTCTACCACGATAAGTCGACGATGGCTAATTATTTCAGGGCGCTTTTGGTAACTTGGGGATGTATGCTATGGGAATACCAGTTGGAATGTTTGTTGATACGAAAGGACCTCGACCGGCCGTTATCTTTGGGGCTATCATGCTCGCTGCAGGCTACTTTCCTCTACACCAGGCATACGATGCAGGTTCAGGCTCAGTGCCACTGCTATGCATCTATTCCCTCTTCACAGGTTTTGGCGGATGTGCAGCCTTCAATGCTGCTATGAAAACATCAGCGTTGAATTGGCCCCATCATCGTGGTACTGCGACGGGGTTCAACTTAGCGGCTTTTGGATTGAGCGCATTCTTCTTCTCAACACTGGCTCAGTATGCCTTGCCAGGGAATACAGGAGACTTCCTGATGCTACTGAGTGTTGGCACGTCTGGTATTGCTTTTATAGGATTCTTCTTCCTTCGAGTCTATCCGCACCCCCACTATTCGGCAGTATCTACAAACTCGGGGAGGAGACTTTCGGATTCTCAGCGTCTACATAGGACAAGATCGGCGGAGGAAGGAAAACACAAGGCAGATCAGACAGTCTTAGAACCAGGTGGGTCCTCCTCTGTTGTCGCACATCTCAGCGATGGAAACATCCTAAATCGAGATGACATAGGAGAAGACGCACCTGAATCCCTTTTGGTTGTATCAGACGAGACGTCCTCCTTATTGTCAACAACTACATCTTCTAGCCCTGGAGATGCACCTGAAGAACCGATTGTTAAGGACCATGCTCATCGTGTAGATATCCGTGGGTTCAAAATGTTGGTCCAGGTTGAGTTCTGGCTGCAGTGGGCCATCATGGGCTTGCTCACTGGTGTTGGATTAATGACTATCAAGTGAGTTGGACTGCTCTCATTCTGCTATTTCAAGCTAATCTTCATAGCAACATCGGAAATGACGCCGCAGCTCTTTGGCTCCACTATGACGATTCAGTGTCCAACGACTTCATTGCGAAGAGTCAAGCAATGCACGTCTCTATTCTGTCGCTCGGCAGCTTTACTGGTCGTTTGTTGAGTGGTAAGTGTTTGAGCCCTCAGATACATGTAGCTCACAATTATCAGGTATCGGTTCCGACTTTCTCGTCAAGGTTCTCCATGCATCTCGTTACTGGTGTCTCTCGATCGCTTCTCTGATTTTCTTGCTATCTCAATTCTTCGCCTTGAGCATTGAAAATCCCAACTACCTCGCTTTTGTGTCTTCATCTACTGGTTTGGCGTACGGATTTCTCTTCGGTTGCTTCCCTTCAATTGTCGCCGAGGCATTCGGCGTACACGGTTTCAGCACAAACTGGGGGTTCATGACGTTAAGTCCCGTCGTCAGTGGAAATGTCTTCAACGTTTTCTATGGCACGGTCTTCGACGCCCACAGTATTGTAAAGCCAGATGGTTCTCGGGAGTGTACAGAAGGTCTCGCATGCTACAAGGCGGCTTATTATATCACCATCACCTCTTGCCTCATCGGCTTGGCTGTAAGTCTGTGGACCATGTGGTATGTAACGAAGAAGCGGAAGGAGGAAGACAGACAGAGGGAATTCGAAGAAAGAGAGGCTTAGAACTAGAACGGACCGGAACAATGATGTACGGATACAAATCTTGGATGGCGTTTAACGGCAAGCGATGATAGACTCGAAAGCTAGGCGTTAGGATTGGAGATTCTGCTAAGACCGGATATATAGACGGACTTTGTCCTTTTCCGAAATCATTTCTTTTCAGCGTTCACCTGGTCTTGATTGTTAGTTAGTCCTGCCTTTAAGAGCCCCAGTCGGTTCGGCCCGTTGCCTGGTCCAAATAGTACACCGAGACTAGGACCATCAATACCCACCCTCAAACCCACTCCTTGACCGCCGATGTTTTCTGCAGTCTAATTTTCAGAGTTCATATATCTGCGTACATCATCCTCTCTGCCTAGTCCTTTTCATATCTTTCAGACGAGCAAAAATCCAGCCCCTCAAATGCCACTCTCAACTCCCACCCTCGGTGTCACCCATTACGCAACAGCCTCCGCCTTATTATACGGAGCAGGATGGTCTATACAGTTATATCGAAGTAGGATGAGGAGGATAAGAGATCAGGCACAGTACGATTTCGAGACTAGATGCTGTCCTACTCTGGAAGAGTTGAAGGGTTTGAGAGCTGCGAGAGGTATTATTTTCCTTGCCTTGAGAGGGGTTGTTGGTGTTAGTACTGATGGATGGTGGCGGTTGAGGCGGATAAGGATTATGCTGCGAGGACTTTGATCGAGTTGAGGGTGTTGAACGATGTTGGGAGATGAGGGGCATGATGGAGGTTTGGATATTACAGCGTGTGATTAGAGGGAGGTTTTGTGATTTGAGTTTTGGTCGATGGGTCTATTGAAAGGGAATTTGAGAATTGGTCTTTGTTATAGATACCCCACTCCGCTTCGAAGCAAGTACTTATTTTGATCACGAAAGACGCGCTCTCGAGTAAATCTCGTGAGGCTGCAAAATCGATGTCAAGCGGGTCATGCCGTTTAGAGCCGCAGTGCGACCTGTGGGTCGAAGGGAGCGATGTCGGATCGCGAACGGAGTATCTAACATTGGGATTAACGTTGAGTCTTCAATATCCAGTATCAAACGTATGGTTGTCCGGTTCTTTCCCTTCGGTCTGGTGAGGGAGAGAGACAGCGGCTAGTTGGTATATATGGAGTATAGCTAATAGTCAGAGGCAAGATGAAGATTTTACAAAGATATATGTCAGCGAGAGGCCGTCGAACTTGGCAAATTCATATTCCACTCGATGGCTGCTAGTGTTTGGTAAATATGATATAATTGGCGGAATAGGCTTCCTCGCATGCGGTGACAAATCATCTTGCTTGACGTTCACAAGCTACTATCAAACATTGTGGTAACTTGTTCTCTCATATGTCCAATTCGTTGAGCATACAAAATAGACCGAATGGAGACATCGGGCAAGCTACCTAGGTAAAAGAGAGGATTAGTAAGAAAGGGTTCGAAAATCCTGGGCGAAAAAGGTAGTTGCTTGATTCCCTTCCTCCATTGACATGGCAAGCACTAGCATTAAAGCCAGCCGAGGAGCTTACCCGTAAGGGCAGCTCATATCTTTGACGGAATAAGAGCACATAAAGACGATCGCATCCAAGATCCAGCTTAACTTTCGGCTATTAAATGAGATTGCGAAGTCTATACCATTTTGAAGGTAGAGTTGGCGAGGTTGAGTGGTTGAACATCTCGGAACGACTAAGCCCTTGTCTCGAAGGGGATTAGCTCATGCAGCTTTCCGTTACTCCACACCCGCGAACGACCTGTCAGCCCAGGATGTATTTGCATTTGGAAAACAGTCTTAACATGAGGGATTGGCTGCAAGTTGCACTTGACTGAAGTATGACAAGCTTAGCTGCAGAAGATTGGTAGGATTACTTGCAAGCCCCTCTTCCTATTTCGTTACAAGTGTTCGATATCTACTTCCTTCTTGGAACCTTCTCCCATCGACCCTTCCATCCCCACAAAGCCAGTCAGCTTCTTTTCATCTTTCCAAATTCATCAGAGTCATGAGTGGCTGTCTTTCTCTTGAGATCCAGCTTCAAATATAAAGCATGGCCTTTCCCAAAGAAGATGCCTGTATGCCAATTGCGGTGATTGGTATGGGATGTCGTTTTCCTGGGGATGCAACTTCTCCAGAAAGGCTCTGGGACATGCTGGCCAATGGTCGTAGCGCCTGGTCTCAATTCCCAAAAGATCGCATCAACATTGACGGATTTTATCATCCAAGCACAGAAAGACAGGGCTCGGTAACTTTCCACTTGCGTTTAGTGTACGAGCAATGCTAAGGCTTTTAAAGATATGTTTCAGAGGAGGGCACTTTTTGAAGGACGATATTGCCGCATTCGATGCTCCAGTATGTGGTAAAGTCCTTTTTTGTCCTCTTGCTCTGTGCTGAAAGGGTGCTTTTCATAGTTTTTCTCTACAACATCACACGAAGCTGCCGCTATGGATCCACAGCAACGGATTCTACTTGAAGTCTCATACGAAGCATTTGAAAATGGTATAAAGTCAAAGTCCGCTGGTAAATAAATCGATGGTCCACTGACGCTTGACCTCAGCTGGTATTCCTATCGACACTCTGCTTGGCACATCAACAGCTGTATATTGTGGCTCTTTTGTGAAAGGTGAGCTGTCACGAGCGTTTGTTACAATGAAGCGCTAAGTCGTTGAGACTATGAGCAAATTTGTCTCCGCGATCCTGACGATTCGCCACAATATGCCGCAACCGGAAACGGAATTGCAATCATGTCAAATAGAATATCCTGGTTTTATGACCTTCGTGGACCGAGTATGACGCTTGATACCGGATGCTCGGCAAGTCTCGTTGGCGTCCATCTTGCGTGCCAGAGTCTAAGGACTGGCGAATCAAGTCTAGTAAGCATGGCATGGAGATCTTAGCAATCTTGCTGATTAAAAGCAGGCACTCGCTATGGGAGCTGGACTGGTATTGACTCCGGCAACGATGTTGCCAATGACAGCCCTCAACTTCCTCAGTCCTGACGGAAAATGCTTTGCTTTTGATGAACGCGCGAATGGGTATGGGCGCGGGGAAGGAATAGGCTGTGTGGTTTTGAAGCCACTGCACGCAGCCTTGCGGGACAACGACACCATCCGGGCAGTCATCCGAGGATCGGGCGTCAACCAAGATGGCAAAACACCAGGAATCACCATGCCGAGTAAAGAGGCGCAGGCTTTGAACATACGCGCCGTTTATAAAGCATCTGGATTGGACTACAACAGTACAGCATACTTCGAAGCGCATGGCACAGGCACTCAGGCTGGAGATCCGACTGAGCTAGGAGCTATCTCAGAAACGTTCACCGGGAGTCGAGATCCTATCGATCCAATATATGTTGGCTCCGTGAAGACTAATATTGGTCATCTTGAAGGCTGTGCTGGAATTGCGGGGCTGATTAAATCAGTCTTAATGTTGGAGAAGGGCATGATACCATCGAATCTTTATTTTGAGAAAGTCAACCCTAGGATCGACCTAAACGCTTGGAGAATCAAGGTATGAAAGTACTGTAGCACTTTTCGTCGGACATGGCTAAAGTCTGTAGATACCCAAGGAGTTGACAGCATGGCCACGCGAAGGGCTGCGAAGAATTTCACTCAATTGCTTCGGATTTGGTGGAACAAATGCACATATCATCTTGGACGATTCTCTAAACTATTTTTCCGATCGAGGCATTGAAGGCAATCACTGCTCTGTTGATTTGTCACCGCTCCCTTCCTCTTCCACTTCCACTTCGGACTCTGGAGTGTTTCTTAGCCCACCATTTTTGGGGTCTTCCCTGGTTGATTATATCTCCTCAAGTCCGTCTCCAAACTTATACGTCATTTCCTCTCACGAGGAGAGCGGTATCGGTAGACTTTCGACAGCGTATTCGGATTATTTTGGAAGAAAAGACTGGACAAAATTAAGCGAACAGGAGATATTGCAACTCGGAGACGACGTTACATATACTCTATCAAGGCGACGTACTCACTTTGCATGGAAAGCATTCGTTGTCACTTCAACACCAGAAAAGCTCAGTACCGTGCTTCTGAATAACCTGTCAAAGCCATGTCGTTCGTCTCGGCCACCCACCATCGCCTTCGTATTCAGTGGCCAAGGGGCCCAGTGGTTCGCAATGGGAAGAGAATTGCTTCAATATCGCAACTTTCGGAGCACACTCTATGAGGCTGACCTGTTTTTACGATCTATCGGATGCGAATGGTCTCTCATGATCGAGTTCACGAAGGATGAAAGCACTTCTATGATCAATCTTCCAAACATAAGTCAGCCGTTATGTACTGCTCTACAAATTGCTTTGGTAGACTTGTTGCAAGATTGGGGCGTGTTGCCTCATGCGGTGGTGGGCCACTCGTCCGGCGAAATTGCTGCAGCATATGCTGTTGGGGCTATAAGCAGGGAAGATGCATTACAACTAGCGTTTCATCGCGGCTTGTTAACAAGTTCTATTAAGGTCCTCGCTCCGACACTACGAGGTAGGATGTTGGCAGTCGCACTGTCCCAGGAAGCCGCAGAAGTTTTAGTCAATCGATTGACAAAAGGATTGGCCATAGTAGCATGCATCAACGGCCCAGAAAATGTGACGATATCAGGAGATGAAGATGCTATTCTTGAGCTAGAGGAGCTTCTGTACCAAGATGGTATCTTTGCCCGTATGCTCAAGGTTGAGAACGCATACCACTCCCATCATATGGAAATCATTGAGAGCAATTATTTAGATGCCATCAAAGACATCCAGATACTTGAGACAGACTCGGATATTCAGATGTTCTCGTCTGTCACGGGCACATGCATTCAACGGAGTGATTTGGGTCCCGCTTACTGGGCTCGAAACCTGGTATCTCCTGTTGTATTTTCTGCAGCTGTCAACGCTCTATTGCAGACGAAGACTAGGAAGGCAAATGTTCTGCTCGAAATAGGTCCGCATTCAGTCCTGCAAGGACCTCTGAAGCAAATCCTTGATGCTAGAAGGAAACCGAAGTCTCGACCAGCTTACTTCTCTACGTTATATCGAGGCAAAGATGCCACTGTGACATCATTAGAGGCAATGGGCCATCTATGGAGTCTAGGAACTCGTATCAACTTCGAGATCATTAATAACAGGTAAGAGTACTAGCTGATATGAGTTGTGACTGACATTGCCAGCACTCGAACTACAAAGAATCGTGTTCTCAGTGATCTACCCTCGTATCCTTGGAATCGTGAGTAGAGAGCATTTTTTAATAATCGTTTTGACCTTTGTAGATACCCAGACATACTGGCACGAATCTCATATGGGTACTGCCCATCGTTTCCGTAAATGGGCTCGTCAAGACTTAATTGGTGCTCCAAGCACAGATTCCGTGTCACTGGAGCCTCGATGGCGCGGTTTTCTCCGTTTGTCTGAAAATCCATGGCTTCAGGATCACCAGGTTCAAAACACAATCATATATCCTGCGGCCGGCATGCTGTCTATGGTACTTGAAGCTGCTCGACAGATACAAGACATTGATCGCAGGGCATACGAGTATGAATTGACGAATGTTCATATTGAGAAAGCTATGGTTATACCAGATTCCTCTCACGGTTTGGAGACGGCGCTGAACCTCAAGAAGAATGAGGATGTCATTCTCCAAGGCAAACTCCAGATGTCTAGATTCGAATTTACCATTTACTCCAAGCTTCTTGATATCGACTGGATCAGGAATGCCTATGGTTCATTAACTATTCATCATGTACCCATCGAAGACGAGATTGTCGATGCAGACGATAAGGTTGCGAAGTTCACAGCTGCTAGGAGTTATTGCACTGAGAGCTATTCTCCTCGACAGTTGTACGAAGCATTTGAAAACATCGGGTTGAAGTACGGCCCGTGTTTCCAGAACATCGTGTCCATGTCCCAGAAAAACAATGTTAGCTGCACAACTGTGCAAATTCCGGATACTGCGAAGCTCATGCCTGCCCACTACGAATATCCTCATTTGATTCATCCTGCGACCTTGGACGCGATGTTCCAAACCGTCTTCGTTGCGGGAAGTGAGCCAATGATTCCATCTTTCCTCAAGAGGATGGTCATATCTGCCGAGTTCCCTAGTGGTGCTGGCTGTAAACTTCAAGGCTTTTCAGAGGCGAAGAGATACGCGATTAGAGACGCCACTGGATGCATCACGATGTTTGGTCCTTCATCGGAAAAACCGGTATTGGTCGTGGATGACTTGCATTTCACTGCCCTATCATCTGCCAGGAATGATTTCACCGAGGTTGGATTTATACCTAACAATCATAATCTGTGTGCGGAGCTTGTATGGGAAGAAGATCATGATGCTTCGAAACATTTATCAATGGATGCCCTCAAGGGAACCGAAATTATCTTGGTTTTACCTGATGATCCGTCTTCGGAGCTTATAAGTTTGCATTCCAAGTTGACTTCAGCGGTCTACTCAATAGGGGCACAATGCAGAAATACTTCTTTATTGAAGTCACACGAACAGTGTGTGGGCAAGTTATGCATTGCCCTTTTGGGAATTGAAGATTGTTTACTACACAATTGGACGAGTGACGAGTTCGAAGGATTCCGATCACTCATGAACCGGACGAAAGGATGTTTGTGGGTAACGAGAGGCGGTCAAGTCGACTGCTCAAACCCAATGTCAAGTCCGATCAGTGCTCTCTTCAGGACACTACGAGCGGAAGACCCACGAAAGCTACTCTATACCATCGACTTAGATCCCACTTTGGACCTGACTTCTGATGAGCCACCAATCACGATAATGAAGGTCTTTCAAAAATCATTTGATTTCACCGCACCTTGCGAAGAAACCGAGCATGCAGAACGTGATGGAAAGCTTCTGGTTCCAAGGATTGTCCTACAGACTCAGCTGTGTTCTAGAATTGAACGTGGAGATGCTAAAAGAGCGCCCACCAAGTTAACATTCTTGCAAAAAGATCGTCCCTTGCAGTTAGAAATGGCTACACCAAGCGGTCTTGATTCTTTTTATTTCAATGACGATGGAGACACGGCTTTGGATCTTCATGCCAAAGAGATCGAAATCAAGGTTGAGGCAGTTGGTATCAATCAACACGATGTCGAAACTGCAATGGGTCAGACATCGAGCAGCACTATTGGTTCCGACGCGGCGGGTGTCGTTAAAAGTGTAGGTTCAGCCGTCGTCAACCTGAAGCCAGGAGATCGAGTTGTCACAGTCGCGCAGGGTGCCTTCAGGACATTTGTTCGGAGTCAAGAAGCATTGGTGCAACTCGTTCCAGACGGCATGATATTCGAGGTCGCAGCATCTTACCCTAACGATTTAATGACTGCCTACTACTCGACCATGACAGTTGGCAGGTTACAGCAGGGAGAATCAGTCCTCATTCATGGAGGTGCAAGTGGTTTGGGCCAAGCAGCTATCCAACTCTCAAAGCACGTGGACGCCGAAATATATGTGACGATTTATTCAGCAGATGAACGCAAAACATTGATCAAGTTGCATGGGATATCTGACAGCCACATACTAGATTATGTCGGCTTTGGCAAGGAACTCCGGAGATTAACTAGCGGCAGAGGTGTAGACCTAATCTTGACTGCTCTTGGAAAACAACATTTCGCCCAATCATGGAGACTTGTCTCTGAATGTAAGTGATCTATCAATTCTTGAAAACCTTGAGTTAATGGCATGAAGTTGGCCGTTTTGTTCAAATCGGCGATTCGACATACGGCGACGCTGTCATGCCAAAGAATATAGCGACTCATCGCAATGTTAGCTATTCTACCGTCAATCTTAGCCATATCATTCAGCAAAATCAGCCGCTACTATGCCGAATATTCGATTCTTGTTGGAAGTTAATCAGTATGGAGGCAATTCAAAGATCAGACCCTTTGATTGTCTATCCTCTGTCCGAACTTTCGACTGCTTTCAAAAGTGCGCTAGACCAGACGCATGGCAAGACTGTGATCGGATTCGGCGACACTGACCTTGTCCCTATTATACCTCATGATTCACACCAACTTCAACTGAATTCCGGAGCGTCATATGTTCTTGTTGGTGGCCTAGGTGGTCTTGGCCGCAGCCTTGCCAGTCTTCTCATCCGGAGCGGCGCCAGATATCTAGTCTTTTTGTCGAGGTCTGGTGCTGTTTCTGACCAGCAAGTCACCTTTCTCGAGGATCTTCAGTCAAACGGAATTCAAACTCGAGTATACACGTGCGACGTTTGTGATAGAATCCAGCTGAGTGCTGTCCTTCAGCGATGCCAGGAGGAGATGCCTCCCATCAAAGGAGTGATCCAGGGTGCCGCTGTTATCAAGGTTTCTAGCCCTCTCACATCGTATGACAAATATGCTAATTGACAATTTGTAGGATGCCATCTTTGATAATATGACCTACGAGGACTGGATTGCTGCGACACGGCCGAAGATTCAAGGAAGCTGGAACCTACACGAATTGATGCCAAGAGATCTCGACTTCTTCATCTTTTTGTCTTCATCTGCAGGCATTATAGGTGCCCGAGGCCAATCAAATTACAACGCGGGAAATGGCTTCCAAGATGCGTTGGCACAACATCGACGAACTAATGGCCTGGCTGCTGTTTCATTAGATCTTGGCCCTATTCTTGGCGCAGGAGTAAGTCGGAAATAACTGGTCAAGACTTACTTGCTGATGTTCAGCAGATGGTCGCGGAAGATGAGGCTACACTTGATATGCTTCGAGCATCTGGCTTTATCAGTATTCGTGAGAAGGTAATAAGTTTTGTATTCATCCATGACAATTGCTGACAAGTCAGGATTTCCATATCATTGTGTCTGCAGCGATGGCGGGCTACACAGAAGATGGCCACACTCTCCCAGCACAGATAATTCTCGGTACAGGGACAGGTGGATTGATTAAACAGAATCGAGTTCATGATCCATACTGGCTTCGCGAAGCTAGGTTCTCGATCTTGCGAGAGGTCGACATCGTTCCTACTTCTCAGGATCCGGAATCAATCTCTATGCAGGAACTCTTGTCAATCGCGAACTCGCTTTCCGAAGCCTCAGAAATAATACTCGAGGGCCTTGTCATACTTCTTTCCAGATCGATGAATATGTTAGCGGCAGATCTAGATACGAATAAACCTGCCAACGCTTACGGCGTGGATTCCTTGGTGGCCGTTGGGACTCGTAATTGGATTTTTCAGGAGACGGGTGTAGATGTTAGTATCTTTGAGATTTTGAGTGAGGTTAGTATTGCGGATATGGCAGTTGAAATTGCAAAGAAGTGTAGATTTTGTTCGGGAGAGGTTGGAGCGGAGGAAGACGAGGTGGATGAGGACTGATCTTGATAGTTGAATCCCACGACGGGTCGTTTCTTATCACAGCTGTTTTGACTGACACATACATGCCCGTCTCTCTCGCTTAGGCCCCTTAACACGCTGGCCACCAAGTGTAGAAAGGGGGTATGCTCACGTGATAGCGTATATTCATGATGGTGCTAGTCTTGAACAGGCTTAGCAGCTCTGACGTCTTTCAAAATACCGTGCTCAACCCCATCGTCATCGACTGCATCTTACAGATTACATAGGTGATACTTACTTTGCAGGAATACCCAAGGTTTCACGTCTTTTCTTTCCAATGGCTGATGTAAAGTTATGGATTGCAAGTTGTTCTGCTAGCCGGACCACAGCTCCGATCAATAGTCATGTAGGTAGGCATCTCTCGAACGGATGAACATTTCACTTTTCCTCATTTCTCAATTACGAAATGGCCTTGCAGACCTTGAGGGGTAAACTCTTTCTTAGACCATTGACGTCACTCCGTAGTATTTCGTGTTTGTATTCGTCGCGACCTGGAAGTTTTCTTATGAACGCCCAACCATTTTCAGGACCACCTACATATCGCCTACGACAAGTCCAGAAACAGTTCTCTACGAGTACAGCAAAGATGTCTGACACTAATAAGAACTTTCTTCTAAGTGAAGTCTTCAATGTGAAGGGGAAGGTAGATCAACTTCTATACTTGAGTAGCTGGACATGCAAGTTGACGGAAATAGGTTGCTCTCATCACTGGAGGTGGCAGCGGAATTGGTTTGATGGCAACTCAGGCGCTTGCTGTAAACGGAGCGAAAGTCTACATCGTCGGACGAACCGAAGAGAAGCTCGAGACTGTCGTCAAGACACACGGACAGAATATCGAGGGCGAAATTATTCCCATCACTGCGGATATCACATCGAAGAGCGAGATTGAGAAGCTTGTGAAGGAGATCGAGTCTCGGGAGAAATGCTTGTGCATCCTGATCAACAATGCTGGCATTGCAGGCAACACGCAGCAGACGGAGGCTAAGACTGCCGAGGAGATGAAGAAGAATCTATTTGATGCGGAAGGTTCGACGTTCGATGATTGGTGCAGTACATACAGGACCAATGTCCCACAACTGTTCTTCATGACTATGGCCTTCCTGCCGCTTCTACAGAAAGCTTCTGATCACCAACATGGCTATTCGGGCACGGTCATCAACATCTCTTCAATCTCGGGTATCGTTCAGTCATCTCAACATCATTTTGGCTATAATGCTAGTAAGGCAGCTGCTATTCATCTCACCAAGATGCTGGCTTCTGAGGTCGCAGAAAATGGTAAGCCCCCGAAGGCCTTTTTATCTTGCTCAAAATAGTATCATGGAGCAAAACTAATCAAAATTGTCATCTTCAGGTCTCAAGATTCGTATCAACAGCATTGCTCCGGGTGTATTCCCTTCTGAGATGACTGCTGGTGGAGAGAGTGGATCTGACCAGAAGAGTCACATCGAGAAAGACAAATACGCAAAGGTTCCTGCTAGACGACCAGGAAAGGATCAAGATATGGCCGCAGCTGTCTTGTTCTGTGCTGCTAATCAGTACTTGAATGGCCAGACCGTGGCGGTTGATGGTGGTTATATCTTGCATGCAGGAGCATGAGCCATCTGAGTCTGTGAGCATGACATGATCTAATACGCTTGGTCGGTGACAAGTCTTAGCTAAATGGTAACTTGTCTGGTTCCTACCACAACTTTACCCGAGAGTCTTGCAACGAGATGAATAGGCTAGATGAAGCTAGGAAAATCTCGCATATATTCGCAAGCACTATTCTTTCTCACGTGACCACATTTTCTCTGGTGTCTACCTAGGTAACCTGGGTGATGCTCTATATATCTCTTCTCATAGGTGAGATTAAATCTCCTCTAGGCTTGAATCGTCACATCCAACAGAAAAGTCTGCCACCAGTGTCTGCCATTGTTATTTTTAGTTTCGAGATAGGGATCCCTCACAGTGAGTACCAGATTGCGCGTTCAATTAATGCTTTCAATTGGTTCGACCGAACTTTCCCTCCCAGTTCATCCAACATCATGGTCAGATCCAACCAACACTCCCAACTCGCTTTGTTAATACACGTTTTTAATTTTCACGGTGCTATATCGGAGAGAAATTTAGCCCACCTTATCCTAGTACATGTAAGCTTTTAGTCAACCCCGCTTGAGCTCATTCAGCTTCCACTTATGGAAGTACAAGTACTTGGCTCTTCAATTTTTCACTTAAAAAAACGTGCAACAAGAACACAACTCCGCCGGATATCATTACACTGAAACTCGCAGCCGACCTTTTATCACATCTCATCCTCACTGAGTAGAGGAAGTAGAACCATGACTTTCGAACTAGAAGAAGCCGGTACCCCAGACCTGGAAGAATTGGGAGTTGTCCTAGGGAAAGCATACATAAACGACCCGATCCTGAGTCAGCTCATGCCAGGTGTCGATCAAGCTATTCAAGATAATTTCTGGACTGCTTGGTTGAGAGGCGACCATAAGAAGCCCGGGGAGAAATTGTTCAAGATCGTGGATACCGATACTGGGTATGGCTTCGACGTTATTTTATACAAGAAGATACTGATTATAGACTGAAAGGAAGATTGTAGCTTTCGAGAAAGTTCGGTATCCTGCGAAACCAGCTGAAAATGGTGAGGAGGAACATGAAGCCCCGCCTGAGGGAACGAATGTGGAGTTGTTGATGCATTGGTTCGAGCAAATGGACCTATATCAAGATAAACATATGGATTTCGAGAAGGATTGTTGTAAGGACTCACGCCACCATTCCCGGCCTGACCTCTGTCGCGGGCGATTGGGCAGGCGATTAGGCAGGCGATTAGGTGATCCGTGATCCGTAACATTACCCCCCCCTTTCGAAGAACGACGTCCTCGTCGTTTGATCCATTTCTTTATCATCGTCCAATTCATCATAATTGTCACGTCCTTCGTCGTACGCCTTTTGCCAGGCACGGAGCGCCTTAGGGGGGTTACTTTGCTCTGAATTATCGAAGTAATACGCTGTTAGTTTAATTAAAGAATATTTAAAATTAAACGTAAAATATTAATTTAAGTCGTCGTTTATATTAAACTACTTAACTTTATATTAAAAAATTTTTTAACGAATTTTTAACGCTATAATTTTATTAATTTTTTATTTAATATTTTTAATTATATTAATTTTAAATAAAAAATCGTTCGAATTACGATATAATTTATTTAGAAAAAAATAAAATAAATTTTTATAATAATAAATAAATTTAATTTATACGAAAAATTTTTTTTTTAAATTTCGAATAAATTTATTTTAAAATTATCGAATTTTTAATTAAAACGTTAAATATTATTATTATAAATTATTTAAATCGTTTAATTAATCGTTTATTTAATCGTTCGCGATAAAAATTAAACCGAAAATAATAATATTTTTTAATTTTTATATAATATTTTTTTAACGTATATATATTTTTTTAAAAAAAAAAAAATTTATTTTTAAATTTTAAAAAATAATCGAATTAATATTTTATTTACGTATTAAATTTTTTATCGTATTATTATATTATTTAAAAATTATTATTTTATTTAAAAATTATTAAATTTTTTTTATTTAAAAAAATATTTTTATATTTTATTTTTTATTATTTAATAAAAATATTTATTTTTAAATTATAAATATTAATTTATTTATTAAAATTACTTCGCGTTTTTTATTACGATTTTATTTTTTTATTTTTTATTTTTTTATTCGTTGTTTTTTTATATTATAATTTAAAATTAAAAAACGCTATTTTCCCGAGCTAATAATTAACCGCGTTTTAATCACGTGCTAATTATAATTAATTTAAAAAAAAAAAAAAAAACTCGGATTATTATTTTCGAATATATTTTAATAGCTCGTTTTTCGAAAAAAAAATTTTTTTTTTTTTAATTAATATTATTTTTCCGAACGAAAACGTTTAAATAATTATTATTAATAAAATATTATATAAAAATTAATTAATAATTCGAATTTTTACGTAAAATTTTATTAAAAATTATAATATTATATTTTATTAGAATATAAAGTAAATATAAAAGTATAATTAAGTTTTAGTATTAAATAAGATCGTTGTAATAGTACGTGTAATACTAGCCCGGGAGCGCTAGTCTCCCTAGCACTATACCTAATCGGGTATAGCGCACGTGCTTAGCTATACTCTTTATATTATAGTAGTTTAAATAAAATTAGAGTTGCTGTAGAAAATACAACTAATATAGTCGCTGACTACACGTTCGTACCGTGTGCGTCTTCTTGCTTTTGTGACAGCACGGTTGGACTCATGTACGTAGACGAGGAATCGATTAGGCTATCTCTTAGGATCTAAAGGTAAAGAGGAAAGGAAGGAAAGAAGCGCCGGAAGGCAGAGCATATATACAGGTGAGCGGTCACGTGAGTACTTAGCGAGCACGTGACTCCAGAACCGTGACATTACCCCCCCCTTCCGAAGAACGACGTCCTCGTCGTTGCATCCATCCAATTATCATTATCCAAGTGATCATAATTGTCAATTCCATCGTCGAATTGTTTCTTCCAAGCTGGAAGGGCCTCTGGGGGACCAGGCTTGCTTGGATTAGTCATGTGATACGCTATCAGCTTGTCAGGAGCGTATTTAAAGTCGGACGCCGGGTACCATTCTAGGTCTTCGTCCATATTCAGCCACTTCACTCGGTACTACAGCTGCTTTCGTCTTAGTCTGGAGGCCAAGATCTCGTCTACTTCCCATTCGATATCACCAGTTATATTTACCTCTGGCAGAGGCTCTTCCTCTTGCCCAGGCAAGGGGTCCGCAGGGTCTTTTCTCAATTTATCAGCTGAAAACACGGGGTGAACCTTCATAGAAGCTGGCAAATCGAGTTTGTACGAGTAGCCCTTTTTCTCAAGAATCAAGAAGGGACTAGCGCGTACATTATCGAGCTTGCGGCTAGGGCGCTGAGTATTATACTGGGTAATCGTAACGTAGGCTCTGTCACCTACTTTCCAGTCAACTACTCTTCGTCTAGCGTCTTGCGAGCGCTTCATGCGGCTTTGAGCTTGTTCCATGTTCTTTCTGGCTATGGCAATAGCCTCGTCCATCCTCCTGGCCAATACTAGAGCTTTCTCTTTATTTAGCTTGGCGCTAGGAGTATTGTCGCTATCGGGACGAGTATTCTAGTCGAAATGAAGTACGGGAGCAATGCCGTATAGCACTTCGTAGGGTGACATCCCTATGCTTGCTTGCGGGAGGCATAGCTGAGCGTAGTCCATTATCGGTAGCATGTCCGACTAGTCGTCTTAGTAGTACGAAACAAACGGCTTTAGTCTAGCTTGGAGGACCTGATTGTAGTTTTCTGTTTGGCCGTCTGTCTGTGGGTGATAGCCGGTCGAAAGCGTGATCTTAGTGCCTATAATACGGCAGAGCTCTTACTAGAACTCAGAGATGAATTGAGGGCTACGGTCACTAACGATCTCCAAGGGACGTCCGTAGTACCGGAAGATATTCGTGAGGAATAGGCGAGCTAGCTATTCTGCATTAATTGTCTTGTGGCAAGGTATAGAGACAGCTTGCTTAGTAAGGCGGTCGATGATTACACAGACGCTGTCGTACTCGTGCTTGTCAGGCGGAAAGGAGCAGAAGTCTATTGAGAGATGTTGCTAAGGACGTTCTAGTATCGGCAGGGGTTGTAGGAGACTAGGAGTCTTGTCGCGTGGTGAAGAGGCTCTAGCGCAAATATGGCAGTTGCGTACGTACTAGGCTACATCTCGAAGCATATGCGGCCAATAGTACCTTTAGCGGAGCAACTAGTACGTCTTATCTCTTCCAGGGTGGGCTGTAAGCATTTGATTATAAACTTCTCGGATGAGGTGCACTCGTAGATAGTCCTAGTCGGGTACGACTAACCTATCTTGGTACAAGAATAGTCTATTACGCAACGAGAAGTCCTTATTATCCACACGTTCAGCTTGTAGCCTGAGAGTAGCTAGCGCTCTTGCTTCCCGATTGGCTTGTAAGATGCGGTCGATCAAGTCAAAAGAGTGCTCTACAGTAGCTCTATCCACGGGAGCTAATTCCAAGGAGGATGCACGTAACTCGCTATAGATCTGAGGATCTAGCTTATCGGCTATAAGGAACGTTTGTGTACGAGAAGATTCCTTAAGCAAGTCTTGTGAGCTTGTCTCATTACTTCGGCGTGTTAAAGCGTCAGCTTTCAGGTTGTCCTTGCCAGAGCGATACAAGATAATGAAGTGGAAGTCTGCTAGCAGCTCTGCCCAACGGGCTTGCCTGGCTGTTAGCTTCTTGGATGACATAAAGTACTCCAGGGCTTTGTGATCGGTGTAAACCTTGATAGGTGTAGGGGTGGAGGCTAGTTTAGCTCTCCATTCCTTTATAGTCTTCACAATAGCCAGCATCTCCTTGTTATAGATCTCGTAATTCAACTTAGCAAGGGCTATAGTCTTAGAGAAATAGGCCACAGGTAGCTACTGCTCTCTATGCTTCTGGTTGAGGATTCCTACAACTACACCATCGGAGGCGTCCGTTTCTATCATACACTCGAGCGCGGGGTCGTAGTGTTGTAGAATTGGTGCTGTAATAAGCTATAGCTTAAGCTTCTCAAAAGCAGTCTCGCAATCGCTATTAAAGTGGAAGGGGACGTTCGCTTTCGTAAGCTAAGTCAAGGGAGCTGCAATCCTTCTATATTCCCTAATAAATCGGCGGTAGAAGTTGCAGAAGCCTAAGAATAACTGTACGCTTTTAACCGTATTAGGGCGCTTCTATTCCTCTATTACTCTCGTCTTCTCTGGGTCTACAGATATGCCTTCTGTACTAATAATGAAACCCAAATACTTTGTATAAGTCACGTTGAATTCGCACTTCTTGAGGTTAGCTTGCAAGCCGGCGTCTTAAAGTCGTTGCAGCACTTTTCTCACGTGCTCTTTGTGCTTGAGGGGATTATCGGAGTAAATAAGGATATCATCGAGGTAAGCAGTATAAAAATCGTCTAAGTAATCAAATAATATATCGTTTATATATCGTTGATACGTAGCAGGCCCATTAGTAAGTCCGAAAGGCAAGACTTTGCACTTGTACGCTCCATAGCGAGTACGAAAGGTAGTTAGTTCTTCCGAATCAAGGTGTATTCGGATTCGGTGGAAGGCTTGGCGTATGTCTAGCTTTGTGTAGATCTTTGTAAAGGCGATTCGGGCGAGAGTCTTGTCGATTAATGGCAATGGATACCGGTCTTTGCGCGTAATAGCATTTAGCTTTCGGAAATCGATGCAAAATCGTAAGGCTCCGCTAGATTTCTTCACAAAGAGGACGGGTGCCGCGAATGGGGCCTGACTAGGTTCAATGAAGCCCTTAGACAAGTTGTCTATCAAGTACTGCTTAGTGACTGCTAGCTCTTTAGCGCTCATTTTGTAAAGAGGCGTGAACTGAAGCTTCGCTTCGTCCTTCTCAAGGGCGATCTTATGGTCGTACGAGCGAGAGGGAGGCAGTGTGTTGGAATCGTCTTTAGAGAAAGCTCGAGCGAATGCTTGGTATGTTGCTGGGATAGACGGCTCGACTTCCTTGATCTCTACTCTTGGCCGTGCTTCTTGATAACGCTTATCCTCAATCAACCGATCTAGCTCGTACAAGCTAGTGGTAAAGAGCTTAGTATCTGGCTGGCGAAGGTTGAGGTGGAACGCTTCTGGTGTAATTAAACAGAGGTCCATAGCTTTTGGCATTAGTATGTAGTCTGATAGCTTTAGAGGAGGCTACGGTGGAGTTGGCTTTTGACTTAGCTTTCTAGACAAGGTATTATCCATCTTATGCATATTGTCTCGGTTATCTAGGGACTAGGTACGCTTCCCAAGTAGTCGGGGCACATAACTTTGCGGTTTTGCCGATATAGGTGGGGGCGGACGAGCTAGTAGTGGCTTTTTTAACATAAGCTCCTCTTTTGGTATAGGTAGGAGGCTTGGCACTTTTGGTGGCGTAGCACTAGGCTCTTGTGGCGGCGGGGAC